GTTATCTTCTGTACCCACAGTTTAGTGTGGGCCTAGTGGTGGCTTTTTGAAAATAAGGTTATAAAGAATAGTTTGTATCCACAGTTTAGTGTGGGCCTAGTGGTGGCTTTTTGAAAATAAGGTTATAAAGAATAGTTTGTATCCACAGTTTAGTGTGGGCCTAGTGGTGGCCTTTTGAAAATAAGTTTTTTGTTTGTTTTGAAAAATAGTTTTTATTCAGAGTTTAGTTAAGCTGGAACACCCATGTCCCTGCTGTGTAATGTTTGCCTGTGTCCATAGTCGAGTTTATCACCCTATTGTACCCATAGGGGTAATCCATAAATACCGTCACGCTTTTTTGGACGATTTTTACTCTTCTCCTCCTCCGCTCCATCATACATCGTCACAATAAAGCTGACCCACCCCCCCCCCTCATAATGACGTCACACCTCAGCCTACAACCCCCCCCCCCCTCGAAATTGCAGTTGAATTTTTCTTAAACGTGGACATTTTTTCCAAAATCTTGTCTTTACTCTGTCAAAATAGAGTATTTTAATGAATTAGAAGAAAAAAATGTGTATAGAAAATATTTACTTTAACCAGGGTTCGCCCCCCCCCCCCTCCGGAAATTTTAAGCGCACCCCCGGAAATGTAAGTGCACCCCCGGAAGTTTCAAGTGCCAGAGAATATGATTGCTAGTGACGAGGTGTAACAACAAGGTGTATGGCATTTCATTACTTTGGACGGTCCCTTACGTGTGTTGCTTGACGCCATTTGTGTTACGTGACGTCATTTATCCCACGGCCATATTCGCGTTATAAGTGACGTCATTTATGGACCACCCCCATCATTGACTTTAACCCACGTCACAATTTAGCTATTGTGTATGTATTTCATCCAAACAATAGATCGTGAGCCTGTAGAAACAATACATAAGGCCTAACGATTTTCAACCCAACATTTCGCCTGTATTGTGACTGCCTGAAGTATGTAATCAGGACTAAAATCAATTGGTTGTTGATGGGTCACACGCTAGTATCGGCTGTTAGTTTACCCCTCGCGGCGTGGTCTTCATGTGTCACCAAGTCACACGCCCTAGTAGACCTTATCGAACGTACGTTTTTACACTACTATCTCAAGCCACGTCACGATTTATGAAGTTGTGCACTAAAAGCTTTTTTTTTTGTTTCTTCAAAGATTTCATGTTATGCCTATTTTGATAGTTAAGTTAGCAAAATGTATTTAATGGTCTTTTTTTGTTTGTTTATATTCAAAATTGGGGTTTACACTGGCTGATATGGGGTGAGAGTCACAAAAGGGTCACACACTATTTTATAGGAAGGGTGCCGTATTTTGAAGCTATTTACAATAGGGATGGGGGAGGAGCTGTTATGAAATATAGTGTCATAACAAATTTTAATAGTTAATAATTATCGTTGGAAATTGGTGGACTGGGAGTAGAAGAGATGTTGTTTTTTTTTGGGGGGGGGAGGGGGGGGGGGGGGAGACCCCAGATACAGCAAATATAGATAGATTACTAGTATATGAAGCATAAACAATTGGGAGAGGTGAGGGTCAGTAGTTTTAAAACTTGAAGTTCAACAGCATCACAACAGGTTATAACAACAGGTATAAGTGACAGTAGGGAACGCAGTGCTTTTAGAGCATTTGGCTACCAGCCAGAAGGTTTCGAGTTCGGATCTCTTTTGGGACTGTAAGGCTTAAATGAGTCCACGCAGCTCTGATATATGGGAAACAAAGGTTGCTGAGCATAGTGCTGACCACATTATCCCCTTGTATGCAAAGGTCATTGAGACAGATGAACTCTGCTTCATTTGTCCCATGTCTCTTAAGCTCGAATGGGGAAAGATGATTATAGTATAAATTTGCCCTGTGAGCAAAATCTTCCCCAGCCAGCACTGTTGTCAGTGCAAACATTTCTTGTATTGACGTATGTTTTAATGTCATTTTACTTAGTGCACATAAACTTTTTGTTACCTAAGATGTTGTAGGGATGCATGGTTTTATTAGAACAGACCTTTTGTTTCCCATGCTAATTAATCAGGAATAAATTTTATGTTTTGTCTTATCTTTTTTTGTTATTCTTTTCTAAACATTTTTTGAGCTATTTTTCTTCATAATTTTTTTTAAAGAAGTAAAAAACACATTATTTTTTTCAGTCTTGACATGTGTTAGTTAATTAGGCAGCTTTTATAAGTTAATTAATTACCTCAATTTTTTTTTTATAAAACATTTATTTTAAAAAAGAATATTATACGGTCACCTACTTCTAATGGGAACCTTACATAATTCAATTAAAATAGCTTTAGAATGACTCTACTACATCTGTCCTAATAACACTAATTGCTTCCAACTTGAGTATTATTTTTTTAGCGCAATTTCCATTCTGGAGAATTGCGTTTATTAACCCGTCATTTCTGGATGGATGGATGAATGTATGGATGTGTGTCTGCAGCTTTAAGTCGTATCTCCTCCTCAACGAAGCAATATCGATGACTAGTTACAAAAACAATTATGTTAAGCAAGTTACAAGGATGAACATAGGCCATAAAAATTCCGGGTTTCTTTCATGGATTTCCCGGAAAAGCCAAAAAACCTCGAAAAAATGCAGTTTTTGGCCCATATCTCGGCAACCAGACCACTTAGCGACTTGAAACATGTACCAATCGATTCCTGCCATAATTTAGAACAGGGGTCGGCAACCTGCGGCTCGCGAGCCGCATGCGGCTCTTTTGATGTCAAGATGCGGCTCTTCAGCTCCATGCACACATATTAATAATTATTTTAATTTATTTTAAAAACTCATAAAAATATTAGTCTGCAATACTCGGTATTTAAAGATAGAGATCTAATAACAAAGCAAAGTTTCTAATTTCGAGCAGAGCTTGCTAAACTACTTTAATATGTTTTGAGCGAAACATGTGTATGTTTTTATATGAATAAATATTATTTTATATTTTAAGCTATTTATTTAAAATGTAATATATATATATATATATATATATATATATATATATATATATATATATATATATATATATATATATATATATATATATATATATATATATATATATATATATATATATATATATATATATATATATATATATATATACATAATCACATATCATAATATTGAAATAAAAATGTTTGTGGCTCTTTAAAAACTGTGAAATGTGGTAAATTGTAACTTTTGGCTCTTCTGCCCCAAAAGGTTGCCGACCCCTGATTTAGAACAATATTGCCGAAGAAAGTTTTAAAAAATATCCTTTCGTTTGGTCACAAAAATTTTTTTGAATTAATTAAAATTTGGACCAAATTAGTAGGCATTTTATGCAACCACACCACACGCGTCATCACGTTCAATAGCTGCGCCATCACGTTCAATGGCTGCGACATCACGTTCGGTAGCTAGGCGCGCAATGGTTTTTAGTCATGTTACTCTATTGTAAATAAAACATGTAAAATACTGAAAAAAAAATTAATAAAAAACGTTTTAATAACTAACCAATGGTTTTACTAACCCTGCTCTTGATTTACGCTACGACAGAGCTATTTTTAGATAACATAAGGAAATTGCGCTAAAATTGTCACTAGACTTTTTTTAATTACTTGTTTATCCACACATAAGATTTAATTAGAAAAAGTCTGTTGTATATTTTGTGCACAAGTTTTAAAAACTAGGGGTCCTTACATACATAAATGACCCCAGAAATATATGTAGTGCTCTGAACTAGGCCTAGTTTATGGCTTTAAGTTAATTCGTTTTTTTTCCTTCTTTGAAACAATGTTTTTGAAGCTACAAAACTTTTCCTTGCACAAAACAGTTTCTGCTGAAACATTCCTTTGTGATCTCATTAACTTGTGAGGCTAATGACATTAAAATTACTCCACTGAAGGGTTAAATTTAGAGTTTGGAGTTTATTCTCAAGCCAACAGTAATTTAATTCCACCTTAATGCACTTTCATGACCTAGGAGGTCAGCCATTTTTGATATCCACATGGACTGGGCAGTAGTAAGGGAAAGGGTTGGCTTTTCTGTACTTTTCATTTTATTTAGAGGTTAATAATGGACTAACTCTTATTTTCTTTTAAAGGGAATTGGCAAACTGTTAAATTATGGACATTAGTAAAACTAATTGTATATCCCTACTATTCTCTGACCGCATTCTCAGACTAACATAGTCCATGTCTATGTATCTTAAAACATGATACACCATTCCAATTCATGTCATTCACTGTTCCATGTTCACATAATACAACACTAAATAAATTATATTTTTTAATGTATTACTCTTTTAGTTACTATATATATATATATATATATATATATATATATATACTGCAAATGATTTGTATTTGTATGTATATCCCTTGGCTACAAATGTCAAATTTTATTTCAGGATATGGCCTAACATTTTTTGTAGGAAAGTTAATTTATTGATTTCATTACCTGATGGTTGAATTAATACTGCATTGTTTAAACACACCTTTTGTGTGCACTTCCTTGTCTGCTCCTCAATTTACCATTTCCTGTTCAAAGCAAATAGGGTCTTCATTAGTTTAAATACATGCAACCCTAAATAGATCAGGTTTGAGTACATTTCACCTATTGTGCAAGTACTTGTGAAAAGCTTGCTTTAGCTTGAAGTGGATCAGAATTTTGAACTATGCTGTAAAATTCTTTGCCTTGAAAAAAAAAAAGAAATGAATGAATATGAACATTTAACTTAATAATTTAAAAAAGAACACCTAGACTAGTTTGTTGTTTGTTTTATTTTCAGTTTCATTTGAATTACTGTTTTAATTAACACAAGAGATAAACAATTTTGGATTATAATACAATGTTTTTAATACTATTTGTTTTATATAATGTTCGTGTTTAAACCACAATTTATTTTTAATTTACCAGCAAGATCCCCCCGTCCCCATCTTGACAACTGTCATTGAAAGGATTGATTCCTAAAGCTGATTTTAGTTTTAATTATTTTTTTCAGCTTGCACTTATCCAGACCACAAATGTCATACAGATGCTTAGAAGTCTGGACCCAACACTCAAGTTTGAGACATGTAAGTGGACAATATCTTGAAAAAATTACCATTAGAACATCTGATAAAGCTTGCGTGAATTTAGAACTTCATGTGGTCGGTGGAATGCTCTATTTAGAAGACAAGTTCAATCTTTCTAATTATTTTCCTGCTTCCTTGTTAGAATGTATTTAAATATATTTTTAGTGCCCATGACAACGACAGGAGACCGCATTTTGGACTCAGCTCTTTCTAAAGTAAGTGTAAAATCCAAGTTAATTTTTCTTTTTAAAATATTGCTTGGCAATTATAAGATGTTTGTTTGTGTTTATGATTCTTCTTCTTCTTTACTGTTATAAACTATTTGTACCTTTTTTTGTAATGCAATTTTTATAATATATTTAAGTGTTTAGTTGTGTAATGAATAAATATGCAATGGTAGAGTAAACAAATATTCTTCAATATTTCCTGTAGATTGGAGAAAAATCTTTGTTCACAAAAGAGCTGGAGAATGCTTTGTTAAAAAAACAAGTTGACTTTGTCGTCCACTCACTCAAAGATTTACCCACAACACTTCCAGAAGGTTTAGTCATTGGATGTGTGTGCAAGTGAGTGACACTTTTAGGGGTGCTGATTTTTAACGACCTATATCCTAATATCTAAGTTCAATATGTAAATGCATGTTTTGTGCCTGTATAGTATGAGATATGATATATCAAAGCCTAATTTGCTAGACCCAAAATAATATGCCTAGGGCAGACAATTAAAACTAAATTGGTGGATTACACCTTTGGAATAAGATGAAGGATAATTAGGTTTTGATATTTTTTGTTTGAATCTAATCCAAACTGTTTGTACTTCTGTATGCTTTCAATGACATTTAAGTAAAATTTTGTAAAAAATATTCTTTTCCTTGTCTTATTTAGGAGAGATAACCCTTATGATGCTATAGTGTTACATCCAAAACACAAAGGTATAACTCTAAAGGATTTGCCTCCTGGAAGGTATGTGTACATTTAACAGAAATATTTTTTATTGCCTTGATGGGTATGTTATTTTGTTTATCTATGAGTTTGTCCTTAATTTCAGTGTGATTGGCACAAGTTCTTTAAGGCGAGCGGCACAAGTTCAGAGATTGTTTCCACATTACAAGATAGAAAATATTGTATCCTTGTATCAAAACTATTTACACTTAAGTTTTGTTACAACAACTACAAATTTTCCCCCATTTTGTTTAGTTTTGTTTTCATTTTTTAAAGTTTTTCCTCCTTGACATGTTTCTAGCGAGGAAATTTGAATACAAGGTTTAAGAAGTTGTCAGAGGAAAATGTTTATGATGCCATTATTTTGGCAGTGGCTGGTCTTGAAAGAATGGGATGGCAACAGTGTATATCACAGGTTTAAAAGCTTTTTAATTCTTTGTTGTTAAAATAGCATAATTTCTTTTAAATATGTATACATTTTTTAAAAGGAAAGTAGAATCTCACATAACAGTGAATCAGCTCTTAGCTTTTTACAAATTTATTTTTTAAAAGATAATTAAGACTAAAATTGTTTATTAAATCAGAGAACCAAAATAATGCTGCTAGATTAAAGACATTTTTTATCAAACAAATCAACTCAGCATGCTATTATTACTAACACTGCTGCTAGACTTAAAAAGTGTTGTACTAAACTAATCCAACCAGCATGCTATATTAACACCTCTAGTCCCAGCCTAGAGTGGGTCGTCTCATTGTCTAACCCATACAGTGTGGGCGATTGCAGGTTTTGACCCCAGACGAGTGCATGTATGCTGTATCCCAAGGTGCCATGGCTGTGGAGTGTCGCGCTGACGATGAGGCCACGCTACAGCTGTTAAATCAAATCCATGACCATTTTTCTACTATTGCTTGCATTGCTGAGAGAGCTTATCTTAGACAGCTGGTAAGTTTTATATTTCACCAGTACTAATAATAAACTGTCAATATTAAGGGTTGGTATTTAAGATTTTATAAAGATTTAATGCCTGAAAAAGAAAAAAAAAATATATTTAAAAAGAACCTTTTAGGTCATTCCTTTCTTCATTATTACTTATATAACTTTAGTAATTTTTATTTTCCTAACACATCCAAAATTTTGATTGCGTAATTAAAAAAAGTTTTACAGCTAATAAATGGCAAAATGGATGTGTGTATACATTTTTGTATTAACATAACTGTCTTATTTTAGGAAGGGGGTTGCAGTGTTCCTGTGTCAGTTTTTACAGAAATCTCAAATGACCAGGTACTAAGCAGTTAAAAATTTCTGTATTTATTCACCCTTTTTAATGATTTGTAATTGCAAATTTCCTTATAAAAGCTAAAATTTAAAAAATTCAATAGCCTGTAAATAAATAATTAAAAACATTTTTTTTTCTGTAAAACAATTTGTATGGTTTACTTATTTGTAATTAGAAATTACAATATATTTATAAAACAGATAAGCATACGTGGTGGTGTCTTTGATACGGATGGAAGCCAATCTGTGCAGCACACTATCAAAGCTGATCTTCGATTTCCTGATGTCCCAGTAAGTTTTATTAAAATACTCCTATACTAGCTAAACAATATGCCAGCTGATGTGCTGCTTTTTATCAAAGATTTGTTTGATTGAAGCAAGTTACAATCTTTGTAAAATCTAATAGCTGTTTACTGCAAGCATACCTTATGTTTTTAGAATTTATGTATTTTTAAACAATTTAGTACAGATCAGATTAATACCAAAATAAGGATAATTTTGGCCAAAGCTGTAAAGAAATCACTATAAAAAATAATTTTTGCAATTATTTTTTTTAAATATTAATTTTTATTGAAAAGTTTAACACAAATTCTAATATTTTCTCCAAAATAGATTCCTTCCCAACAAGCTTTTGTTGGTATCCATTGCCAAAATCCTAGCAGGAAAAATGAATACACTTCAGCCTGGGTTACTGGGGAAAGACTGGCAGATAGCATGATTAAAATGGGAGCGGACGCCATATTGTCTAAGGTCAAGGCAGCAACCAAGGCAGAAATCATAAGAGATCATGAAAAGAAGAAACAGGAAAAGGAACAGTTGAAATCTTTGGCTGCTGGAGAACCATCAGCTTCCTTTAGTCATGGAAGTTGCTAGTCAGCAGGAAATGTGACAAATGCCAATGTTGTAAACAAATAATTTTCCTAAAAGAAGAGCTTGTAAATATGTAGTCCCAGGACGTTAAATAAACATCTTTATTCAAGCAATGACATTTTGCTTAAAGTATAAAAATAGCAAAATCAAAACTATTGAAAGTACAATAAATTTTTATTTTTTTAAAAAGTGTTTCAGTTTTAAGAAAGACTACATGTATTTTAATTTTCTTGGTCAAACATTAGCTGTGATTATTCTTACCATAAAGATGATAAAATGAATGATTAAAAGGCCAAGTGATATACTGTAAACTGACTTGTATACAGTAATTTTACTGTATTTAAAAAAGATAACATTATTTGAATTAGTCATTTCCAGTATGTTTACTTTAATAACATTGTATTAACATGTAATGACATGGGTTTGAGATCCAAGTAATTTAAAGTTTTGTTAGCTCATAATTTAAACTGTTATCTGTTTAGTTGCATAATAATAACAGCCTACTTACTTTGGGAGGAGAAATTGAATTGCTGACAAGCAACAATGTAAACAGTTTATCTTTCTAATTTTGTCAAATATAGGTATTATAAATCTTTTAGTACAAAAAAATTATATTATAAATGTCATATTCAAAACAAAATATTGTTTACAAATTTGCTGAAATTTCACTGCCAAAGTTTACTAGATTGTAGAAATGTTTGCAAAAATAATTATTTTTATTAACCACTGCCTTTTAACTTGATATAAGAAAAACATGGCTTTTTAAAGTTTGTCTTTGTGGTTGCAAATTTATCCTAGCAGAATGATGTACCTTAAATTATAATTTTGTAGACTGAAGTAATTAGTGTGGTGAAATTATGATACTGATACATATACTTGTTGATGAAAATAGTTGTACATTTTTGTATATTTTTCATATGAAATTTCAGCCCAGAGGCTGATAACTTAATCTGGTACAAAACATGAATAAACTTGTGATCTCTAGTCGTAGTTCCATATCTTGACATTATTTTTCTTTATTCTTTTGCCGAGCAAGTTCTTTAGTCTTGCATTAATTATTTGGGTATATATTTTAAATAATTGAAAAGCAACAAAACATGTTATATTCTAAAATATTCCATAATACCAGGCTGTTTGTATTTCTTAGTATTTTCGTATTTAGATGGATGTGTGATTATCACTGCTTTTGCTGCTTTAAAAAATAGCTTATAACTGACTGATCAACTTGGTATTAAATTACGAAGTTCTGTTAACTTTAAAAAAAATTTTTATTTAAGTAACAAACAAATAATGGATCAAAAATGTTTTTGAAGATTCCTATATATAATGGTATTGATTTAGAAATTGTAGGAAAAAAACATTCTGTTTATAAAGGTGAAGGACAGTTTTCTTGTATGTTTGGAATAAAAATAAAAGTTAATGCTAAACATTTTTTGACACTTGAATTGTTCCAATTTAAAAAGTGATATCTTGGTATAGACAAAAGTGGAGTAAGCCTACAAGTTTACACATAATGTGTAATTGTCTATGCTTGCATTTATCTAATTAAAAAGTTTCTTTCATGGTGTAAGTTTTCTCTCAAGATTTCTTTCTAAATTGATGAAAATAATCTAAGATATAGTTGGTAGTGTATAGTTGATATGCGATCCTCAGAATTAAATTGTTGACTTTAGTTAAGGCAAATCTAGTGCTGCATGCTGTGAACGTTAAAACTGCTTTATTAGAGGGTACGTTATCAAAGTAAATGGGGCAGTGAGGTAGAGTTAACCTATTTTTGTGACCTCTGCATATGAAGGAATAGTGTACCCAGCCACCTTTACTTTTCCTAACCCCTAAGAGATGGGTAGACAAGACTTTCTGCTGACTTGAACACTGATTCGAACTCGAGATATTCAGGTGTTACATGTCTAGTGTTCTACTGCTAGGCTACACATTACTCTACTGATAGAACCTATATTTCACTTCCTAAGGTATCAGTGATTGTGTTGTCAATGTCATAACTAAATTATAAACAGTGCCAAATTATTAACATTCTGGTATGGTACATGCATGCATCTTTCTATTTGATAAGGCTCTCTGACTTTGAATGAATCTCTACCTTTTTGGTAGTTATATCAGCAGCCGTATAATCAGATTTTAAATTTCAATCTTAGTTAATGTTGTCCAAGTCGTCCATTGAATTATAATTTAAATTAGCATAAGGGTTTGTCATTTTAATATAGTTTTTAATATATTTTAAGAATCTGAAAAAAATTACATTACATTGATTCTCATTGACTGTTGTGCTTCATTGACAACTTCCTGATTTTGACAGGAAACTAGGGGTATTTTAGTATTTTTTTAAATTTGTGAAGCACAGCATTGTTTCATTTTAAAATAGATTTGGAATGTGATATTTTGTTTTAAAACTAAGTGTTCTTTTTTATTAAAGGAATTAAAAAGCTTTTAGTGGTAAAAACAAAATTGTCTTGAGTGATTTAATTACAAGTAGCAGTTTATTATCAAAAGATGTCTACAATAATAAAATAACTGATCAACCAAAGTTAACAAAATGATTGTTCCATTAGTAGTACATTTATTAAACCAACCGATGCACTCAAATACAGATGGGCATGAATTATTCTCCAATTCCTATGAAGTTTTAAAAAGAAAAATACTAAAAGCAATTTTCAAGCCAGACAAAACAATCTATTTTATAAAGATCTCACTTTATTTTCACCATGTAAGTACTTTTTTGATGGTATAAATAATATATATACAACCCAGTCATAAAAATGCTCAGATATTTTCAGACGCATAAGCATAACATAGCTCTTGATAATTACTGCCAAATTAAAGATCATTTTTTCATATTTTAAAAAAAAGATCAAGCTTCTGTACAAAAGGCCAGTAAATTGAAATTAGTTTTATTGCAATATAAAATACTGGTGTCATGCATACCAACCCAATAAATCCATTTAACTTAAAACACAAATTCTCACTCAAAAAAAATAGCAGTCAAGAGCATAAATATTCTTTAAAAATTAATTTTAAGAACAAATGAGTAAATGTTTGTACACATTTTGCCAGACTATTTTATGTTGACCTAGTATGCTAAACTGTCTTTTTCTATTAGACATATATTATTTTTGAATGCCCAAATTATTAAACATTTTTCAAAATAAAAAAAATTTCAAATATTAGGACTATAATATGTAGCAGTGCAATAAGGGCATAAACAATAAATCAGACAGAAGCAGTGTTATTTTGAATACCCAGTAAACATTATTTCCACCATATATATTCAGAAACCTTTGCGTTCTTGACATAAAAATATCCTTGCAGTGTTTAAAATCCAAAATGTAACTGAAAAGTGACTTTATTTTAGCCATTTTCAAGAATGGACATATTTGTAAAAAAAAAAGTAAAAACGAAAGTTAAACAAAATAATCTAGTGTTCTTTAAATTACTAAACACTTGCTAAAATATTAGCCTGACGGTCGCCTGATTTGGGTGCGGGTTTTTCATCTTTACTGTCATCTGCTTTGATCTGAATACCATGAGTTTCCCTAAACTGGTTCAATTCTTTCCCTTTTGTTTCTAAATTTGTGCGTAATGAGTCTGTGTATTCCTTCATCTTATGAAAAAAAGTTTATGAATTAGATGTTGGCACATATATTCTTGCTAAAAAAATGAATTAACACATAAACTATTATTTTGGCTAATATACACTTCACTTGCATATTCAAGATAAAAATGAAATAAAGTACACCAGATTAACTTAATAATGAAGCAGTAAAAAGCTACCTTTTCTCTATTTGTAATGAGACCTGGTAACACAACACCAACTGTTCTTTCAACAAGGACACCACCTATCATTCGATAGCATTTTCGTGATGCATCAACACCTTTCAAGACATCTATAACCAAACTGAAAACAATTTTGAAATAGTTGTATTCAAGCAAGATTAAAACAAAAATCAAGTACCTATCTCAGATACAGAATCATCTTAGTTTTTATAGATATAAAATGGATTAATATATAAACTTGTAACTCAGACTGGTGGTCAAGCTGTTGCACTTCAGTTGGCTCAACAATTAACCCTTGAACTGTCAAGTGCAACTGTTCTGTTTTAAGAGTTTTTCGTATGCTTGATAAATAAAACTGTCAAAATTGTGTATTGAATGAAATCAGAGACCCCTACATGTATACATTTTCTGAAAGTATATTGGACAATAAATCTTTTGATACACAAATAATTTGTTTTTATTTTGTGTATGTTGATAGTGATCTTGACATTTACAAGAAGAATAAAATTTGACTACTCAACTTCTGTATTCAACCCACCCTAAAAAAACCAAACCTCACAGAAACTACATTTTTAGATACTAGAAGTCATTATCATTAGCTTTTAGATAATACATAGTTTTATAAAGTACTGTTGAAAAGCGATTTTGTATGTATTATTTCATTCATGACTTTCACATTGTGCTCACTAAAAGAAGTAGGCTATAGCAAAAGAGGGATAGATTTTCATTATTAAATCTAGTTTTTTATTAAAATATTTTTATACTGAAACGAAGACCACAAACATAAATGTCCAGACATCTCTTTATTTTTCTCACTGTATTTAATAATATAAAGAAGTTCTAAGGTTATTTTCTAATTAAGATCGACGATCGGCAGTTTAGACAGACATTTTCAAAGTAAAAATGCTCAGAAAATATTCACTCCCGTTTTAAAACGAAAATCAAAGCTCATGTACAAGGAGAAAGCAATCCGATACCGGAAACAGGAAGGAAATTCATTTTTAGTAGTTACTTCCCCTTGACCAACGTATATTTATTCATTCGAATTTTTAATCGCGAATTTAATAACTTGTGACACCACAGAAAGGGGAATTATGGCCGATCATCGGCCGTTATGACAGTTCGTGGGTTAACGTAGGTTCGATACCAATTGGGACACTTGTTATATCACCTTTGAAGCAAAGACTAACCACAAATCCGGTTTGACTTTTTAACTGGCTATGCACCAGAGTTCCTCACTAGTGATCACCAAATAGCGGTCACATTGTTTAAAAAAATAAATTTGGTTGCCATTCAAATGCTGTGTTTTTATAAAAAAGTGGTTTGCAATGTTTAATTTTTTTTCCCATCGAAAGCATGGCCGCGATGGCAAGTTGTAGTTTCTCTCCATTGCGCATCTTTTTCCGGCTATTTAAAAAGTTCTATTATTATTTTTAATGACACCAACTTTTAAATTTATCCGTCATTCTCCAAAGCAAATTTTAAAATGATTTTCTTGCATATTTAGCCCTGCCCCCTATAACATGTTTTTATAACGTGAAAACCCGCCATTATGCTTGTGGTAAACATTTTTAAAAGTAATTCTAAGAAGGTCTCTGGAACTAAGACGAAAAATCGTCAGAAGTCATGCATTTGGTCTGTTCGCCATAATATTGTTAGCAACCAGCCACGCCTATGGGGTAGTGTGCAATACTACAGTTTACACTAATATTAATGATTAATTAGTGATTAGTAGTGGGCAGGTCAGTAGACTCAGTAGTGTCAGTAGTGAGTAGATTGTAGATTCTAGAGGAGTTTACACTTTTCGGACACACACCAAAAATTACGTAGGACCGAACACTTCGTCGGTTTTTGGCTCATAGAAACTTTAATTAGCATGTCTCACGCGAAACCACGGCGCCTGCACGTAAACTGTTCATTTATGAACACTTCCGTGTCAAGTACTTCCGTTTCCTTTCTCAAGAATCATTTTTAGAAATTTTTTAACGTTGCATGGTACGCACATTTCTATTTTTACACCAGCCGGATGAAGTGACCTAGGGTTGGACTTAGGGGCAAAACTTAAACCAATCAATGCTTAGCTAAAAGGTTACACTATAAATAGCTTCTATATATGTATGGAACATCGTAAATGTCAAGGTTAATGGGTTTTTTCGTGCTTGAACAATAAAAAAGGGGTGTTCGCTAACTTATTTGGCCTTACATGGGACCGGACAGCAACACAAAAATATTATTAAATAAGAATTTAGAGCATAAAAGGGGCTGGTTATTGAAGGGAAAGGGTCAAAATAAGGTCAAGAAGGCAGTGGAATGCGAAAGAGGAGGGGGAATCATGTGACCTGGCTGGCTTAGCAGCGTACTGCGCGAGCCACAATGGCTGAATGGGATGAACTTTGGGAGTGTGGGAAAAAGGTTTTATACTATTAAAATTACCTCACAAACAATCAATAACACAATATAAATGCATATAATATATGTTTTTATTCATTAAATTGACTTTAAATTATTCTAAATGAACAAAAAGTGCTATGTCCGATGACGGGTAAAGGTGTCCGAACACATGTAAAACTGTATTACATGTGTTCGAACACACGTTAAGACCCCCCAGTCACTATAACAAGAATAGCTTAAGTTCTATGCGTATGAATACAAAATGACACACTCATTATTAAAGTAGAATGGTTGCGGATAGATATGATACTTTTTTTTGTTTTCTATGTTAAGCGGTTACTGAATGAGACCGCATGGAATTTTTACGTTGCGTTTTTTCGCTATGTGTGTCCGAAAAGTGTAAGCTCCTCTAGTCAGTAGAACATCAAATTAATTTAGATCTAATTAGTATTAAATTAATTTGGAGATTTGTTATCACTGCTGTCATCAGTGTCTTCCTTCGCTATTCGGTGGTCTTCACTCAGTCAGTCTATGTGACATAGACTGACTGAAGAGTATGTCCTCACATTCCCCGTCTCTGAGTCTCTCTTCACTCACGGCCACAGTAGGCCGTTCGAATTCGCAGCTTCCGGGTTTGTTGTTTTGAAGCCATCTCACGGCTCATGCGCTTACCAAAAATGGCGACCAGTTTCGCTTTCACTAATGGGTAGAGCGATAAAACTAATGATTACGAAGCCATCGTTAATTTAAGAAATCGGAACTATCCGTTTCTATTTAAGTCTGTTATTTAAGAATTGTCGGATCTACTTTTGGCCTAATTCCTTTGTTTGTCTCGCAAGCGGCGCCTTAGTGAAAGTAGCTCTATGAATTCTTGTCTTTTATATCAAATAACTCTTACATATCGCTTCCAGATGCAAACCAGCTTATGTCAGATGTAAACTTTAAAGTATTAATTTTACACACATTACCATTAACTGGTAATAATTTGGCGTGTTAATGAGATATGTGCGTGGGAAAACGATCACCCCCCAATAATGCCATTTTATTATAATCTTGCTTAGTGAAAACGAGGCGCGGGAAAATGTGTGCTGCGCAAGAATCCAATCATTTGGCTAGATTTATGACTGTTTTTTTATGTCACACCTAAAAATAGAATGTTTACGCTTTCTTCATTGATGATCGTTTTCATTATTTTTTAAACTGAAAGTATGAATTATTAGTTAGATTTCAGGTTTTGTAACTTGGTATACTTACCCTTTATCAAAATTAAAAGCATAGCATGCTGATTGTGAACAAATATAGTCATAAAACACAGAAATATAAAGTTACAAACAATGCGATGTCAGGATGTGCCACACCCGGGCCACACCCCCTCAAGAAAACACGTGTTTATTAAGCTGTTTATGTCACTTTACACCAGTAATTAAAATTAATTTTCAAATTTTTATCACTTATTGGGTAAGATTAAGCACATGTATACTGAAAATTAAAAAAAAAACAAAAGCAAATTCTGTTTTAATAGATTTTCTTAGTAAATTTGAAATGTACTCAATTTTCAACTTAAACATGACAACTAAATAAAAAACGTCCATACTTTATCCACTAGGCACTAATTTTGGGAGTTGTTGCAAGTTTTAGACTAAATTATTGAATTTTAAATTTTTTGGTCACTCACAGCTATGGTATGAGGGATCCATCCATGACAACCTGCTTAAAAGCTGAAGGGTTTAACTTTTTAATTGACCGTGAAATAGATCTAATTTTTTTTTACAAGAGAGTTCCTAAAAGTAGAATTGGCCCGTCTATCGTCGGGATATATTTATAGAGGGAAAAAATTTAAGAGAATGTCATCAGAAAAGAATTTTAAAAAAGACAAGACAGAAGTGATGTTTGAATTCTTTTATTTCTTTAATTTTATAACATTTTTTATTGAACAAAAGAGCAAAATAAAAAACCATGCCAGGTAAACGTATCCATTCAAATAGCGGTCACGTGGTCAAAAAAAATAAAAAAATTTGGTTGTCATTTTTTGGACACATCTTATAAAAAAAAGTGTTGAAGATATTTGATTTATTTTTTCATAGAATGATAAAACTAATAATGCTTTACTTTGGAAATCAATTTTGTGAGAGGGAGATCTATATTTAAAAAGTTAAATTATTTTGAATGACACCGACTTTAAATTTAGCCTACATTCCCCAAAGCAATTTCTGAAAATGCTTTTCTGGCATATTTAGCCTTGCCACCTATAGCATGTTTTTATAACGTGAAAACCCGCCATTTTACTCGTGATAAACATTTTTAAAAGTAATTCTAAGAAGGTCTCTGGAACTAAGTCGAAAAACTCGCCGGAAGTCATGGTCCGATCCTTACGCCATGTTCTGGTTAGCAACCAAGGACGCTTTTAAGTTAGTGAGCCTCCCTATGTTTTAATGAAGGTCACGGGTCAAGTTTTTTTTCCTTCTGTCAAGTTCATTGGAGGTTGCCACAGACTGACCTGACTTTGGAATTTTTTTTCAGTAATAATGACTTTACACAGAAAGTTAAAATATGCTAAATTAGCTTAGTTTACTAGTGTTCTAGCTATTATTGATACATTTTTAATAAAAAAAATCATTCTGTAATTCTCATCAAAAAGCCTAGCCACAGTACAGTAATCAGTACTGAGTTCAATCAAGTCAAGTGTTGAGAAGTAGATCTAGATTCTAGATCTGATCTGTCTACTCACTCATGTTCTTTCATATCCATTTCAATTTCAGATATTCTCGATGCCAACATTCTTTGTTGCTGTCTCAATTCATTAAAACCTGAAATAAGTTGCTCCTTGGAAAGGGGTTGTTTAGATTTCGCAGTAGCTCCCGTGGTCGCCATGCTTTCTGGTTAACTAAAAACAATTTCTTACGATATATTATACAAATCAGACTAAAATGATCCTAAGTTTGGTAAAAGTTATTAAATACAAAAAATATTGTATAGCTAGTAAAAAATTAAATATAATTAATAAAAGCACACTAGCTGTGAAAGTATGCTTTTAAAAATTAAATATCACGTAGCTTCTAAAGTTGTTTTGTACATAGTGCTGCTGAGTCAATCTTTTTATAGTGCCTATAGCGTCAAAATGGCGAAGAATTAAAGTAAAATGCAAACGCTAGGCCTACCGTATCAATCATGGACTATCGACCAAAACGATACATTAGGTATATTTTGTATTCAACTCATCTAATTCTCACTCAATAAAAAAACCAGATCCAAACTTCAATAACAATTACGGTTTCAATTTTTTTAAAGTATTCAATGTTTATTTACAACTTGAACTTGCTCGTTGTCCTGTCAAAACTTGCACTTGCAATAAAAAAAATTAAAATATAGACTCTCTAGGCCCTATTATTCATTTCATTCATTAAAAAATGATGTGATGGATGGATTATTCATGTTGATTCATGTTGGCATGATGCTATAATAAATGTTCACCTATCGAGATCTAGATCTAAACTCTAGTAGTTTTTTTTTATTAACTTGTTTAACCATGCATGGTGATGAAGTAGCCTAAGACTTTAGAATTTTAAAATTTGATTAAACTAAATTTGGACTGAAGGTAGAAAGTTAATATAATAAAATAGATTTACTTTATTTAGTGGCCTAAATAAATATATTAATAAAATAATATAGGCCTAGGCCTAGAATAATATAGATCTAATTGCTAACTTTACTATGCATACTATTTATACTATACTATAGGCCTACAGTTGTCAAATTAATAGATCTAGAAAGAAAATGAAAGTATCATTGTACTTTACAACCTTAGGGCAGAGGGGATTCTTATAATTTACTTTGATTAACTGTGGTTAATGTATTTGTATGTTCTTGTTAGTTTTTAGTATCCTTGTACAGAAAATGTATCCAGTTCTGTAGTGAACAATTATATATGGTTACAGAAAATGTATCCAGTTCTGTAGTGAACAATTATATATGGTTACAGATCAAGTATATTTGTCTTATAGAGTTCAAATATGTATATATATATATATATATATATATATATATATATATATATATATATATATACAATATATAGGCCTATACAATATATATATATAATTGCGTAATGTAGCGTAATATATAAACCTGGCATATGATATATAATAGTATATATCAAGTATATTTGTCTTATAGAGTTCAAATATGTATATATATATATATATATATATATACAATATATAGGCCTATACAATATATATATATAATTGCGTAATGTAGCGTAATATATAAACCTGGCATATGATATATAATATATATAGCCATTATTAAAGTAAATAGCAGAAATCTAGAATATAGCCTTTACAATTATTTAAGATAATTAATTTTAGTTTACTTTTGAACTTGTTTTCAGCAATTCCAGAATTAAAGATCCTTTTTTTGAAAAGCCTCTGCCAAAATCATTTTATCATCCAAGCCCAGTGAAGGAAGCAGATGAGCATGAGGTAAAATACAAGGTTTACAAAGACAAAAAAAATTGCAAGATATATAGAATAAATATGTGTAATGGTTAAAGTTAAAAAAGTATTTAAAGTACATATTGATGATCTTGACAAGGAGGTGAAAGGGGGGGGGGGACGTAAACATTCTAACTATAGAGAAAACAATGCTAGACTCAGCTGTATTAATAACCGACTATAGATAAACACCATTAGTATTAAATGTGAATACTTTAGGACTATTACATAGGGGGGGGGATTGGCACCAACTACAAAATTTACAGAGAATAAAAAAAAGGGGGGGTGGTTGGGGTGAAACCATAATGTACAGCACCGGGTGACACCCGACCTAGCGATGCCGCTGTGGAAAGCTAATATCCCTGTGTCAACCCAGATATGGTGGGTTCCTGACTTATGTTAGGGAAAGTAAAGTCTGTCATATTGAGTATCAAATTTGAAAGGATAGCTTTCCTTTGTAAATGTTAAGCAAAATTAAAGAATAAAGGTCATAGAAAAATTAATTAATTTATTTTTAGCATGATTTTTTTTTCACAATCACATTAGGCCATTCGAAGTCCAGAGAGAAAAGTTGATGTATTAGGTAACAGTAATATTATATTTGCAACAACCTTACCCCAAGTAAAAAGCCAATGGGTTGAAAATGGAAATATAGGAAAAAGTGATCAGTTTGATAATTTTGATGAAACTTGGCCTGAAAATGAAAAGTCCTCGTCCTTCAGGTAAAGAGGTTTTAGAATGTTACAGAATTTCTGATTTTTGCTAGCACTTCCTTATTTGTTTCTATATTATTAGAATATATCAATTATAGATTAAAATATAATAGATCTTGAATTTTTAAATTAGAGTTTTTACAAATAACTCAAATATCTTAATTCAGTTACTGTGATTTGATTTCTGGAAAATTGAACTAATGTTAAAGTATTGTAAATAAATTGCTCTTTTCTTGTTGTAGTACATCAAAAAATGAGAGCAATCTTATGACAACACCAGAAGCAAGCCCAGTAAACCATAACAGAAATCTCTCTGACATTGTTCAAAGCTTGGGAACCTGTGTCAATAGAACCAATAATATAACACAGCAAATGAAATATGACACTGAGACAAATGAAACTAGTGGTAACACAGCAGAGTCAGTTCTTCAAAAGTATGTACATGGATATGTTACTTAAAAATGTGTAGAAATTATAGTCATAATTCTTTAACATTTAATATGCAGTTTCTGAAAGGCTTCATTTAATAGTTCAAATTTATTAGATTCCTGAAGTCTGTTTAAAATTTTATTACATGTAGAAAAATTGATATCTAATAGCATATGTAAATGTTAATTAGTTTTAATGTATATTATTAGCATGATTATTTTTTAGGTTTAGAAATTTAATAAATATTTAAATTTTGATAAAAGCAGTGCACTTACGTTTCTGAATAATTTTTTTTTAATAAAGGTATATTGAGCGCTTTAGAAATTCAGCCCCAAAACCTAGAGAAGAAAGAGTTAAGGAAAGGGAGACAACAAAACAAGATTTTTGGTGGCTAAATTCTTCACCAGGAAGTGTTTCCAGTTCCAAGAATGTGGAAAGTATCTCAAAAACCCAGAAGCAGATTTCTGATCAACTAATGGTTCCTAAAAAGGCATGAGTATATTTACATTTTTTTTTTTTTAAACTTAGGGCATATTTAAAAAAATATGCTCGTTTATGAAAATTATATTTGAGAACCAAATTCAAAATTTTGGGCATGACAGAAGTTTTAATAAAATGCATGGATTTATATTAAAAACATGTATGAATACCAACCACAGACATAATTATTTTTGATGATTCAAACTCATTGAATATTCATTAAAGACATAGTCATTTTTTGAACAAGTCATAATAAGTTGCAGGTTGAATTGTTATTTTAGCTCACTAAAGAAGCTCTGCTTGAAATGGATCAGGAAACATTACAGCTGCAAATGAAAGCAGACAGACTCCTGTCACAGAGGTAAGATTTGTGAATTCATTACACTTTCTAATGCCTTTAATTTATTATAACATTCTTTTTATACATTTTTATATGTAATTATTATTTTTTTATCTCTCAGTGAATTAAGTTTAGCATCATCTGGGCCTATTGTCAGCACTGAAGGCTTAGGATCGTCAGCCTCCATTAGTGATTTTAGTGCCAGCGATGACCAGCCACCATACAGGCCATCATTTATTAGAAATCAAGGTTTGTGTGTGTAATTTACTTGTTTTAATTTTTTTAAATATAGCTTTTCCTTATTGTTAGAAGAAATAATTTCAAAACTTTAGTCAATCATTTTTCTCAAACTACCATACAATAAGAAAATCAAAAGCAGAATAATTATATTGAGATTTTTTAGATTTGGAAAAAAAATTTCTAAAATTTTAATGATTTGGTCTTATATATTTTGTTGATTGCATTGGTGTACATTAAGTACACTTAGTACATTAAGTACACTTAGTACTTTAAGTGCACTTAGTACATTAAGTACACTTAGTACATTAACAAATTACTTCTGTTTATAGAGAGCTACAGCAGGCCAGCATCAAATTTAATGAACTGGAGGCAAGGTGCCAAGTTTTCTGAAAATGCTGCTTCTCCCTCAGATGATATACTGGTTCGCTGGAGGTTGAATAGAAAAATGGGGGAACTACAGCAGAGCCATAATTTGGCTACCAATCCAACACATGGAGCTCTCTTACCTGTGAAAGTGGGTTTTTAAAAACAGTATTTTGCTATTGTTTAAAAGATTCAAGTCCTATGCAGAATAGTGATGCATTTTATTTTGACAATTTGACAATGTTAAACATTTTGCTTATTTTATATAGTTATTTTACTAGTTGTTCGAGGCTTAATTAAATGCTTGTTTGTGTACCACATAACTGGTATCAATATATGAATTGTCTGCTTTTTAGCCAGGCTTTTAAGTGTGCAATTGTTTTTTTTATTTAAATTTTTATGTAGTAACACCAATTACATGCTTTCATACATCATACATCTGATTTAGCTGGATGATACTATACATAACTATTTGTGAAAAGAATAAATTCTTTGATCCACATGTCTACATTATCATCAGACTATCTGTTTGTGTACGATGAAACATTTTTTATCTTGATTTTGCAATAATTAATGAAAAAATCATATAGCTATAAAATTAAAGACATACACAAAAAAGCAATATACTAAATATAAAAAACTATTCATTTTTAGACGAGTGTTGACCCAAGACTTGAGGAGTTTCGGAAAAAATTGCTTTCCCAGAAAGCTCAGATTATATCTGAGGATATACATTTTGAAAGACAGAGAATGGCAATGATGCTAGAAGAACATGTGATGGACAAAAAAACAGTAACTTTAAAATTTTGATACTATAACACAGTGTACATTACCATGCATTTTGTATTTTAAATAATAACTAATAGTTTAAAAAAATGTTGTAAAATAGGATTTTCCTTTTAGCATGTTTTGTCATAGTTCATTTCAAATCTATTTTAATATATTTTCATCATTTAAATTACAGCAGGAAGACAAAAAGGAAACCATCACTGCCATCTTGAAACCTCTAAAAGATCCAATTCTTGAAAGATTAAGTCAGATAACAGGAAGTGGAGATAACAATAATTTTTCTGGTGCTTACACTGACCAATTTACACAAACCAGTGCAGGTTCATCTGCTATCAAAACTGCAACAACAAATGCAAACTTTAACAATGCTTGTGCAGAGAAGAAAGCTGTCAGCTCAGAGATTAAATTTCATGAGCCAGAACTAAATAGAAATAACACTGCATCATCGGCAAATGTCCACGATGCACCTGCTGCTCACAGTAACATGCAAACTGTCGTTCACATTGATCACTTTCGTTCACAAGTGGTTTGTGAACCAATGAACAGAGACTTTGTTCTTGAGATGGGAGATAACTCTTCGTGTGGTTTTGAAGTAGATAGCGGAGACTCAAGCAGGACCGGAACCAGTGATAAAACTAAAGTGATAGAGGTCATTTCTAGTGGAAGTATGACTAAACAAGGAAACAGAATCAAACAAGATGGCTTGAGTGCCTCTGGTGATTCTCAAGAAAGTGATAAATCTGTGGAGGATAATACTACAGATACTGGTGATAATATTCAACTCAATAAACACAATGCAGAATTAAAATCCAAAGATTATGAGCATGTAAATGAAAAGCATGTTTACCATCAGTTCTTGGAAGCAGAAAAACCTAATGCAGCAGATCAACTTAATAACAAAAGCAGAGCTTCCCAAGTCACCAATGCTAAAGATTTTAAACTGAGGAAGGAAAACTTAGCTGTTAGTGGAGAGGATGAGTTAAAGGCTAAACCTAGAAAGAAAGGTGTTCTTCAAAGACAAATGTCAGATGATAGCGATAAAGCTAGATCTGATGAAAACTATGTACTGCAGAAACAGTCAGAAGCATCAAGCAATAAATCAAATGGAGTGTTAAATTTCAACAATGCTGAACAACCAGCAGGAGGGGCACACACATTAGCTGTAGAAAATGGGAACAGAAAAAATAAATCTAATAGCGTTAAGCTTGATTCTAAAAGCTATGCAAGTAGTTCTCAAAACGTTGAGCAGAGGTCCATATCAACACCAAAGTCAGTGAGATCAACTCCAGAGCCAACAAAACACCAAGTTCAAGCAGCTATTGGTCAAGTAAGTCAACTTGCAATTTGTACTATAACTACAAAGATATTATTCTTTTAAAATAAAGTTTATTAGCTTATGTATAATCTTATTATACTTTATTTATAAAGCAGTACAATAGCTGCTTACACTATTTCTTTTTTTCAACACTTTTAGTTTAAAGCCTTGAGTTTTAAAATACACTAAACATAATGTGATGTTCTTTGTTTTAATATGTTTTCAGACTGTCTTGGACCACATGTTTCAAAATTCAACTGTGATATCTAGTGTCGACAGCTGGGCCTCTATGTTCCCCCAGTCCCCTGTACAGTCCCAATCTTTGTATGACAATCACCAGCACTCCACACCCTCAACAGTACACCAAGAAGAAACAGAAATACGACATTTACAGAGTACTCCGGTCAATATTCCGTCACCAGCTCCCACTGGTAAATATATCTTAATTGTGATTTTTTTTTACATTAGTTCAAAATTTTGAAATGTATACTTACATTATTATCCCTTAAATTGTACTATTTGATATCATGCTTATTTTTAGTAGTTAGTGTTGCATTTCACCCCACTCTAAACATTAGACATCCCTTTAAAAAAGTTATATTTACAATGTATTTAATTACATTAAAATATTTTATTTTATTCTTAAAAAATTACAGCTCTACATTACAACCCCTCTTCCATGACAATAAAAACTTATTTATTTTCTAACTCATCAAATATACCTATTCATTATACTAGTGGACAGTGATGTGTCTTATCATTCTGATGGTGAATTTCCTGAAGATTCTTTGCTAACACTACTCAGACAACAAAGAAGCCAGTATTTAAGAAAATTAGAGTAAGTAGAAATACTTTTATTCTTTCTCTATAACTTTCAATATTTCTTTGAAACACTTATAATCTATTCCAGGACTATGGTTATTTTGATTATTTTTAAAAAAATTCAACATTCAATAGTTATTTTTCTTTGGTTGGCTAGAAAAATATTTTCTGTGTAGATGATGAGCTGCATGCTTTTTATCATTGTATTCAATCATTATTGAGCAATCTAAAGTTCTTGCTGAAATACAAGTTTTTTTGTTTTTTTTTCATCTACAGACTGATTGAAACAAAGCTGCAGGAAATGAACAACTGAAGACAGTATTTAAGAGTCTATGCAATTGCTATTTATTTAAATTTGTACTAAATGATATTTGAACTATTTTTATTTTTGTAAGATGGTTTCAAAATATGTGTACATTTTATTTTGTTATTGAAATAAATTATTCTTCATTAAAATTGCTTGGGGTCAAACGCTTTTTTAAAGTTTGAAACAGAGCATCAGGATATATTGTGTATAGAGTTGTCTTTTATAACATTATTTTTTAACCAATTTTACAGTCTAAAATTACAATACGTTTAGGAAATAATAATACGTTATAGGTAGTTAGTAGTGTAAATAATTATGTCAGTTTCAGAACTGCATTTGTAAACTACAGAATAAAAAACAAAAATAATATTTTAAACAATAATTTTAATCAGGTAAATTGCAAAATATCTGACCGTGTTTTGATAACATGTATATTACATATAAAATAGCAATAAAATTGACATTAAAGAAAGAACACATTTTTGTTAGCTAAAAATAACAATAAATGCATCTGCCTAAATGAATTCTGCTTATGAGCTTTCCAGTTCTTCTAGCATTACATAATGGTTATCTGTTTAAACATTAAACTAGAAAAATTTTGACAATGTCTATAAATTTAAAAAAAAATCAGAAATAGCTTTTACAATGCATCTACATATAATTTCAGTGAAATTCAAAACATTAACAAGACTTTTATTAACAAATAGATACAAAATTAGCATCTACCAATTTGTTTTAATAAATGGACTAACAGTATTATTGATTTTTTTTTGTAAAAGAAGAAAAGTCAAGACTATGAATTATCCTGTTGTAAATAGGAATTTGTAGAAGTAATTATAACAGGATATAACTTATTGTTCCTAAGTAGCTTATAATTAAGCAGTTGCATTAATCAGTTTCATTTTGTAAATGTCATGTTCATTTTGAAAGGAATGATTTTTATTTCACCCAGCATTCTACTTTGTCTATGCAAATAAATCATATTGATCTGATAGTCATGAATTAGACTTCTCCAAATTACGCTAGATATGCCACATCTCATTTTGCCACTTCTTCAATGAAATTAGCAAGCGTAACATCCCTGTGAGACAAGCCTCCGACATCATGGGTGCTCAGAGTAATTTGTACCTAAAGTAAAGATATAATAAACTTTCAAGTTATATCAAAAAGTACCTTGGTGAAAAATATAATTTCATAGCCATTTCATGAAGTTCTATTTTGGATATAAAATTCACAAAAGTAGCTGTGTTAATTTTGTTTGAGAGCTTAATACTGAAGACATTTTATGAAACAACATAGTGTTGTTTAAATAATACTAGTATTCAGTTAGCCTATGCAAACACTAGTTTTATATTAGACTCTAGTAAAATATATAGAACAGTGAACATTATAGTGTCGATTATATAAACAATATGTTATTGCTAAAAATAATAAAATAAGTGATGTACTACCAATTTTTTTATTTTGGCAATATACTTTAACCTAAAGGTCATGAACATAATAATAAAATCCAAATGTATAATTACAATTTTAAAAAGTCAAATTTTAATACAACACACACTATTTACAAGTCATATCAACTTAATTTAACATTTAAAAAAATCTGTGCAGTTTTTAAATGAGTACACTTACCTTGTTATAAACATTGAACCATTCTGGGTGATGATCCATTTTATCTGCCTTTATTGCTATTCTGGTCATAAATCCAAATGCCTTTATGAAAAACAAACAAAAAATATATTCTGCAGTTTGAAATGAGTTGCCATACTTTTTGTAAAATTTTGCAATGTGATGTAAACACCAATGAATATGTTTTGAGGAAATTACCTGATTAAAATCTTTGAAAATGAATTCTTTATAAATAGCATCTCTGCCTTCAACCAAAGTCCAGCCAGATTCTTTGAGAGTGGCAAGTATTGAAGGCCTTTCTTCATCAGACAGCTTAGCTCTTTTGGGACTAGCAGCCTGCATTGTTTTATATAGTTAAATGCTTATTTAAAGGTATTAAAATCTTTTATAGATAAATAATTGGCGATTCAAAACTATATAAACAAAAACAAAGAAACAATGGATAATACATTAATAAGCACATTGGAAATACGAGCACAGTGTCGGGGCAGTAAGATGAGAAGGGCCAGATGTTGCACATCTATCAAGACCCCTTTTACCACACGGTTGATGGACCTAAGCAACAACTTAAAATCAGTGATATCACAGGAGCTGCTTAAAGGAAACCAGAGCTGGTAATCCTATAACATTAGGGGCTCCACTCCTATTTGATTTTGGAGTTTTCTCAACTAGATGAGTTGCTGTCTCCAACAAACAAACTCACCTGCCCAAGGGATTGAACTAAGGATTTTCTCATTAGCAACTATACGCTTACCAGCCTGAACATATAAATAACATTGAAATTTTAAAAAACCGTATCATCAAAAAGAACTGGATGGATGTCACACCTCAGCCTACCCTAAAATGGTAACTTTTGTTTTTTTAAACAGACATTTCTTTCTAAAATATTCAATGTGCTCGGTCATAATTGAGTAAGGGATAGTGAGGTCATGCCTCTACTTTCACTAACATGAATTTGGTACCCATCAGAGCTGGATAGACTCAAGACTTTAGGGTCAGCTGTCTAGCACTCTACCACTAGGCCACACCATCCCATTAAAATTGAGTATATTCATCAATTTTCCTTACAATTTACAAAAAAGATAATACAAAAACAAATTATAACTGCTAATATCTGCATATTTTCTATCCCTTCACTCACTAGTCACAATAGCTTGATTACCCCCTAAATAATCCCTAAAATAGTTTTATTCTTTTGAGTTTATATTATAATTTATTAACTCATGTAACAAGTCCACCAGTTGGTCTTGCCCAAAGATATCATTCTGCTAGAGATTCAGTGAATTAAAATTTTTATCATATCGGTTTACACATTTGGAACATAATTCAGGCATTAAGTGCTTTAGGTGCTAGGTAGGAGACTAGTAACTGTAATAATACAATAGTAATAATATTAATAGTAATACTGAATTACTAAGCCTACACCATAAATAAAATTAAATATTAAGACTCTTAATTAATAGAAAGTTAAGAAGATAAAGATTCTAGCTGTTTAGAATCTATTTCTAATCTATCTAGATCTAGATCTCTACGCCTAGATCTAGAATGTTAAATTAATAAATTTGTTTTGTATTCTGCGCAGGGTCAGGGAATAAAAATTTTTAAAAAATATTTTAATTTTGTTTTAACTTTTAACTTTAACAATATGAAATAGATCTATCATAAATATGAATTATTATTATTAATATTATGAATTAGGCCTAATATGAATATGATCAGTTTATCAACGTTTGTTTATTTTAATGGTAATCTATCGTTTTGGGTACGTAAAATCGCCCGCGGCTATTAATGTACGAAAATGTTACCTCATTGTCAAGGCTTAAATAGAGGTATATTGTGATATGTTTGTGTCAAATATTATAGTTTATAGATAAATGGATAATAAACCTAAATCAATGGCTAAATATTAATATCAAATAGGCCAGAAATTAACTTTAAACAGCAGTGTCTGCGAGCAAGATTTACTATATAAACAGCAGACGTGTAAAATAGAGTGACTTCCCCCTGAATCTTATAAAAATAAAACTTAAACAAGATGGCTGCTATAGTAGTGCTATAGTAAATGAGCATGGTTGCATCTGTTGGAAACATCGCTAGTCTTCATTTATTAATGAAAAGTTTTAATTCAATTGTTTAAAAACAGATACATAAATGAAACAAGGAAACATTTTTGTATTTTAAAAAACATAAATCCTCCTCAAAATGTGAAATAATTATTAAAATTTAAGGAGTCACCTGTTTTTCACATTACAAGTCGCGGGCGATTTTACGTACCTAAAACGATAGATTACCATTTTAATTTTTTAATCATGAGTGTTAGTCAGCAGGCATACACATCACACTACGCATTTAGATTTTTTCTAAAATGAAAGAGAATGTAGATCTACCATTTTCTTCGGAGATGAGTATGATCTGATTTGGTTGACAGCTGTGCGACAGAGTGCACTAAGAAAGGGACGCGTGTGAAACAACATTTAGTAGGTCGCGCATAAATTTCAGCAGGTAAATAGCCAGCAATTATGAAAACTTTGTTCTGCACTTGTTTATAACAACTTAGATTTTTAATAGGAAATTAGTTTCGACATTTTACGAAGTTAATAACTTTATAATAAAAAAAAAAACTAGTGTTAACAAAATATTTTAATATACAAATTAACTTAAGCAAATTTGAAGTATTTATATACTGTTGTGGTGACTTGAAATTGAGTCTGAATTACAATCTCTGGAATTCTTCACTTTGGCAACTGCACACTGTTGTATTTAACTTTTAAGTATGGCTTAGTGCTTAGTCTGTGTATATAAACTTGACTTTGTAGATCTTTTGTAGGTAAATATTCTGGATGTGAAAATTTTATCATACAATAGCAGCGTTCACTTTGCAAAAGAATGACTAAAATTTGGTTATCACTTTTAAAAAAAAATGCAGTGTGATGTCACATCTGGACCCCCCACCCCTCCCAGGAGTGTAACAATGTATGGACAACTCCTTTCCAATTATGTAACTTTTTCCAATTGTTTATTAAGAATATTGCTAATAAGTGTAAAATTCACAAAAGAACTAATTCACTGCAGGTGTATGAATCAATAAATGGAGTATTCTTCAACTAACTTGATAAGTGTTCAGAATTAACTTTTGAAGAAAAATGTTAATTTAACAGTAAATTGAAAAATGTGCACACAAATAAGAAAATGATCATGGCCCTTAAGTTTGACCTGTGAAATTTATATTCCATGTTGTATCTATATTTCTATCATTTGACATCTTTAACGATTTAGTACTGTAAGTTGATAAACAATTAGGTCTACAGATAGATTTTAAAGAGAACTATAAAACACAAAAGCATAGTATTGTAAACAGTGAGAAACTTTATTTAATGTGGTCTATCATTCCTACAAAAAGTATCAATGTTTTTAACTTTTCTATTTTTTACACACCATTCACACAAACTATTTTTAATTTACACAAATTAAATGCAAATAAATAAACAAGCATAAACAACAATAATGTAAATTATATATACTGATATTGGCCCGTAGTCAAATTAACTGTCTTATTTATTTTTAAAAAATTGTATGTATTATCTATCTTAAAATACACAAACTAATAGTTTGTAGTTTTTTTACTATTAGACATGTCAATCTTTTATCACAGAACATTCAGGTACGTTTTCTCTGGAAATGGGAGCGCCTAGCTTAGATAGGAACCCACACCTTTAAGCACAGTTGATCGATAAAATAAGATAAAAAATTATTTACTGCTCCAGTATACAAGAGGATCCATTGTGTGTTCTGAGGTGAGGTGATAATGTATAGTTATGGTTTTTCAATTTAAATTTAAATGTAATTACGAACAAAATAGTGAGTATTCATAAAATCACTCAGAGTTTTTTAAAATCACTTACAATATATTTATAACAGTGTAAAGTATCTTGGATTTAATTTTTAGAATATTTGGAATCAATGCATAATTATAATTCTGTTTACATAATTATAATAAATGAACTTGCTAGGAATTGTTTTCTAAACCATCTTGCATTATAAACTGTTTCATCATATAATCTGCAGCTAAACCTGGTGTAACATGGCCATTAATAACTAAATCCTCCATTTGTGGTAGTAAATGTTTTACACTAGAATGATTCTCAAATTTTCCCATTATATGATCTTTTATATGATTCCATAGCCATAATTTAAGCTGTTTCTCCCTGCGCCGTGTGAGCTCCCCTGCAGAAAAAGTGGCCTGCTTAAAATCTTGCTGCATCTCCCACAGTTCAGAGATTCCAGTTTTCTCAAGAGAAGAAACTTTGGTCACCTAAAATTATGTAAAATTGTATTCATTGTAATAGGTAACAATAATGTTAAGCAATAAGTTGAAACAATATTGTTAAAGAAATTTTACAAATATGTTTATCTTTAACACATTTTTTTTGCTTGCTTAACACTTACAAAACAATTGTTATTGGTATTACAGCTTTGTAATAGTAAGTTTGATCCTAGCATAAATTACTGCTAAAAAGTAAGCATAGTCTGTTAACAATTTTTTAAATATTCTATAGATAATACAATCAATAGTTTTAGTTAAAGCCTGAGAAAACAAATAAATAAAATTATTTCACCTACCTTTGGCCTCCAAACTTTTGAACGAGGCCTCATGAACCTAAGAGCACTACTGTATTCAGACTGAATTCTCCGAGCTGCAGGCAACAAGTCACCATCACTTTTGTTAACAATGACAATATCTGCCACTTCTACAATGCCTTTTTTGATACCTGAATGAAAGGAAATATTCCTAGTAAATATTAAAATATTTATAAAGAGTTTCCCATAGAAAAAGAAAACGAGTTATATTTTAAAAAGATTTGCTTAAACTACTTAAAGAGAGATGTAACAAATCAGGTTCACGTATAAAATGTAAAAGACGTGCTGCCCAGAGAACTGGACATGCATATTTGACACAGGCCTAGAACAACTTTTGCATATATGAAACAGCTTAAAACAGAATCTGAAAAATAACGTATGTAGGAAAAACATAATTTAAAGCAAATACTGAAACACTTACCTTGTAATTCATCTCCACCAGCTGGTGGAATGAGCAGACAAAATAGATCTACCATATCAGCTACTGCAAATTCTGACTGACCCACTCCTACGGAAATAAGTTTAAAGTAAAGTTCTATAAAATTAAAATAGTTTTTAAAAAAAAGAAAAATTTAAATTTAAGTTACAGTTTCCAATCTCAAGGTCAATAGGGATGATAGTTCTTCACCTGTTTCTGATAGTGTGATCATTCTAAGCCTAGAATCCTTTGTTTTCCATCACTTGAGTCAGGTACTCATCAGAGTTCGAAGGCAATTGTGTGCTCTACTTACTATGTCCTCCATTACAATGAAGTGCATAAACTATATCAAAATTGTATAAATATGTTCTACAACATACCAAGGACTTTATAGTGCTTATTTATATGAAAATAAATGTAGGGAATAGTGAAGTAGTAAAATGTTATAAGGGAAAATATTACAATGTTGTACCAACAGTCTCCACAAGAATAATATCATAGCCACCACCCTCACATAGAACTATTGCTTCATTGGTTGTTCTGGTAACCCCGCCAAGTGTGCCACTTGAAGGTGAAGGTCGAATATAAGCTGACATGTCGCGTGAGAGCTCTGGCATTCTTGTTTTGTCTCCCAGTAATGAACCTACGTTGATTGATAAGTAAACGATAAGAAACTTGTAATAAGCCATTTAAACTATACATTAAAATGAGGAAACCTTTCCTTCATTATTTTTTAAATATAATAAAAAATATTTTTACACTTTGACAATCAGACGAGAGGATTAGAATTTTTAAATCCCTTACCTCCTGATGTAGAGGATGATGGATCAACAGCTAAAACAGCTACTTTGTGGCCTAAACTTGTGAGGAATTTCCCAAACACTTCTATAAACGTACTTTTACCAGCTCCAGGTGGCCCAGACAAGCCTAAACACATTGTAGTAAATAATAACCAAATTACTTAACTTATTCAACTAAAAAATGTAAATAATAATGTAAGTTACCCTTTCAGACCTGGTGGTCCATAGAGCAGATGAAGTAAAATTGATCTCTTTCTGTGACATCACATATCAAGGGATAGTGTAGTCAGATTTGTAGAGAAAACACTTTACTTTCATTAAAATGTAAGTCAGGTACCCATTTGAGCTAGGTGTACTCAGGAACTCAAGCCCAGGATCTGAACTTGAGACTTCTGGACTAGAAGTTGTGTGCTCTAGTCCCCGACCTTACATAGAATAATAATGTCAGAAAGCAATAAATAAATAAAGTTCAATTTTAAAAATAAAAAAAGAAAGGAGTATATAGTACCTATCCTAAATGAGCCTGGTCCTAAAAGTGAATGTTGGCTTAACTCTTTGATGTGTCTTAGTACTTTGGTCAACAGAAACTGTGCTTGCTTTTGTTTGGCTGGATTGGTGGATTCCACTAAGGTAATGGCTTTTGCAAGACTAGCCCGTTCCTTAGATATAAGTCCTTGGTAAAGCTTTTCAATGTCTTGTTGCTTATCAATGTCCCCCAACAACTTTTCAATATTAAATTTTGAACTGTCTACAAGCTGTTTTGTTTTTGGCAGTTGTGAGGTACTTTCATTCTGGTTTCCAAAAAACTTGACTGTTAAACGATTTGTTGAATAATGTTGATATACATTTCTTTTGAGTTCTTTCCAGTTGCTATAGTTTAGTTTTGGATAACATGAAAATATTCTTGAAAACATTTTGCCAGTAGCAGTTCACTCACATTGTAACTGTTAGTATATATAAGTTCCTCTCAATTCAAACTATTCTTGAATAGATGCTACCTTCATAGATATTAATCTTTAAATAAAAAAATCACATTCACATTTTGTCATGTTAGCACATTAGCTAATTACTCCAGACTTATTACAGGTTTTTTTTTCAGTAAATCAGACTCCACAGGACCCACTTTATAAAGCACTGTTTTCATTTTCCTAGTCTATTCATGTTTTCTAAACTGTGCTAGTCAAACAAACAATGAAATGTCATGGCAAACTTATTCAATGTATTTTTGATTATGTTGTTTGTCTTAAGTCAGTTATATCAAAGTAAATTATTAGCAATAGTAACAGTTATTATGATAGTTTCTACGCAATGCTGTCAGCACATGACAGATGGATGATAATAAAAAAAAAATTATGAAAAAGTGCTAAGAGGAAACAATAAAAGTTTAAGAGGCATTTAGGCCTTATTATTCAAATTTTTTGTTTTTAAGAATAAAAAATATATAGGCAAAACAAAACATGTTCATTGATGTATAATCTATATATATAATTCTCTTCTGGGAGCCGTTAGAAAACAAGCTGCAAGCGCCTCCTTGCAGTCCCCTCTCTTTCTCTCTATCACTATCAACTCCCACCCCACCCCCACATTGTCTGGTGAGCTGTGGTCAGGATTTACATTTTACAATCATAGAGACGGGTTTGATGATGGCTATTAGGGGCAGATAATTTAGTTTGAAACGATTTTAAACTTAGAGGAGGTAACTAAGAGGAGGCTGCTTTCACGTGGGGGGGAGGGGGGTTTAGTGTTTTTAAGCAAATATTTTCAGTGGCAGCATTGGTACTGTCGAATTCACAAATTATAAATTACTGAAAAGTAGAAAAAAAAACCAACTAAATAGCGGCGTATGATACGCAGCGGGTTGGCTTGTTATGTATAATTGGGGAGTGGGGGGAGGCGGGAAGCCAAGCTTTGTTATGCTATTTTTTGTGCACTGAGTGATAACATAATTTTTAATTATAAAGTATTAAGCAAAGATTCCTCTTGGCCAAATGAAATAGAGTTTATAAGTTTCTTGACTGCTGCACATGAAGGGATAGTATGGTTAGCACTATGCCCAGCCACCTATACTATACTTTTACTAGTATAAACTGATTATACTTTAATACTTTCACTAGATACTTGAGATTTTCAGGCGATTTTAGTATTTACTAGTAAATTACAGTAATTTATATATACCATACAGTATGATCAGTTTATTTAGTAATCTATCGTTTTAGGTGCATAAAATTGGCCAAGGCTAGTAATGTGCGAACAAGTTGCCTCATTGTTAAGGCTTTAATACAAGTATATTGTGATATATTTGTGTCAAATATTAGATAACTGAATAATAACTATAATTTTACAAAAAAAAAACTTAAATAAGATGGCCACTATAGTTGGTTGCATCTGATGAAAACACCGCTATTCTTTAATTTTTGGCAGCATTTGCGCACTTCGCTCCGAGTTACATGTAAGGTCGCCTTTGCGCTGTTTGCTCCGCGTTACGCTAAATCTTTACCCTAGGTGGCACGCGATCTAAAAAAAAACAGATATCAGGACTGCCTGATTTTTTTTTCGTGGTAGCAATTTAATGTTGACACAGATCTAGATCTAGTTTAAGTGTATTTATATTATTTCAACACCTAAGAATCTAGATCTAATCTAGTACCTGTAAAAAAAAACAGTGCTGTGTCAGATGATAGTCCTAGATCTAGTAGCAATTAAGCTAAATCAAACTGTCCTTTAGTAAAAAATTTTAACAGCTATCTAATCTAGCATGCATGATAGTAGATTTAAGTCTATATTATTTATCCTATGTGAACTAAAAAAAAAATTTCCTTTGGGGGGGGGGGGGGAAGAGATAAGTGAAGACAAAGACGATCTCGTGAACTTATGTTCATTCTATGATGTATGCTTTAGGCCTGCTGAACTCACAGTGACCTCGCCGACCGTGGTGGGATTTTTCACTTATGGGATAGTAAACGTAAGGCAAGCAAGCAAAACGTAAAAAAAAAAATAGTAGTAGTACCGATTGTGCTAACCCAGGGTTCATACTCTGAGCTCCGATCTATAAACTACAGTCTACAGCTGGCACAATGTTGACTCAACCATACCAGATTTGATGGAGAAGGAAAAAGTAAGCAATTTCAATCACAAGATGACAAACCCAACCTGCGAGAGGCGTAATCACTTTGTTACGGGGCCACACTCTGCGAGACGCGTGGTCACTTAGTTATTTTTTACTGATAAGTTTTAAAACAATTGTTTAAAAACAGGTATTTTATGAAACTTTGAAACATTTTTGTAACTTTCAAAACATAAATCCTCCTAAAAAATGTGAAATAACTACTAAACATTTTTCACATTACTAGTCTCGGCCGATTTTACGTACCTAAAACGAAAAATAATAGGCCTACAATGATAGATTACCGCCTACTAATTTAATAATATTAAAATAAGAACGGCGTAGAATCGTACAGTAACATAACAATCTAAAATTAGGCATTTCGACTTCCGCTGTTTCGATTCGGTACGACCACATCCTGACTTTTTCATCGTACTTGTTGAAATTCGCCATTTTTTAACAGGTTAATTCTCGCCATCGGAATCGAAGAATAAAATGTATTCGATGTGAATATTTGAGTTGAATTTAATCTTTTATACATACTAATAAATGAATTAGCTCCCGTTTTACATTGTCCGATACCGAAAGCGATCACCGATAATAGCAAATATTTGTCGAAATGCCGACGCTACCGAACTGGCGCATTGACAACTAAATTTCAGATATAAATAATCCTTTAAGTTGCATGAAAATAGGCTTAAATAGCATGCCAACCATTTGGATAAATAGAAATGTCGATTTGAAGGGTTTTTAAGCACGGGCCAATGAGGAGTAGCGCGATAAAACTCGTAGGGGTAGGAACGAGAAAGCGTGCGTAATTTCATAATGGCGGCCGGGTTATGAGATATTAATAGATATGCGCATACGATGTTTTTTTAATAGCTGTTTGTTTTTAAATGGACTGTTACAATAAAATGGGCTTTAAAATAAATATACTGTAGATCTAAATTGGAAAGAATGTAATTAGGCCTAATTGCTGCCTAAATAAATTATAAAATTTTTAATTAGCCAGATTTTTATTAACCTTCTTAATACCAGGTTAACTAGATCTAGCAAACTAGCATTAACGAATTGCAGATAAATAGATTATAAAGGCATTTTCAAGTAGAAAAAAATCTATATTTATTGTACACAGTTTTAAAAAAAATAGAATCTAGATCTAAATGGAAATGAAAACACTAAAACAATAATGGGTCTAGAGATGTGTAATAATATATATATATATATATATATATATATATATATATATATATAAACTATTAGGCCTTAATGTAAATACTGACAGGCCTATCTGTAGTATCTAGATCTATAAAGTACTATAAAGGGCCTAAATTAAAAATAATAATGCCCAATTTTATAAGCTGCACTGCATTACAGTTTTAGTTATAGGCATCTATAATAGAAAGAAAACATGAACACTTTAATTAATGTCATTTAAGAATTTATCAAAGGATACGTCAACTTCACTAAACATTTTATAAATAAGAATAATGTGAAATGTCAATCTTTGAGTTTTAGCACACCTCAACACTTTTCATCAGAAACATTACAAGAACCAAAATTTTCTAAATTAATTATAAGATTTTTACCATGTTATACACGGACACAAATCCAATGTTTATGGCAAATCGTTAAGTATCTTGATCATATTGTGCTGTATTTGACTTGTAAGTTCTAACTCTATACATTACCTGTACAATATGTATACTAGCACTCTTATTACTAACACCAGAATCAATATGTAAAGTTTAATCTTTATTTTTATAGTAGCAACAAAGAAGTGCAACATATTAGCCTGTAGTTAATCATCATAGTCTAATTGCGCTGTACCATATTCAAGTTCACTATTTATAGTTTTCCTCTAGCTATGTTTATTTTACTTGCATGATTGTATTTTTTACATGCTCTAGTCCTAATATATATATAAAGTTTCATGATGGTATATCATGGAATAGCAACCTAGCTGTGCAGTCTGGAAATCCTCTTATGGCAGTCACTATAGAACAGTGCCACACCCCTTAATTTTTAACTTCATTATTTCTAGTTACCTCTTTTCTAATTTTTATTTTATTTGTAGACTTCTATTGCCTATATCATTGAGTACAAATGTGCAAAGTTTTATCATTATATCTTTAATAGCAACATTGGTATGCAAGTTTAAAGCCAATCACACGTCTGGAATGCAGGTTACAATGAAACATAACAAGTTAAACACATAATTTTGAAAATTCATATAAAAAAAACTATTAGGCCTAGAATGATAAATTTGATATTTTTATCAATGGGGTATATTATAGGATTGATCTGGGTCCATTTTATCATTCTATGGTAATTAGGAAAAATTTCCCAATAGGCCTAATCTAAAATAAGCTAAATCTAGAACGGCTGAGAATTCGGAAGGAAAATGAAAAAGTTATCAAGGTAGAGCCTACTGGCCCTGAGTGAGGTTGAGTGGAAGTATGTACAGGGAGTGGGCCTGAGTAGGATCCTACCACACGATTAAATAATCGACATTGGTCTCAATTACTATAATTAATTATTCGGCATCAGCCTGCTAGCTCCGATACTATCAGAGATAGGTTCAGACATCAACAATACTGAAAATGAAAATAGAATTTTGGACCGGAAATAAACATTGGTTAGTAGTACCAATCCCGCACAATATAATTATTAATAATAACTAATAAGCTGACATAGTTAAGATGTTTGCAAACGTTATGTTTATATCCATTGTAAAACAAGCTCATATTTTTATTCATTATATATTAAAACAGTGTGAAAATCTTTGTCCAATAATTTATTTAAAATTTATATTCACTGTTATTCTACAATATTGTTATTGGATACAAACAAACAACATCCGGTGATGGTTTAAACTACAAAAACGTCAAATTTGCCAAAAGTTAATTTAAATAATTATTTAAAAATTGTATTATTAGAAAAAAATGACGACTTTGCCAAGGGAAGTTTTAAAGTGGCTTCAGAGTCTAGATTTATCTTGGAAAATAAAGAACCCGAAATGGTAGGTTCTAGTCCTTGAGTGTCAGTCAACTGAACTGTTCTACTTTATTAGACTTTTTATTTTTTATTTATTATTTATATTTAAAATTAATTTATAATTATAATATTAATAATATCATTGCTCATTGTATGATTGTTGTACCATTCAATATAAAAAAGTTCAAACATTGTCAACATTAAATTTAGTAAGTCAACAACAGATTAGAATTTTTAGAATAATAAAGGCATTTCAATGAAAATACTAAAATTATTTATTTATGAAAAAAGTATAAGTAATCATTGTAAATCACTATTGCCATCTTTTGCAATAGTAAACAAAGTCAATTTTGAATTTAGCTTTAGCATATATAGTTGTTATGGGTCAGCTGTACTGTAGGTTAGATAGAAATAGGTTAGAATAAATCTATAATTAATTAATTAGGGGAGAGTGCGTGTGTGAGTTCAGTTTACCCTAGATTATTGTAAATGCCGGTGTGTTTATGCATTGTTATCCCAAGGTCAAATAGGGTATAAAAGCTGGAGTGAATGCAGTGGCGAAGCAAGGTCGGGTGTCACCCGGGGACAAATTTTCGATTTGCAACCCCCCCTCTCAAACTTTCGATTTACACCCCCCCTTAAGTTTTCGATTTGTACCCCCCCCCCCCCCCAAACTTTCAATTTCCACCCCCCCTCAAGTTTTTCTCTATATATTTTGCTATTTTTTGTCTTGGTGTCACCCCCCTAAATGGTATCACCTGGTGCGGTCCGCACCCCCCGCCCCCCTCGCTACGCCTCTGAGTGAATGGTTGTAAGGGTTAGTTGGTAGTGGTTAGTGCAAGGGCTATATTCAATATTGTAATGTGAAGAATTGAGACCAAATAAAAGTATTAAAGATAGCCACGAATCGTTTCCTGAGTTGAACCAAACCTGGGCGTAACAATAGTGCCATAGGCCTATATTATTAATTATAGATCTATTTACTTTTTGTCCAAATTCATTAGTAATAATAAATTACAGTATTGTAAAAAAATTACAGTGTTTGAAGGTCTGTTGATCTTCATCACTTTTTCAAAAAACCTACTTCTCAATGAGGAAAGCTTGATACACTCTATTTTTGGTCTGGCAAGACATAAAAAATAGTAATAATTTTAGCTAAATGATTGGACTTTGGCACAGCACTTCTCCCCTATAGGGAGTGTGCCATCATTTATGGATGACTTCTAATTACAATAATTGATGAAAATAATTAATTAGGCATTTTCCCTATACTGGCCTATACTATATATAGTAGTGCCCTATGTATATGCCATATCCATAAATGCTATCTACAGTTGATTGTATTTGTTTAGAAGTAGCAAGAAGTACTATTTAAGGAAGTATACTATTTTTTTTATTACTGCATCTATGCTTAACTCTGGTGTACACAATTTTAAAAAAAATATTTTAAATTTTTTTTATTAGTATAGCTGAGCTAATATTTTTAAAAAATATTTTTATTGCGTTAAATAATTTTGAAAAAGTTTGGCAAAGCTGTAGGTTACCAAAACAATAAAGCAAGTTAAAAATCAAATTTAATTGATATTCATGCTACTTATTTAATAAATTTTTATTATTATATTATTTTTCTTATCTTGAAGGGACCTCTCAAATGGCTATCTGATAGCTGAGATATTTTCATGGTATTTTCCCCATGATATTCAAATGCATAGTTATTACAACAGAGACTCATTAGAATTAAAAAGACGAAACTGGTTTCTTTTGAAAAACGTAAGTTAATGTGGGCTATAGGGTAGGTGAAATGTTTTTTATTGACCTAAGTTTAGCCATCAAAATCACTAGTCGCATTCTTATTTTTTTTTTAGTAAAGCTAATTGAAAACTGTGATTAGAGAAAGTTTTCTGCTTTTGTGTCCATTTCCCTGCATGAAAAAGCTTGTCGAACATCGTTTTATTATTTTACACTTTTCTAGTTTATTCTAAAAAACCAACTTGATCTTATGATGGAGGATATTGAAGGCACTATACACTGCAGAGAAGGTGCGGCATCACAGTTGATTGAAAACATGTATGAAATTCTTACAAACAGAAAGTAAGAAAATAATTTTCTTTTTTGAAAGTATTCAGATACAAGTTCTTTTTTAAAGGGTAATTAATACTTTTATTTAAAATATTTACAGGGTAAAGAAAATACCACCAGAAATTGAAGTAGATTACACTGATTATGCTTATCAGCAGCAGTTGCCTATGCATGCAAGATCAACTGCTTCAAAAGCAATTAAAAATAACTTAAGGCTTACAGAAATCATAGCAGATCAAAATATCATAGCTTCAGCAAACAAGGTACTTTTATTTTAAGTAATTTTACGATATATATCATGTAAAAATGACCAAGTTTAGGGCCAGTTTTTTTTATTTTACTAAGATAAGACCTCTAATCCTTTTGAAAAAGTGCCTAGTCAATAGGTGGATAAATGTAATCTCACATTTGTAAAAATAAAACAAAGTTTCTATTTTTAATATACATTGTAATAATGTAAACAATGATTTAATCTTAATTTAATTATAAATTTCTTTAAGAGGTGTGTTTCTTTGTGCTGTGCATACATTGCTGGAACATAATCTGCTTTTAATAAACTGTTTGAGTCATTGCTGGTCAAAGATATTCATGTGTACTAATGATTGTTGTGGTTTGTTTTGTATACTTTAACCAACAAAAATTAATTCATATCTAGCCAGATTGGTTTTCTGAGAGAACAGTGTTGAAGGTAAGAATAGTACATGGTGGCACCAAAAACAGTTTTGTATTGCACTGCATATCTTTATTATTTATATCTCTTGCTTCAATTGGAAAGCCACTATATGTACTATTTGAAAGGAAGTATTCAAATTAAATTGATATTATTACATTTGATATTTTATTAATATTATTTCTTCCTGATATCTGTAAATAGATCATTGCATTGTGTTACAATTCTTTGGATTATATAAATCCTATTTCTTGCTTGAGTTTATTATGGTTTTGTATTTATTAATAAGGATTTGAAAAAAAAATGTAGGTTTGCTAGTGTCCTAAAATATATTCCATGCTGATTCATTCTTTTCTCCATATTAACAAAACAACAACTAAGATCAATATGAAATGTATTGCTAGTTGTGTTATCAAAATTTGGAAATAATGAAATAAATTATTTAAAATTTAATTTATTTTTAACCTCAGATAATTAATTTAAAGTATTCAAGTAGTTAAATGGATATTTTTCTGTTTACTCAAGAACTTTTGACAATTTGTAAATACATATTTTCTGATTTCAAAGCTCAATTTTAAAGTATTATTAATATTACTTTCTTTATTATGATATCTTTTCCCATTTAATGTAGACTATCATAAATTATAAATAAAGAATCATTGAGTATGTTCAAAAAGAGGTTTCCCAGTATAATCACTAATAGAATCTTGATAAGTTAATATTCATCTATCACTTAAAATATTCACGTGAGAATCTATTATGTTGCATGCACCCACTACCAATAAATACCGCTTTGTGTGATGCACTTTCACTGCATTTTAAATGATTTAACATGCAAAATTATCTATTGCATCAATATATTGTGGCTTCTTATTAGTACTTGTACTGCAATGAATTCAGTTCAATAGAAAACATTTAAATTAAAAGGTATGGTATCAATGAAGAATGTTTTTAAACAGAAGATAGTAATTATTATTTTAATTATAAATATGTTCTAAATCTAATTATTAGTCTATATAAGTACTAGTTTTCAAGTATTTTTAGAACACTTTACCAATCCACACTAAAGTGTATTTATCATTTTCATTCAGACACAAAAGATCATTAATGATCACATTGAACATCGAAGACAACAGAGAATGGATGATCCTAAGAGGTTTGGTATTAAGCTTAGTATAGGTGACCGATGTGTGAGACAGCCAAACCATCAAATCAAAGCCCTATCTGAGACCAGTCACATGACCAGTGCCACAGACATGTATTCTGAGCTAGGTTAGTTATTGTCATTATTACCATCACTTTATCTTTGCTGCTAGCAGCAATCGGAATAGTATTTAAAAAAACTGGCAAATTTTGGATGTTTAACTTATTATTAATTTAAAAAATAATACATCATAAAACTCATTGAAAGAAAATAATATTAGTTTAACTTATCAACATTGAATTTCCAGAATGGAAAAAAATCTGGTCAAAATATCCTAGGAAGCTTGGCCCATTACAACATTAAAGAAAACTACTTGGGTTGTTTAATGTTAAAGAAATTTCTTTTGTTTCCAAATATTTTATTTTTACTGTTTAATATGTTAGCGTTTTTTGCAATTTTGTTTGAATAAAATGTTTTTTTAAGTTAAATGTTAAGTTAAGTTAAATGTCATATATATGTATGTATATATATATATATATATATATATATATATATATATATATATATATATATATATATATATATATATATATATATATATGCCTGTAAATAAGTATATTGCTAAAAAGATAAGTGTTGCATAACTTTTTTTTTATACAGCATGAATGATTATGTAAAAGTATTGCTTTTACAAATTAGTTTTAAAACTAAATTCTATTATTTAACTTTTTTCACCTTCAAATACATTTTAAATTATTATTTATGTTTACTTTACAACTAAATTAATACTTTTAATGGGAAAACTTTCATAACATTGTTATATTTGATAAATTCTCAGATGGTGATCATGAAAGTGAGAGCCAAAGTCCAATTACTAGAGAACCAAGTGTACACTTTAAAGAAGTTGAAGTCAAACAAATGGACAAATCTGCTTTATATCATATGCCTTTACATGGTTACTAAGTAACAAAAAGTCAAAAATAATTGTTATTATTGTTTTTATTAAATAGAATCACTGAATTCAGTCACTTATTAGCTTACACAAAAAATTTATTTTTGTTTTTGCAGCTGTGCTTTTAAAAAATGTTTATACCTAAAATACTTGCTTTAGAAGTATTCGTCATACAAGATAGTTTTAAAATGTTTCCTAAACTTTGAAAACAAGGTATTCTGTAAAAATTATTGACTGATGATTTATTTAAAATGAAATTATCTTAATTTAATGAAATGATCTTTTTAAAACTATGATATTGTATTGACATAGTTTTGTATCAAACTGATATCCATAAGTGGATAAATAAAAAGAATAAAAACACTCCAAAAATAGTAAAGGAACACCCACAGTGATAAAATGTATATTTACAAAATTTGTGAACAAAATGAAATTTTAAGTGGTTTTATTTTATGTTGTTTAAAACACATGAATTGTGTATACCCTTTATCTTATTAACAAAACAAGTTTTAGAATGTTGAAGAATATTTGATATGTAATTATACCATTAGTATTATAAATGCAGATAACATTTGTCTTTATTCTTTTTTTTCCTGAGGCATTGTTTGAACAACATAACATTGTAATTCACAGGCTAAAAAACTCAAACAATAAACAGTGTTAAAATAGTTAACTTCTTCATTTGTAATGTTGACAAACATATTTGCTTGAAAGATTCGACAGAAATACTCCAATCACAATTTATGTTTTAAAAATTATAGAAATGACTGGGTTCATCTTGACTAGTCTTAAATAAGTACTGTTAAAAAATGTTGAGGATTGTAACATTTAGACAGGAGAGTTTCAAATTAAAATATAAACAAGTAATTTGTTTTGTTTGAATAACACTTAACAGCAAACAACAGAAATAATTAAAATCTTGCTTAGGAATGTCATAAATGAATATTGCATAATGAAATCACAGAATTTCTTAGTATAAAAATTACTCCACCATATAATAATTAAATAAGTACATATTATTAAGAATTTTTAAATTCCCAAAGTGATCAAACCACATCTAATAAATACTGTTAACTTAAGAATACATAACATGCAAACCATGTAATAAAAACTGAAGTAATATTGTTTCATTTCCTGCATCATAAATCATGGCTTTGTAAATACTGGTTAATATCCTGCATCCACTATCTCCCTCAGTGATAATTAAATGGGAAGTAAACATTAGGTGAACCAAACCAATGTAACAATTGAAGTAGCTGTGCTATGATAAAAATTTATCGCACCCAAATCAATGTGAATGATAAGTATGACAAAGTAGAGAGTAAAAACATTCTCTATTTTTAAAAATATCAGACATAATGTTTTCATTTAAAAAAAATTTAAGAAATAATCTGTGTTACAACCAGTTGATATTTGTGACTATTTGTATTAAATTTGTTGTTTTTGTTTTAGTTTAAATATGTTACATTTTAATATTCATTGCATTGTGGTTTAAAAAATAATGAGCATGGTAAAGTAAAAAAACAAACAAAAAAAACGTTCACTTCAAGAACTCATATGAAACAATCTGTGGTTAAAAAACTTGATCTTTGTTTCTCTTTTATTTCACCCACATGTGACCTACTTAGGTCGAGTCAGGTTCTATTTTTATTTTGACATTGTATAATACCTTATATGGAGTGATTGTGCAACAACCGGAAAATTTCCACTGACTTATTAAGGGGTCTAAGACATAGAAATTTTCCATTAAGATCTGATTGAATGATTCTGGTCAGATGACTACCCCATAGCTCAATGGCTAGGATCTCGGCGCGCCACGGCGGCGGCCGAGGTTCGAATACTCGGTGAGAAACTGAGTAGAGTCTATGGTGCCTAGTGGTCTAGTGGCTTAGAAACTCGGCTGGCTGCCGAGTAGTGTGGCATAGTGGTTAGGAACACCATTAGTGGCCTAGGGGTTAGAACCACGTAAAGTGTCACACCACAGGAAACACAACCAGCACGATAACAGTAGCTCAAGTGGCCTTGAGTGATCTGTGAGTCTCCATTTGAGACTTGTCGCAGGCAGTTTACCTTGATCAGGCAGTTTTACCTTGATCAGGCAGCCGTCCATATTGTCCGGCTATAGACTCTGACCATTTGAACGTGAGAGAACTTAAGTCCTGTGTGTGCCTTGCTTTCTTAAGTTGATTTAGTCTTCTAGTATAATATTACTTGTCGCCAAGTAATTCTTGAAGCTATAGCAGTGTTGTTTGGCCTGTGGCTAGTTTTTACAGTGGTGAAATCTGTGATAGTGTTTTTTCCTACACTCTGTAAGTTGGGTTTTGATATTTTATACATTAAATATTTTATCTAGTTTCACCTTTGTGTTCTGCCACAACTGTGTTCGCTGATTAAAGGTTGTATGTAGATTGGATGAGTGTTAATTACAATAGTATCACTAGTTTCCCCTAGACATTGAGTTCGAGCCCTAGTGTGTCGTTGTGTTAGTGGTCATCCATTTAAGCCGTAAGGCATTTGCATATAACCCCGAAAAAAGAATCCGGGGACGTTCTCCTTCTATCTGGCTGATAGATAGGGGACGTTACAAAGTGGGGGCTCGCCGAGATTTAATCTGTCGTTCCAGTTGTTGGTTATATCAGTAAGCACTAAGTTTAGTTTGATTTAGTTGTGTTTATATCCAGTAGCGCAGTGTTCTTACAACGCGCGCAAGCATAGAGTTATCTAGGTCAATAGCCAGACGTGTCGTCCTAGATTGAAGAGGTCAAGTACACGGCCCAACGCACCGTGTTAAGTTAGTGAACCTAGGCTGGTTGTGATTTGAAAGTTAGTGTTATGGAGTCTTTTTTGGCTAATCCCACTTTTGAGGAGGTCGAGAAGTTGAGTAGAAAAGTTTTGATTAGTCTTGTTAAGGAATTGAAATTGGATTATTCTGTTACGCAGAAGTCAGAGGTATTGAGAGATAAAATTGTTGTTCATTTTATTAATGAAGGGGTATTTGATGAAAGTTTGTTGGCTGGTGTATTACTCCGGGAGGAGAAAGTTGCTTTAGAGAAGGCATTAAAAGAACAGGAGTTAGAGGTTAAAATTGCTTTAGATAGGAAGAGGTTGGAATCAGAATTTGGTCAAGTTAGTGATGTTACTTCTCTGGTAGATCCAAAAAAGTTGTCGGTGGGGCAAGTGATTGCCAAATTCGGGAAATTAGTTCCTAAATTTGATGAAACAGATTTGGTCGTTTTCTTTAACTCATTTGAGAGTTTAGCGAAGACATGTGAATGGCCCGAAACTTCCATTACTGCTTTATTGAGCTCGGTCCTTACTGGGAAAGCTGCAAAAACATACCAGGCACTCTCTCACGACGTTCAAAATAACTATAGTTTGGTCAAGACTGCCATTTTGAAGGCCTACGAGCTGACGCCTGAGGCCTATCGGACAAAATTCCGAACACTCCGCAAGTTATCCACTCAATCATATGTGGAATTTCTCTTTGAAAAGGAGAAAATATTTTCAAGGTGGCTACACTCGGAGGAAGTTTCTGAGTTTGAGAAACTCAGGTCACTTATCCTAAGGGAAGAATTCCTATCGTCCCTGCCTGAAGAGATACGACTACACATACTGGATAACAAGATAACTGACATCCAGAAGGCTGCTGAGTCGGCTGACACATATATGTTGGTGCATAAGAAACCACCAGTGTCAGGAAACCGCCTCAACCCCGTGCTTCCCCTTTTTGGCAGCAATCTTCCTGTTGGCCAACACTTGAAGGCATCACAGTCCAGAGAGAACCCAAGATCAACTCTCAATCGTCGAGCGGTATGCCAGTTCTGCAAAAGACCTGGTCATCTTGTCAAGGACTGTTACAAACGTCGTCAATATAACAGAGAGGTGGTGCGTACTTCTGCGCACTATGCTCTATCCCCTCAAGCAGCCAGTTCAACTATGAACTCTAGAATTCTAAAGGACTCTAACCCTAAGTGTCCGCAAGAAGGTAGTCAAATCTCCACACATTATGTGCAGTCACATTTTGACTGTTCTCGCCACCATCCAGTTTCTTCCGAGTCTACCGATCTCGAGGGATCGAGAAAAGTTGACTTTTCATCTTTTATTGCCGAAGCCATCATTAGCAAACCAGGTGATCCGTTGTCTCAGCGGAATATCACCGTCCTAAGAGACACAGGAGCGTCACATTCACTTCTTTTGAAAAGTTCAATGGACATTACACCAGAGACGAACACCGGAAGGATTTCCATTATCCAGGGAGTGGGGACAAAATCTACTGTAGTCCCTTTACACAAGTTTGCCCTGAAACATCATCTCGTCGAAGGTGAAGTCATTTTAGGTGTGATAGATAGTATTCCTGTCCCAGGAGTACACCTACTTCTAGGGAATGACCTTGCGGGAAGCAAAGTATACCCCTGTACGGTTTCAGACCCTTTGTCAACAGTTCCAGATAATGATAATGAACTGTATCCTGCATGCGCGGTGACAAGAAGCCAGACCAAACAATTGGCTGACATAACGTCTGAACCACACCCGCCATCATCGTCAAGAAATTCGACTCCCAAATTGGAGTCTATGCTTCCAGAAAACACAAGTCTGGGCTTACCCCTGAGAATATCTCAGGAAGACATCATTAAAGCTCAACAAGTCGACGCGGGACTCAAAGCAATGGTCGAAAAATCTCTCTCATCTGACGATGGAGAATATTTCTCCGAGAACGGCCTCTTCTTTCGTCGCTCTATACCAGTGAATGCCTCACCAGCCGAACCATGGTTGGGTAAAAACCAGCTGTGGGTCCCTCCACCTTATCGGCATGAAATACTTAAGCTGGCACATGACCATCCAATGTCAGCGCACCCAGGAGTCACAAAAACGACGGCGAAGATCAAAGAACTGTTCTTTTGGCCCAAAATGAGAAAAGATGTGTCGCGTTACTGCAGAAGTTGCACGAACTGTCAGTTGGCCGGAAAGCCAAACCAGACAATTCCTAAGGCCCCTTTGAGTCCGATTCCTGTATTAGAAGAACCTTTTTCTAAAATCGTCATGGACTGTGTAGGTCCCTTGCCTAAAACCAAGGCGGGCAACGAGTACCTACTTACCTTTATGTGTTCAAGTACCCGTTTTCCCGAGGCGATTCCCTTACGGAACATTAAGGCTAAGACTGTAGTCAGAGCCATGACCCGGTTCTTCACTACCTTTGGATTACCTAGAATCGTGCAAACAGATCAAGGCAGCAACTTCACCAGTCACCATTTTCAGGAAGCACTAGCCAAGCTAGGCGTTACCCACATCACCAGCTCAGCCTACCACCCTCAGTCTCAAGGCGTACTGGAGAGGTTCCACCAAACCCTCAAAACCATGCTAAGAACGTTCGCTAACAGTAACACCCAATGGGATGAGACTGTTCCTTGGATTATTTTCGCTGCGAGGGACTGTGTCCAGGACTCTTTAGGCTACTCTCCTTTTCAACTTGTGTTTGGACATTCTGTCCGTGGTCCCCTGAAGCTGATCCACGAACAGTGGACAGGTACCAGCGATCATCCTGTGGAAAACTTTGACGATTTTCACGTTCGACTGAAAGCCGTGTGCGAAATGGCTCACAAGAATTTAAGAAGGGCCCAAGTGAGAATGAAAGGACTGTATGATAAGAGTTCTTGTAAACGAACATTCAATCCAGGCGACAAAGTTCTTGTGCTAGTGCCTAATTTGAACAATGCGTTATCCTTGAGATATTGTGGACCCTTTACTGTGCATTCAAAATTAAGTGATTTGAACTATGTTGTCAATACGCCCGACAGAAGAAAGAAACAGACAGTGTATCATGTTAATTCACTGAAAAAGTATTATGATAATTGTAACAATTTTCATTCCACAGCTAAAATTACTTTACCTGTATGTTCAAATGTTTCTGATGATGTGATACATGATAAATTGAAACCCCCAAAATTGGTAAATTCTTCCTTTTTAGATAATTTGAATGTCCACCTTATGCATTTGTCCACAGAGGAAAGCCATAAATTGTCTCAGTTATTTGAGACATTTCCCTCTATTTTTGGGGATCTTAGCTTGACCAACTTTATCAAGATCAGGCTAAGATAATTTCCAAAATTGATTTACCTTCAGGATACTGGCAAATCCCCTTATCTGACCGTGCAAAAGAAATATCTGCTTTTGTAACCCCTAATGGTTTTTATAGATACAAACGTATGCCCTTTGGTATGCGAAATGCTGGTCAAACTTTCCAGAGGGTCATTAACTCTGTCATTGCTGACATAGACCAATGTGAGGCCTACATAGATGATATAGTTGTATTTTCCAATACTTTTGAAGAACATATTGTTCAGTTGACTAACCTTTTTAGAAAATTGTCTGAAGTGAATTTTACTGTAAACTTACATAAAAGTGATTTCTGTAAAGCTTCAATTACCTATTTGGGTTACCAAGTGGGAACGAACCAGGTTCGGCCCATTGAAGCTAAAGTAGATGCTATTGTAAGGTTACCACCTCCCAAAAATTGTAAAGAAATCAAAAAGTTCCTTGGGATGGCTGGTTACTATAGGCGGTTCTGTCAAAACTTTTCAGCTATTGCTGAACCTCTTACTGCATTATTGAAAAAGGGTGTTGAGTTTGAATGGTCAAATAAATGTCAAGAAGCTTTTTTAACCATTAAGTCATTTTTATCTAATGCTCCTGTTATGGCTGCACCAGATTTCAGCAAACCCTTTAAACTTGCCATTGATGCTAGCAACTTAGCCATTGGCTCAGTCCTATTTCAGGAAGACAACATGGGAATTGACCATCCCATTGCCTTTTTTTCCAGGAAGTTAAATGAAAACCAAAAGAATTACTCTACTATTGAAAAAGAAGCTTTAGCTTTGGTTTTGTCATTACAACATTTTGAAGTCTATGTCTCTTCTTCAACCAATCCAGTCAGAGTGTTTTCTGACCATGATCCCCTGAAATTTACCTCTAAGTTAGGACAGACAAATCAAAGAATATTGAGATGGTGTTTATATTTCCAAAATTTTAATCTGGAAATTTCACACATTAAGGGTAGTGATAATGTTGTGGCTGATTGTTTGTCAAGGATGTAAAATCTTGTTGCACACATTGATCATATGTCATGTTTTGTGGTTCATTGGGACCATGCACTGGTGTTGTGTTTTCACATGAAAATGAGTGGTGTGATTTTTGATTTTTTCAAAACTCCAATCCTATTGAATATTTTGTTTATTTTCAGGTGAACCTTAATTAAAGGTGGTTTTTGATTCTATGTAATCTTTTATAATAAAATGTCTCATTGACTCAATTGATATTGTAGCTAGTCATTGAAATAAAGGTCTTACCCTGGCGGGTTTACCACTTTTAATATCCACATGGAAATATTTGTAATACCCTTTTTTTGAGGGATTTTGATGTATAATTACTTTTTGAAGGGTTACTTCCCTTTCACTAATTGTAAAAGTTTGAGTTACTTCCCTTTTATGTTCAGGGATATTTTCATCTGGTATTATGATTTTGATTGCCTACATTTGTAAAACATTTTTTTTATTTCATTGCCAGATTGGTTCCTTATGTATGTTTTTGTGGAACCTATCTGTCACTTCCAAAAAGGGAGGGGATGTGACCTACTTAGGTCGAGTCAGGTTCTATTTTTATTTTGACATTGTATAATACCTTATATGGAGTGATTGTGCAACAACCGGAAAATTTCCACTGACTTATTAAGGGGTCTAAGACATAGAAATTTTCCATTAAGATCTGATTGAATGATTCTGGTCAGATGACTACCCCATAGCTCAATGGCTAGGATCTCGGCGCGCCACGGCGGCGGCCGAGGTTCGAATACTCGGTGAGAAACTGAGTAGAGTCTATGGTGCCTAGTGGTCTAGTGGCTTAGAAACTCGGCTGGCTGCCGAGTAGTGTGGCATAGTGGTTAGGAACACCATTAGTGGCCTAGGGGTTAGAACCACGTAAAGTGTCACACCACAGGAAACACAACCAGCACGATAACAGTAGCTCAAGTGGCCTTGAGTGATCTGTGAGTCTCCATTTGAGACTTGTCGCAGGCAGTTTTTACATTGATCAGGCAGTTTACCTTGATCAGGCAGTTTTACCTTGATCAGGCAGCCGTCCATATTGTCCGGCTATAGACTCTGACAATTTGAACGTGAGAGAACTTAAGTCCTGTGTGTGCCTTGCTTTCTTAAGTTGATTTAGTCTTCTAGTATAATATTACTTGTCGCCAAGTAATTCTTGAAGCTATAGCAGTGTTGTTTGGCCTGTGGCTAGTTTTTACAGTGGTGAAATCTGTGATAGTGTTTTTTCCTACACTCTGTAAGTTGGGTTTTGATATTTTATACATTAAATATTTTATCTAGTTTCACCTTTGTGTTCTGCCACAACTGTGTTCGCTGATTAAAGGTTGTATGTAGATTGGATGAGTGTTAATTACAATAGTATCACTAGTTTCCCCTAGACATTGAGTTCGAGCCCTAGTGTGTCGTTGTGTTAGTGGTCATCCATTTAAGCCGTAAGGCATTTGCATATAACCCCGAAAAAAGAATCCGGGGACGTTCTCCTTCTATCTGGCTGATAGATAGGGGACGTTACACACATATATTTGAATTTTTAGTTCAAATATGTTACATTTTAATATTCATTGCCTTGTGGTTTAAAAAATAATGAAAGAGTACAATAACTAGATCAATTACACACAGATACAAAAATCAGAAAAACATTTTACCCCTTTAACCAACAACATTATTTGTTCATTACCCTGATAAGACTTATAATAAAAAAATATTTTTACCATCTGAAGGATATTTGTAACGAAAGTGGTTTACTCAAAAAAAATACCATTAATTCAAAGCAATTTAAAATTAAACAAATAAAAGGTAACCATATGTAAATAATGTAAAGAATCTCTTCAACAATACATACATAAAATTAAAGCCATTAAAACAAATAAGTTGAGTGGTGTGTTAATATATAGTACCTATTAGTAAAAGAAATTCAGAAATACCTTATTTTTAATATCTCTAACTCTTAAATGCCCTAGCATTGTTTTTTTAACAGATCTTTTATGGAACTTTGTTTTAATAAAAATATTACGTTGTCTTAAAATGGATTTAATCTGACTCCAGATCCTAAAGGCGAAAAAGGGTTAACTTTAGCCCACATCAAGGCTTCATTCAGTGAGATAGCAGACTGACCGTCTTCCAAGAAAAATGCTTGTCCCTGCACAATAATTAAACAGTTAGTATAAAAAGTTTTTTAGATGATAAACTGATAAAGCAAAACAAAATAGGATTCCATTTTTTTAAAATGAAGCTTGTAACAGTATTAGATAAAAGTGGTGAAAGCTATACATTAAATAAATAATTTTTTTTAACTAAATAAATTAAAGCTATGTTACAAAAGTACTTACCCTTATTTTCTCTCTGGAGAGAATAGATATATGAATATCTGAGTAGGATGGAAGATTTGAGCTTGCAACATAGTCAGGTCCAGGCTCAAGCGTCCAGTCAGGGTCAGTCCCGCATCGATGTAGCAATTGTTTATAGGATGGGTCGTCAGAACTGATTGGGTAGACAATTTTTAATTTTACATTTACCACAAAATTGTTTCTAATAACCATTTGAATTGGGTTACAATAATTATAAAAAATTTGTTAGACATAAGTGTAGCAAAAATCACCAATTTTCATCATAAGTTTTTAACCTTTTCTACAGTGTGTATATATCTGGAAACAGTGGCAGGGCATAAAGCATTTTTTGTATCAACACTGCATTTAAAAGCTTAAATATTATTTACCTGTTCCCTACAACTGATGAAAACAAGTTTAGATCTTGATCTATCTGCTTGCCTGATACTGTTAAAGTCAAACCTCTTTTCAATATAAGGTCCCTAAAATATGATTCACAAGAGTTACCATTATATTTTAACAATAAATTGTTTCATATAAAGTTGTATGGTTAATATTTTGCAATACCCAGTTGTTCATACTTAGCATGTAAAAATAGAGCCCTAACAACAGGGAAATACTGTCTTTTGATTGCCACTAGTGCTCCAACATATGCAGATAAGGCCAGTAACTCATGCATCTTACTGTGAAATAATATTATAATTAACATTATTTTAATGTAGTTTAGATGGTAAGATTATGAATTTAAATTTTTGAATAAAAACCATAACTAGATTAAGAAAAAAAATTAAGATTAAATGTGTTTCTGTTAGAAAAAATAATTTGTATTTAAAAAAATAATATTTTTACTCTGCATATTTGACAAGTTGAAGTTTTTCAGATTTCATGCAGCCTAGGAGTTGAAGCATTGGGAACACATCATCTGCTGTCCAATCAGTGTGTTGCATTTTATCTGCGACATAAAGATAAAAAATTCATGTCAATAAACAGCTTTAATTCTTTAAAAGTATGCTATAAACAAGAGTTTCCAATATAAATTAATGTTAGGGTATTGGATCCAATAGTAATGTGTTCCTTGCTTTGGTTCACATATATTTAATGGGCTCATGCTTACACATACTATGACTTCTAAATGGCAATATGAACAAGACTCCGTCACCTTTTTAGTTTACCAACAGGGCCAGATCAGTCTGAATAATACCAAGCCAAATCAATGTGATGATAGAGCACATTATAGCTCAAAAGACTCATATTTGCTTGTCCATAGGATCTCTCAGAGTCCACATAATTTTAATGAAATCAGGGAGAGTAAAGACTGCTGGACGAAGATGGACTCAATTTCGTCTGTCCCAGTTTTACTTATTAACCAAACAATGACCACTAAATTATGAAAGTGCATTTTTTTGCAATGTTTCTATTTTAAAATTAAGTATGAAAAGTTAACTGAAAAAACTAGAAGAAAATCTAAAAATTTACCATGAACAAACTTTAATCCTAATATTAAACCCTCTTCTGAAATAGGAGATAGTAAATAAAATTTAACACATTCTAAAATATCCTTAGTTGAAGTTGACAAGGCTCTGGCTTTGCTTTCACACAACTCCATAGATGGAAGTTCAGCCTGCAAAAGATAAAACAGATACATTCATTAATGTTTTTTTTTAAATAATACAAATAATATATAATTAGAACATCCATGAATTGTGAACATATGAATAAAAAAACTTCAGAAATTGAATGATACAATTATTAGAATTTTAGTTCAAACTAAATTTATTTCTAAAACCTAAGGGGTCGTCCATAAATGACGTCACACTCGTAGGGGGGAGGGTGGGTCCATAATTTTGTGACGGTGTGTGATGAGCGGGAGGGGGTTCAAATGGTGCGACATCACACTTTTGCATTGTAAAACGAATTTTAGACGTTATTTCACGTTTTAGAAAACTGTTTTAATAAATTGTAACAGGAATTGATTAAAATACTCTATTTTGACAGAGTTAAGACAAGATTTTAGAAAAATATCGATGTTTTAAAAAAAATTCAACGGCAATTTTGAGGGGGGTTGTAGGCTGAAGTGTGACTTCATTTTAGGGGGGGGGGGTCTGGCTTTTTGTGACGTGGGACGGAGGGGGAGGGGGGAGGTAAAAATCGTCCAAAAAAGCGTGACGTCATTTATGGATGACCCCTTAGGCTAAATATTGATATATTAATACAAACACAGATAAGGGTAAAAAGGTTCTTGTCAATGTTGTGGTCTTAAAACTAAAAACCACTTATTTAATACTTAAAATAGTTGTTCTCTAAAATAAGAGAAAAAAAATTCAACTTTCACTATTCACCTTTTGGTGCAAAGAGTTGATCTCTGTCATACTGGCTGAGCATCTGGCACAAAGTTTTGCCTGCTGTAAGGATGAGTTTTCCTGCAGCTTTAACAGGTCAAGGCCAAGTTCCCTGATAAATAAATTAAAAACAGAATATACCATAATAATAAATTATATCCCTACTAAAAGAAAACTACATTTTACTGCTTTTAAAACACAATAAAAAGATTATAAGGATTATAAGCAGTTTGTGTGTTTGCATTGTTTAAAACAATGCAATGCGAAACATAATCTTTTAACTTTTTACATGTAAATTCAATAAATTAAAGATTCATGCAATTTAAAAAAATACAACAATAAATCATACCATCTACCAACACCTTCACATCTTCTAGATAACAGTTCTATGGCAATGTCAGTTTCTTTACAAACATTTCCTAAGACCTGGCCAATGCTGAGAGCCAGTTCCAGCTCATGGCCTCTGATCAAGGCAGAAATTGCTTTCTAAATGGAATAATGGAAGGTAAAATTCCAATTACTTTAGTAATACAACAATAAAAAAAAACTGAATAATTAAATAAAAACATTTCCTACTTTAAACAATTTTGTGATTAGTATGCTGTAAGTTTTTGATACCTTTGGGTTATCAACAGCTAAATGACAGCATGCTGCTAAAACTGGACATCCTTTATAAAAGTATGTGTCGGCTAAATTCTCCATCACTTCAACCGCAAGCCTTGAAAACATATTGTATTTTTTTAACAATAGGAAAGTAAGTTACAAAATGTATTTAAAATGTCAAAACACCTTTAACTAGCAATGATAGTTGCTAAATAAAAGTATTAAACCAATTTCAGCATTTTTTTAAATTATAAATTTTAATTCTTCTTTCAATCTTGCCATAACAGATTCCATATTATGTCCCCAAAAATAGTTTTATTTTAAACCTTGATAAACTTTAAGGGACCAGAAATTTTCATAACTATTTAAATAAGTTGGTCAGTTTTTCTATCAAGGTTATTTTGTGTGTGTACTGTATCTAAACACTATTATAAAAGACTTCAAATAGAGTACCTGTAAAAGATTAATTTTTATTTTCAACAAATACAATAAAAGTTCCCTAAATAAAGCTTAAGAAGCTATATAAATATTTAAAAATTAAAACAGAACAATTTTTTCCAAAATCTGTCAAAAAAGGACAGTAATAAAAAAAAACTAACCTGTCAAATTCATCTAGGTCATCCGCCTCATGAGGCCTGGTTGGCTTTAAATTTACATCTGGTACTTTTATTGATCCTTCACTGGCACTCTGAGCAATGATCACAGCATCAGAAACCTGGCCATGTGCGGTGAGAAAAGAAACAAGCTGGTGAATGTCCCCACCAGCTACACTAAAAGGCACAGCGTCAGGGTTTTCCTCAGATATCAAGAAGGCACAGTACCTAGAGAAAAGTAGGGATCATCATTGCTTACAATTATTGTTAAAACAATATCAATTCTAATACTACATTAATTTTCTTTTAAATTTTAAGGTTGTACACATTTCTTAATATGTGTAGGTGTAAATACCTGTCATTTAGCTTTTTCCAGTATTTCATGGAGACGGCAGGCGCTATAGCCAAAGCCCTTTCCCACTAAAACAAAAAATACAAAGTAAAAGATCTTAATGTTATTTGATAGCAAATAAGTCTTCAAAATCAGTATAACGATTTTTTAAATAAGTAAAAAAACCCAGCAAATTTACTTACTTTTCCCAACTCAACCATAAGCTCACAATATCGTTGTATATTTCCAAGTTTTATATGAATTCTTGCTGCTTCTTTGAGGCGTTCTTCTTTAGATGGGGCTCCAATACCACCACCAAATTTAGACATCTTAATCATCTCCAACTGCTGAGCTTCTGACTGTTATAAAATAATAATTATTTTTGGTAATATACTGAAGCAAAATAAAGTAAATCTTATGCTGTAAAATCTTAGAGAAAAGTATATAAATTATTTTTTTTTGTAACACGTTATATAGAAACGATGTGACTTTTATTTTAAAGTAGGAACATAAACTTACATAAATAGATGACCCTAATTGGTAGTCGGAAAAAATATGAAATGGCATATGTACTGACCCCCTTGAACTTTGTTATATGATTTCTGTGCACTATTCCACAGGGGTATGATGGAGACAATACAAGTGTGTCCCGATCTAATATCACAGATACTAAATCCCACAAATTTGTGGTTCCACATGGATGCTAAAAAGATAATTAGACTCATTAAGACACAAGTCACACAACTAAACCAAATTTTTTAGAAAATTAAGACAATTACATTCCATAATAAAATTCCATGAAATAAAAACCAGAAAGCTGGCTTGAAAGGTTGCACAATTATGGCAGAAAGAAGGATGAGTTTTATAATCTATTTGTTTTAACTTGAATATTTTAACATTTTAAATTCATTGCAATTATTTCGTGTGCTGATAAAAAGGTTTCACAGCTTTATAATAAAATAAAAAAAAACTCAACAATAAGTTAAAAATAATCTTACAGAAAAAAATTTAGAAAATTCTTCTACTAGAAAGGCATTTTTATGAGTCTGTCCTGCATAGTTGCTGTATAATTCTTTTGAAGCTCTTCCACACAAAGCATAGGTTAAGGCATTGATTGATGTTAAAGTTGAATCTAAGAAATATTTTGAATAAAAGTATAAAATATAGTTTTATAAATCACAAAACAAAATGAAAAAGAATAGCAGATATTACTGTTACAGTCTTAGAGGAATTAGAGAAATCTTATGTAATGTTATTTCTTCAATAAAAAAAGGCATTTAAAAAATGAGATGTTATTAAAACAAAAATGATATATAAAATTAATAATTTTTATTTCTAAAAAATTAATATGGCTATCTAAAGTTAACTGGTGTGGCCCAGTGGTAGAGTGTTAGACTGCTAATCTGAAAGTCTCGAGTTATGGAGAGATCAAGTTTCATATGGAGAGATCAAGAAACTTCATCTGCCCAATGGATTGCTAGGTCTAAATACTAGGTATCTTTACTTTTATACTTCAAAAATTAAGTATACTGCAACATAAAAAATTCACCATAAAATTGGTGTACCACAAGCAAGATGTATTACCAGACATGGCTTGATAGGGTTTCCCTGCAAGAATCTGTAGTTCTATTGGTTGAACAAGAGATGTGGTCAGCCAAAGTCTAACCGTGGAGTCCCTGGAGCATGATGCCAGTAGAAATGGCCGACTTGGATGTGAGGTCAAACCTGCATTAAAAAATATAGTTTTACAAACTACGATTGAACATATAGTAAACTTTTATCAATAGGCCTATTGCCTTTAAATGTGTTTTTTGTTTTGTTTTATTGAGTTGTTCCCTTTCTTCTATTTTAGTGTTAGAACATTCATAAAACAAAATGTTTAAAAATGAAATCAATAGTACCTTAAATTAAAGATATAATTAAAATACAAAGATGAAAACTACAAACTAAATTGAAATTTTTACAGAACATATTAATGTTTTTGTACTTAAGTAGTGTATTAAGCTTCAGTTTTTAACACTGTTTCTACAACTTTATTTTCTACTAAAATTTCTAATGTCTAATCACAAAATATGAAGAAATAACTTCCCTAACTAGAGTCAGGTTATCATCATAGTTGGATAGGTCAGAAATGTCCTGACTTAACCCTGATACATATTTGTTGAATAACAAACAACAAGCACAGAAAGACATTACCATAAACATCAGCACCGTGGTCTAGTATGGAATATAGACATGTACCATCCCTTGTGTCCCAGATACGAATGGTGTAGTCCCAACTACCTGAAGCTAGAATTGTTGCCACCTCAGAGTTCCATGTCAGTCCACGCACTGGTCCGGTATGTCCGGAGAGGACACAAATGCACTGATCATGCGTGTAGTCCCAAACTCGTATATTTCTAGCGACCAATAAAAATAGTAAAATAAAAATTGAATAATAGTTTTAAAATTAATACATTTGTTACATACTTAACATAAACAACTAAAGTGGTTCATGGAAACCTCTGACGGAAAATTTACCAATATCTATATTTGATATATTTGTTTTCAATTAATAAAAGTCTTTAACTGTAGCTTTAGGAAACAGAATTAACTTTAAGGAATGACAGACTTAAGGTATTTATAATAAAAAAATTAAACAAGAGTCATAATAAATGCTTTTGTAAGCATTTATTTTGTTTACAGCTAAAAAGTATTTTTAATTATCAGATTTAGTGTATTAAATATTCAATCTTACAATAGCTAAAATGTATTATATTGAAATAACACCAATTTTTCAAAATGTAACATTTCATTAAATAATAGCTAGGTAAGGCTGATATTGTAATGGACTTATTTTTTAACCCCTTGAAGTCTTAAGTTACTCACCCATCATCTGAACCACTGCATAAAATTCCTTCTTTAAGTGGGTTCCAGCGAACATGGAAAACTTTTGCCTTGTGTCCTAAAATGTATACAACATTTAAGTACACAGCCAATTAAGAGATGGGGGAATATACTTGATAACACTGGACAAACTTTAATTAAAAAATGTAAAGAGAACTAGAATTTAAAGAATTTAAAGAAATAAAATGATCTTTCTAAAACAAGTGATTACCAGTGAATACTTTAATAGATTGAGAAGCACTTGCTGCCATAAAGAAAACTCTTAAGGATTTATCTTCACAGCCAGTGGCTAACATATCTCTAAAGAAGAATTAATAGTCAGTCCTTGCATATATGGTTGAAATCTAAAAACATTTAATGTTCTTCACAGCCAGTGAATTAATAGTAATCATTAAATATATTGTAAAAATCTAAAAATATGTAAAATTCATATTGTAAATACTTATTGTCTGTTTAAGACATGTTTTCAAAATTATCTCTCTACATTTAAATTTAAATATAAAGGCTAGTAAATTAAAATTGAAACAAAAACTAACTTGTTAAAAGGACTCCAATCACACCCATAAACAGCTCCAGGGTGTTTGTATTTCTGTATAACATTACCACTCACTTGTTGAATAATACTGTTAGATTAAAAAACACAAACAAATGGACTTGATGTAAAATTCATTATTGTAGTAAACGAATAACAATTTGGAACTGTGCATTTTACATCACAAAAGCAACTAAAAATACAGTTATTTTATTTATGACACAATAAAATACATTTCAAAAGTTTTGTAAGAAATGCTAAAATGAAAATTGAAGGGGAGATTGCTTACCAATAGCCATCAGCCCCACACGTCATGATTAGCTTTGAATCAACATGGTTCCAAGCTACAGAGAACACTGTTGTTTTTGGTACATGCTAAATTTAAAATGAATTAGTAGATTAAATATTTTCATATTATAGTTAACTTAAGGGTAGGCAGTTTCTTTTTCATAAAAACTCAACCAGTGCTCTAACACTGAGAATTTAAATATAGTCAGAGTGAAAAAAAACTGATTTTGCAATGATTAAGAAGACAAGAAAAAAGCAAAGGCATATTTTGCTATAAACTGCAGCTTTAATCACACAAAACAAAATAAGTTAATATAGAAGCTATAGAAATGCTTTTCAATACTAGATCTAAAAAATTATATTTAAGTTTTATTAACTTTTTTATTTAAAAAAAAAAGGATATAAAATAAGACTGACTAATCCTTTTTCATTGAAAACATGGAACTTACATTCATTAATTTCTTTATAATTTTTCCTTTCTTCACATCATAAAGAAAAGTGCCATTCTTAGCTGTGCAAGCTGCAATACAATCAAGATCTGCTGGTGCCCATGATATCTGGTAAATGATACCTTCGTTGCCAGGAGAAGATGAAAGCTGACGTTACAAAAGCAAATTAATGTTATATAAGTTGTTTTTTTTTATAAACCACAACTTAAACTATACAAGTAGCTAAAAACAACTTTAACTTTAAAAAAAAATAATTTAAAATTAAAAAAAAAAATGCATTTTAAATACTAATAACTTACACAAGTCATAGTAGTTACATCCCAGATTTTTACAGTGCCATCAAAACTTGCTGTTGCCAATTGATTAGCATTGTCTGGTTTAAACTTGCAGTCAAAAATAGTTTCTATATGACCCTAAAATTGAGTTTTTCAAATCCTAAAGTACATGAATTTAAGGATCAATAATTGTTTTATTTTAAGCCATTATGCAAACTCAAATTTTTAAATGCTCACATATTAGTAACAATTGTAAATATTACTTTTATCTGTATAGAACAGTGTGTTTTCAAAATCGTGCCAATAAAAATGCATAGTACAATTTAATTAACTCACCTGATCTCTTAAAAACTTCCATCGTTTGTGCCCAAGATCATAAAGTCCAACCCCGCCATCTTTAAAGGTGCACACAATTTCCGCATGAGGAAGTGTAAACCTTGAGGTGTTGGTCATAGCAGGAGCTTGAGCTTCACTATTTGAAGAAACCTGGCAAAGTAGGTGTAGAAGTATTTTTAAAAAAAATCCTTTAGATCTGATAAATATGATACATGAAACAAAACTTATTGGTTTAAATGTACATTACACAACAAGAAATTGTTGGCATTTTGACCCCAAACTGCGTTTGCTTTCTTCAAATTGCCAGTTTCCATTCAGAGCCAGATAAGTTCTTATAAAATAGACTTAAGCAACGACTCAAACTTTATGCTCAATTAGCTTGTTGTCCATATGTTATTGTTGTTTATGATGTAAAACAATATCTACAATAATTTAAGTTAGCAAAAGGTTAAACACCATTGAATATGTTTTTAATAACCCTATTCATTTTATATACAATAATTCTGCTGATATTTAAATTTAATTATAAATATAAATAATTACAAACAAGAGTACTGATAGTATTCATCATTATGACAGCAATTTACATACATGTTGGTGATTGTTGGAAATATTGACATTAGCATCTTTCTTCTTTGCAATGTGTAGAACTTCCAAGCGATGAAACCCTGTACCCTTTATTTTTATGTTCTCGATAGGTGTCTGATTGGATACACTCCAAACTCTCAAAATTCCACCTTTAAAATCTATTAAAATTAGAAAAGTTTAATAAAAATGTTCAAAGCTGAAAACTAGATTATTTATTTTTAACTTGTGGTGACTGTTTAATTTTTACAATACAATAAAAATTAAAAACATATTGACCATGCAACAAAAATTAACCACACAGTCAGACAATTGTGCTTTCTAAGACTGATTTGTCAAAATGTTTGAAATCATCATGATAGATATTTGTGAAGATTGAAAGTTGTTACAAAATTTTTAAAATCTGTTAATTTTTACCTCCTGTGACGAACATCCCTGGTGCATTTTTAATCCAGGAAAATGTCTGGACCTGTGAGGCAGTACTTGGTAGGTGAAAAAGCATAATCTGCTGCTGATTTGGTACATCGACTAGCCTCACACCATGAACCAGGTTGCATAAAAGTAAGTAATCATTTGATAGTGGATCCCACTCTAAGGCAATAATAGGGTCTGCTGCAACTTCCTCTTCACTGATTTCTGGTTTGAATATATGTTTTATAGCCTTGGAGCCTGAAGCGAAAATGTGAGAATATTTCAAAATCAATTTTCACATCCAGTTTTACTATAATTTTAACAGGATTCAGTAGGTTTAAATAAGTAATGAAGAAATATTTATTGCAGAAATATTTTAATAACATCAAGTTACCTATTTCAAGTACAGACACAGATCCATCTTCATGCCCAAAAGCTAAACAAGAGTGCTTTTCGTGGTGCCAACGAAACATGACAACATTTGAAGAGAAGCTCTGGGTCTCTTTTAAAAATGACATTGTTTTGCTTTCTCCAACATACCACTGCCAGATAGGTCCAGTTTTATTCATAAAGCCAAGACACATTCTCCCAGTGAAAGCCCATCCCATACAAAATACTGATTCTTTGTGGTCGTATCTGAAGAAAAATTTGGCAATTTTTTTTTTACTTGATATCAGTATTTCTTCTTGGAAGCTTTATTCAGTAATTACTTTTCATTTTTGTCATACAGCTGTAACTGTTTAAACTAAAAAAAAAATATAAACGTATTACCTTGAAATGGTTTTCTGGTTTTTAATATCCCAAACTATTATGCAACCATCAACACTTGAGCTTGCCAGGTAATCAGGCTTATCGGGGCACCAACAAATGGAAGTAATTGTTTTTTTATGTTCAGACATGATAGAAATCAGATTGTATTCATTACCTCTATCATCAATCTGAAAATTTTAAAAAGATATTTTACAATTTAAAATTTGAGCACAGTGAAAATAACATTCTACTCTTTGAAATTAAAAAAAGAAAATAATAAATGTTAGGTTAACAAAAAACAGGTAAATATCTCATCAAATTAATACTTTATAACAGTTACAGAAATAGTTAATTTTTATTATAATTGATAGGCCTATTATTGATTTTTTTTTTGGGGGACAATATTAATACACTTATTTTAGATGGCTTCTCATTTTTACTGTGAGCATTTTGTAACATTTACAAAAGTATTATTATAATAACTAATTAAATATGAATAATAATATCTCATAAATTACTTCTCATACAAAAAGCCCAAAGTAAAAATGAAAGGCATTAGAATTAGTAATTTATTCTCTTTATTTATCTTGCCTCATAAATGTATATAGCAAGGGTTGCACTGTAGGCAAATCTGTCAGTGTGTGCAGCAACAACATCAGGATTCCATGGCTGGCAGCCTGCTGGTACCAATGCTACTTGACGCACCATTTTAAAAAGCTTTGTTTACTCAGAACTGAAAGGTTTCTATTTTATTATAGTTTCTATTATTCTACTAAAAATTTTCTGAAATAAGTAAAAAAAAATTTATAATTCAAATCTAATATAGGCCTACTATAAAAGCCTTACTATATTAAAAATATAGGGAAGGTGAATATTCAATCCAACAATATAGGCCTATATTTTATAATCTCATTAATCTGGTACATGTACGCTATACAAATCTATAGTAGTTTAAAAGTATACAGAAGTTACACACTATTCATTCAGAATCAGTCCAGATAATAAAAAAAATTATTTATTTATCAATTAGTATTAGATCCTGTTGTGTTAGATTCTAATGATTCTATCTAGATTCTATATTATATTTCTAAGACTTCTAAGTCCTAAGTTATGATTCTAATTCTATTATTTAATTATATGGGACTTATTTATTAATACTAAAGATATGTACTTGAGCGCAGATATTTTTAAAAGACATGCTAATTAATAACTAAACCATGTTTATCAAATAGTGGTGTAATGTTTGCATTATGGCCAAATTAACGACAAATGTAAATGCACATTTCAATCATTCTACTGATTTATCAATTTTATCTCATTGTTTGAGTCACGTGATCAAACATTTAGCTCTACGGAGTTATATTTCTGTTTTCTAACTTAAAAGACTTACAGAGTAGGATTACTATGATTGGTTCTTTTTGACAGGAGAGATAAAATGGCAGCGTCTGTGGTAAGAAAATAGTTTCATACTTGTATGCCAGGGTAAAGTGTAATACTTATTTCTGCTTTAGTGCGCCGGTGTGTGTAATTTCTGCTCAGGGATAGCGACTCGGTACCTTTTTACAAGTTTTAGTAACTTAAGCGCAATAAACTCATTTATAATCTTTTATTTAATCGTTAGATTGTAGATCTAGAATTCTAGATCTAGTTCGATTTCATTTTGCCGGGGTGTAAGGGGGGGGGGGGGAAGTTGAAGTGTAGAGGTTTGGATTGACATCTGATTGAACTTGGTTGAGATTGTTTTGCCAATTTTGTTACCATAGTCCAGGGGTCTCCAAACTACGGCCCGCGGGCCGGATGCGGCCCGCGAGGTCATTTTATCCGGACCGCGACGATCTTTTTCAAGTTTTTGTCCACTGAATAAATGTTTGTTGGAGGTGGCTGAGGAGCTTTGCACAGAAAATTCAAAACAATTTTAAAATGTAGCTTTGGGTGCAAATACAATTACTCGCCGTGTTGCAGACATTGGTGAAAACATTGCGACTCAAATAGCGAAAAATTCAAGCAAGTTTCGTCATTTTTCAATTGCAATGGATGAGTCGCTGGACAGCTGTTCCACCTGTCAACTGCTTGTGTTCATTAGAGGTTTGGATGAAGACATGAACATAATACAAGCGCCGGCTTCCCTACATATAATGTATGACACTGTTACCGAAGAGGATATCTAACCATAGATAGTTCAGAGACAAACACAAAATCGCAAGATTTACCATATTTCACATCAGTAAGATTGCTAATTTTGCGAGAAAATTTTGAGCAGAGTATCTAAGAAAAGAAATAGGTGACTTCCTGATAGTAAAGGCAAGTCACAGCCATTATTGTCTGATGAAGAATGGGTTTAGAAATTGGCCTCTGCTGCAGTCATAACCAGTCATTTAATTTTTCTGAACCTAAAACGGCAAGAGAGTGAAATCTAGTTTCTGATCTATACACCCACCTAAAGGCCGTTAGATACAAATTTGTCATGTTTTTGGAACAAGTACAGGATAACAACTTGACACACTTTCGACAGTGCAAGGTCTTTACGGCTGAATCAACCACTGAGTTCCCCACGTCATTTACATACGATATCATTAAAGACCTCAAGTTGCAGTTTCAGTAGCGATTTTCTGACTTGGATTCAAAGGCAGAAGAAGTGAGCCTGTTTGAAGCAAATGTAACCAGTTGCAACGATGAACTGCAGCTGGAGGTCATTGAATTGCAAGAAAATGACTTCCTTAGAGCCACGTTCAAAGAAGGGCGGATGGGTTTTCATACGTTTTTGCACAAGGAAAACATTCCTAACATTAAAACTTTTGCATCAAAGTACCTATCAAATTTTCGAACAACATGCCTGTGTGAACAAACATTTTCAAGAATGAGATACGTGAAGAACAATTTGAGAGCAGACGTGGACCTCGGGAGGGGGGGCAGGGGGGTGGACACTTGAAATTTGTATATATTTCTATATAAATTATATTTCGTTGGGGAGGGGGGGGGGGGGGCACGACCCTGAAGAGATGCCTTAAAGATACTCTGGCCCCCGAACTGATATTTGATAGTTAATGCGGCCCTCGGGCTGAAAAGTTTGGAGACCCCTGCCATAGTCCATAGCAGTACATGGGTATGCAGCTAGTTTAAGTAGGTCTATAGATTGGCCAATAATTCATTAATTTAGGTAGGTCTTAGCTTAGGCAGTAAAAAAAAGTATAGGCCTAAACGTAGTGCTTATTAAGTTATTAGGGTCTAGGCCTATAGGCTAAATTATTAATTAATTTAAAATTAGGTCTATTTAGTATTTAGGCCTAGCACTATAATATTATACTATTACAGGCTTTATGGTTGTTAGGCCTAGTATTTTTATTTTTGTGGTTACTCACCTCCTATTAGTTAGTAGCCCCCCCCCCCCCCCTAATTTTTATTATTTTCTTTGACATAAATCTTCCAAATTTGCCCATTAAAATGAAATGGCTGTTTTCTTACCATTCATATTTATGTCTATCAAATGCCATTGAACTTTGGAAAAAGTATTTTTAAAAAATATTAAGGGTATAATTTAAGCCTACTAAGCTTACTTTTTTTCAGAAAGGTAAAAAGTGCCTAGTAATTGGCGGAGGTGGATTTCTCGGAAGACATTTATGTGAAGTTTTGTTAGAAAGGGGATGGATTGTACAAGTATTTGATATCCGAAAGACATTTGAGGATTCTAGGATTCAGTTTTTTGTTGGTGACCTTTGTAAAAAAGAGGTATTTATTTTTTCTTTAAATATCACAAGCATCAAATAGTATAAATGAAAAATGTAAAAAAAAAATTGTATTAAAATATTAATGTTTAGAATAGCAACTTTAATATAGTAGCTTTTTTTAAATTTGTATTTCTAGGACTTAAAACCAGCTCTTGAAGGAGTTTATTGTGTATTTCACTGTGCTTCCCCAGCACCACTGAGTAACAATAAGGCATTGTTTTACAAAGTGAATTATGAAGGTACACTAAATATAATTGAAACTTGCAAGGAAGTAGGAATCAAGGTGAAATTTTATCATATTTATTTTTAATTACTGCTTGTATAACTGATGTAATTGTTGTTTTCTTTTTTCCTTTTAGATTTGTTTGCATAACAATAAATATCCTGAACTTAATTTTGTTTCTTAAAATTATATCTGCTGTTTGGCATTTGACTCCACAGAGGCTGATTTTAACAAGTTCTGCAAGTGTAGTATACGAGGGTCACGGAATAAAAAATGGTAAAGAAGATGAGCTACCATATGCTAAAAAACCACTTGATTACTATACAGAAACTAAAATTCTTCAAGAAAAGGTAACAAGCAAGAAACATCTAAACTATAATAACTTTATTTTATGATGATTATATTTATATTGTATGTAAAAAGTATTCTAAAATATCTTGTTTATTTTGTTATGCAGGCAGTATTGTCGGCAAATTCAGAAGATTTCCTCACAGTTGCAATTAGACCACATGGTATTTTTGGACCAAGAGATTTATCAATGGTGGCTACTGCTGTAGACATGGCAAGGAAAGGAAAGACAAAATATATCATAGGGTAGGCACAATAAGGGAAATTAATATAAAATGTATTTATCTATGTAGGCCCAGTTTTATTTACATGGCAACCTTAAGAGTTTTTCACCAGTCAGTTGATTTTTTTTGTGCCTATTCTTAGTGATAATCTTTTGCTCATGCACAGAAATTAGGAAAGCTGTTTTTCCCCATTGTTAAGGTGACTAAACACTTAGATAGTATGAGATGCACTTTTTAAATTTATTTACGGGAACTGATTTATAAAAATTCATTACAGCTGTATCTTCTAGGGAAAGATTTTTTTGTTGTTGGGCTGACCTTAATTTGGTTTAGTTTAAATGATATTAGTTTGAATTAATATTTGTAGAATCTAATTTCATGGCACTTGTTATCAAAGATTTAACTTTCAATGGTTTCATACCATTAATTGTTGCTTTTTTACCATATATTTTATAGATGTTTTTTAAAGAAAGATTCCTATATTATTTTACAGAGATGGCAAGAATGTGGTTGACTTTACTTATGTGGGTAATGTTGTGCATGGTCACATATTAGCTGCTGAAAATTTGAACCCAGGCTCACCTATATGTGGAAAGGTTAGTCATAGTATTCATTAGTTAAAATTGTATGTGAGACACAAATAATATTTGTTCTTGTTTTTTATATAATATAGCTTTATTTCAATTATTATAATGTGCATTCATCTGGTTTAGTTTATTATAATGATAATTAAGATAGTTGAAATGCACTTGTTAATTGTGAAGTACCCTTTGAGATCTGACAGTTAATGAGCAGCTGAAGTAAAATTCATCACTTATTTGTAGCGTAAAAGTCTCTTCACATCTTTGGTCATTCAGCTTGATACTTATAGCATACTCAACAGTTGTGATCTATATTGTTCTGTTTAATAATTGTGTTTTTTTTTTTCAGGCTTATCACATAACCAATGCCGAGCCGATATTTTTCTGGACCTTTATGACTCGACTTCTCACAGGACTAGGTTACCCTGCACCAAGTATCCACTTACCTTACACGTTCTTGTATATTGTCGCTCTGATAATGCAGTTTGTGGCTTGGGCTCTGAGTCCATTCACAACTATCACACCAACACTGACCCCCATGAAAGTGGCCCTTGCTGGCACAGACCACTTTTACAGCAGTGAAAGAGCCAAGAATGATATGGGTTATAAACCAGTGTTCACATTAGACCAAGGACTCAAGCTTACAATTGAAAGCAGTCCTCATCTTCGCAATGAAAATACAGAAGATAAAGAAAAGAAATCATAACGCCTTGCATTCTTAAATTTTTAAGCATAATATTTATTGAGTACTATTCAACATAATGGATGATTTTATTTGATGTGCATGGGGAAAGCTAACCATTTTTATGTGGTTGCATATTTTTTTCTTATACGAATAGGTATGTACCTATTTTAAAAGATGTTAGGTGTGAAGAGAAGCCTTTTTTTTTAAAAAAAAAAAATTATGCATAACCAGCACTAAGTTAGGCTGTTGTGTGTTTTAAATGGTAATAAGGATGCATTTAAGGAAATTACGACTCATTCTTTGTTTTGCTAACTTTAATGTTGTAAAGGATTGATTTTCCTAGGAACCTAAGATTTCCCCGTGAAATGTAGGCTTATACAATTTTTTAAGATAAGTAATATTACAATTTTTTGGGTTAAAATTAAATCACCTTTCCAGAAATTGCTCATTGTACCATTTAATAAAATTATAGTTGTTAATTAAATAAAATTGAAATTCAATTGGTTTTATAAATGAAGTGACAGATGCTCTTCTTTAAAAATGTACGCTCACTAAGGTTTAAAGAAAAAAAGATAAAATGAAAAGCAACTTGTTCAAGTACCCAAGGATTTAAATCTTACTTCTTTAACCATTAATGTCCCGTAACGCCCGCTGCCGCCCGACACCGTTAATGTCCCGTAACGCCCGCTGCCGCCCGCTTACAATACGCATAGAAAAATTAAATTTGTTTCACTAAAATTTGGCCTACAAATCCTAATTTTTAACTAAACAGGAAGTCGGATAGTTTCAGCGTCCTTTTCCGGTCTTCTAATTTCAATGGCGCTTTTGAAAGATAAAAAATAATAGTTTCTTTCCATCTCGAAATTTTAGACTCATCTGTCCAATTTTTAGTTGATTTAATATTAAAAATAAAATAAAATAATGCCTCTAAACGTATCTAGGCATGTATTTTATGAATTATATATCTTAAAGATAATCAAATTGATATTTAACTGTTAAATTCGATGCATAGTTGTTTAGACAAAAATAAATAAAGTTGACTACCGAAAATGACCTGTTTTGAATTTTCTCCGACATTTTTTATTTTTATTCTGTACTTGTACCGAATATAATATATTCTATTTAATACTGTTGGAAAGCCAGGTTTATTCCCAACATTAAGCAGTAGTTTTTATCTTAATTTTCAATTTCATTTAGACAAAAACAAATATTTTGTGAAACTATTCACTTGATCATACAGAGTTATGCTCCTTACATTGGGCCGTCATGGGTGGAGTTTTGGTAGAATGAATGGGACATTAATGGTTAAACTAAAACATCATCCAGTAACTAAATTAACCTTTAATCTTCTCTAACTATTCAGAATTAAATGTAATGTTAATTTTAATATAGTAGCATCATAGTTTGTTTCGAATTTTGAGTGTGAAAATCATTTATTTTTATTTTTGAAGAGGCAGATTTTTTTGGTGCAGATGGTATTTTGTATAGTGAAATGCATTTCCATTTTTTTATACTTGTTATATTTATTCTGTTGTCAAAAAAAGTCACAGATTCGTGTATAGAAAGCAAAATGATTAAATGTCAGGCATAAAAATACTAAAAATGAACTAAGACTATTCTCAAAGAATTCAGTGTCGAATTTGTGTGCAATAGACAATTTATATTTAACTCTAGAAGAACAAAATGTTTTTTTATTTATAAGTTTGTGATTTCCCAGCTTGTTTGTTGCAATGATTCTCCTGTGTTGTTTTAGCATCATCAATACAAAATTTTAAAACAATTTGAGCTTCATAAATTGTACCACTAGACTTAAAAAGATGTCAGAATACACAAAAGTGGTATGTAATTTTAAAACATGAGCTGTCATGAATATTTTCTATGAAATGCAGAAGTGTATATAACTTTTATTATGTTTTTTAAAATGAGTAAAAAAACTGATTGCATATTTTTGTTGGCTCTTTATTGTTTTCATGTAGATCTATGTGTGTTTTTTTAATCGAGCTGTCAAATTGGTCATTCTCTGGGTCATCTCAAGCTATGATCATTAGCCAGTCCAGCTGGAAAAATGTTAAGATTAGAGTGTTCTCTCATCCATATTGCATGCTGCTAGACACAAGGGTTTCTGACAAGCTCATGCTTCTTTCCCCAGTGGATCGCACCACCTGGTTTGGACAAGGACATTTTAGTCAGGGGACACAACCTGCAGTCACCAGACAAGTTTCTGAACTTGTGACTGTTGAGTTAGTTCCACTGTGAGACCACACTATCTCCATATTTCTATTAACTACATAGAGAAATAGTAACAACTTCAATAATAAAACAAACCTTCCAGGACTACTGATTGCTTTCTTAACATTTTAAAACACAAGCTGTTACTAATAATTTCAAATCAACAATTTTTACTTTTCAGGATGGATTTAAATTTATTACTAATAACACCACAAAGAAATAACGATTAATTAATCCTTATGGGTGAGGTGGCCTACAAAGAGAAAAGTATAGGTGAAGTATTAATAAAAAAATAGTATTTTTAAAATCAATTGACAATTCTGACTTTGTTTAGCTAGGACTAAATGCGTGCTATGAAAAAATAAAAGCAGCTAATATATAAATGCTTATACTATTTGAACAAATAATATCTCTTTTACAAAGAATAGTCATAGTTGCTGAACATTGTCAGATCAAAAGGTCAAAAAATAATGTAAAACACTTAATTTTTAGGGGGAGGGGGGTGGGGCATAATTGAATTATTTATTGGACTATTTACAAACAAATTTTAGTAGGGAGCAATGATTATACTAATATTAGGTTATGTATTATGCAAGTAAATTAGCAACATAAAATATATACTTCAATGATGGTAAGGAACTTTTAAATGAACACAAAGAAATGATAGCAGTAATTATTACTCTGTTAAAAACAATGATACATTTTTCAAAAAGAAATTGAATAAAAAAAAGAACTAAAAACTGAACCTCGCAGAAACAAGTTTCATAATTACCAAAACATAAAAATAAAACCATAAAAAATAAAAATGTACCAATGCCTAATGAGTATAAAAATTAAAGAAAGTTGATATGTAATGCATTTTAAATACATTAAGAAGTATGCACTATACTAAATTATTATTATCTTTGTGTTTAACCAAGGAATTTTAAAACAGAATGAATACTTAAAATAAAACTTAACTTAAATGCTTTCTAAAAATAATAAAAAAATCTTTTTATTGAAAAACTCATAGAAAAATGATCAGCATTTTCTGATTAAAATCAACTTTTATGTGGAAATTTAAGCTTTACAAAAATGCTCATGCAGTATTTTTTAACAATGCATTTTCAATAGGAAGATGTTATTCATCTAAAATATATCATGACAGAAACACATTAAAAAAAAGAACTACTTTACAAATTCTAAAGATTGAAAAAAATCTGGTATGGCTAAATATAACAGCATCAGCTGATATAAATTATATGTTGACTGCACTAATTAAGAGCTTGAATGAATGTGTATTTGAGGAAAAGCAAAAAATAATCCAGAAAACAAGCAATATTTATGCCCAGCATTTCTGATATTAAAAATAGATCATTTTAGTTTGAAGATAAACATCAAACAGAAAATTACAAATGCTTTAGTTTTCCAAAACCAATTACATACAATTGTACAAAAATTGCTGCATGTTATTTTTAATATTTTTGTCAATTAGGGGCAAGAAATAATTAACACATTTTTCTGTCTTAATACATAAAACAAAAAAATGTACCGATAAAGTAGTCTATGTCAAGTATATTTTGTAAATAAAAATAAAAAATGTATGATATATCTGTATACAATATACATTTTATAAAGTTTCATGAAAGTTATAAAGTTATCAACCTTTTTACTTATGAACTGTGAAAGAAATAATTTAAAAAATCAAATATAGAAGAAGATACCATTTACTTTAGCCACCCACTGGGAAATGAGCTTATCAAAGACCTTTAAAAAACAAATTACACAGAGAATTAGTAAAATAAATTGAGCAACTGGATAACACTAGATTTTGGCAATTATGGTAAATGAGAAAAATGAAAAACAATACAACCAAGGATTGAAAGACAATATGACAAGAAATGGCACTTGTTTAGTATTAGACTGAAGCTACTGAACTATGGCTATAATATAACTTTGAAACTTTTTTGTGGTTGGATTAGATTAGGTACACAAGCAGACTGAGACAAATTACACTAAGGATCTGTATAAACATAGATAATTACAAAGGTGATATAAAAAAAATAATGTATATCATCAACTATTTTAAACAATTAATTCAAAACAGTGAAAGTTCAGATAAAATAAATAGAATTTGCTGCTGCTTTTAAGGCAGAAAGAATTTGAAAGATTGCATGAGGTTTATGATTTTTTTCATACATTTTTACAAGACATATACATTAAACAAGGTAGGCAATTTTTAATTTATAAATGTGTATTGGACAAGGAGTAAAGAGGACAAAGTTAAAGTCAATGTATATTAAATAAATTAAGCCATGAATTAAGCAATATTTCATCAGTTCATATATACATACCATGGCTGTAACTATTCTGAACAATTTTGATGCATATTATGTAAGGAGTTGAAATGTATTTTAAATATAATAAGGAATAATTTTACTAGAAACTATAATTTGATTTACTTTTTAAAAAATAGTTCAAATAAATTCTAAGAATTGTTACTTAAAGTTAAAGTAGTTTTATATTTTGATAAGAAATGTTAAGATAAAAAAAAATGTTGGTATAATGCTCTAGAAAAAAAAAAGTAATTTCTGCAATTTCTGTACATTCAAAATATATCCGTGAAATATGCAACCCATATTTGCTTGTAAGCATATGAAAGTATAATAAAATCATATTACTTACTACAAGTAATGAGGGATGGGTAAAAATAAATTAAATTATTAAAAAAATTCAAAAACTGATTAAACTCTTTATTTATTTTTATGAAGTAATTTATGTTTTAAGATACATTGCAAGATCTTGAAGATCTTGAAGAACTTTTAAAGCAAACTGATAAGATATTCAGCTGAACATATTGCTAAAGACCTATTTCAGCAGTTTCTTCCTGAGTTAATCCATCAGGATATAATAAAATTTTAATCTGGATTGAACAATTCTCCATAATATCAAATATACATACATGTGAATGAGTTACAAAACATGATTTAAATGAGAGAAAAATAATTTAATATGTATAAACTGAATTATCATTTTAGGGTTAAAAGTAAATGTAAACAAGGTATGTGAACATTTTTCAGTATAAAATTTTTGTCTAAGGTTGTGGGTCTAAATAAATCTCTAACACATTGTCAATTAATATAATCATTTTCAAGGAATAACACTAATAAAAAGCTTATAAAGTTAGTGTATATTAAATATTTGTACCTGCGTTTGTAGAAAAAAACTTTAATTTTCCTGTTTCACTTTACAAAATGGGAGTAAGTTAAGTAATATTAAAAATTTGAAAGCTATCAACATGTTATTATATTTCTATAATTTTCATGTAGACTTATTTTAAGGCAGATTTTAAAAACGTAAAAACATGAATTTAAAAAATCGATTATTCGATAAAATACATTATGTACAACTTTTTTTTACAAATTTAAAGGCTGTTATTTTAAAAATTTTATGTTTATTAAATTAAATACCAACAAAGTATGTACACCCTTTTTATAACTTCACTTTGCATCAATTTTTTAAAACTTTTATACATTGCCCTCTGGTAAAAACAATTATCAGCACTTTTATTAAAATTTTATATAAATTTATTTCGGTTAAGGCAGTTAACACGATTTAATGAAATATGTAGAATGCTGCAGATTAAAAAAAGATTTTCATATATTACACATAGGCACTGTCAAGGTAAAATATTAGCGCTTGGTTGTAAAATGTTTTAAAATTTATTTAAAAACTGTAAAAACAAGTACATTATTGCTTTTATATGCTGGGACAATACTTTATTATAAGTTTATGTGATTTTGGGACAATATGAAAGATAAATAATAGAGAAAAAAACAATTTATTCTTTGTAGTTACACGTTTGCAACAAATCGAGTATATATTTATAATTATTTTTAATTGGATACAACTTTTGAAGATATATCTTTTTCAATAAAAAAAGTAACATTGTCATACTAACTAATGTAATTGAAAATTTAAACATTTTGAGGCTTATGATATCTGTGAAACATGACCAAAAAATAAAAAAAAAATTATATTGATATCAGGTGAAAGAAAATTCAAAGTTCTTTACTTGTGTATAGCTGAGTGATTATCACATGATACTTAAGTCACTGCACATTAATATTATTGTTAACAGATATTGATAATCTTAGTGGAATATTTTGTTTTCCTTTATTTCATGTTACTGTTCATAGCTTGTACAGCATACTGTAGTTTTTTTTTTAAAGCCTAAACATAGTCATACTAATTACAATAAGTCAAAGTTACCTGAGTAGGCCTAGTTGAAATGCAAAAAACTATCTGATAAAACTACAAATGAAAGTGTAATACTTAAAATTTTTTCCCCAAAAAAATAATATTTATATATACTGAATCTGTAATACAACTCATTAAAAAAAGAAAAAAAAATATTACAAAGAAAATACTGTAAATACAATTTTGTTGTAGTGAGGTAAATGGGACTTACATAAAAAATATATATTTAAATATGCTAGCCTAACTTAAATGTTTTTACAACATTTGTATATACAATATTTAAAAGTAGTCTGTGTACCAACTGAATACACTTTCATGTTAACACACAAGCAAGGGGTTAAACTTTTAATGATGTGTGCTCTGTCACTTGCTGATCATCAAAAACATCATCCTCTTCCTCAACTTTGTGATTGTTGTTTGAGGGGTCTTTCTTGGACCTGGCGTTCCCCATCCCATCCACAGCATCCCTGTAGTGGTAATGGCTGCACTCTGCCACATTGACGTATGTGGATTCAATGTTGCGCTTCATCATGCCTGTCTTCATCTCAATCTGCTTCACCATGTCCGTGATGTCGTCAACCAGCTCGGCAAAGGTTGGTCTGTCAGATGGGTTCTCGGCCCAGCAGTTTTGCATGATTTCATATCTGGAGAAATTATTATGTATACATATTTATTTGTAATATTTCTGGTTATTGCCCTTGGACAGGCAAAGATAATGAGTGAAAAATAAAATTAATCTACTAAACACCACTAAATCAGAAAATGTAAAGCTTAAATTAAAAAAAAAAGCATTTAGAGAAGCCTAATGACCTACATTTCCCTAATTTATCCAAGATTTTTGAGGTGGTAATATTATTTTATTATAGAAAATTTCAACAAACTTTTTGAAAATGTTATTCTTATGAAGTTCAAATTTTCTGTTGGTAAATTTTTCTCAAAGAGGAATAATAGGAAAAGGTCACAAGTGTAAACTTTTTTTAAATGTGCAGAAAAACTTATAGTAGGTTGTTGCGTGACCTAATTTATCCAAGATTTTTGAAGTGGTATTAGAAAATTTGAGGTAATTTTTTTTTATTATTTGAGGAAATAAAAAATTGAAACAAACTTTTAGAAAATGTCATTCTTATCAAGTTCAATTTTTCTGTTGGAAAATTTTTCTCAAAGAGGAAAAATAGGAAAAGGTCACAGGTCTAAATAAAAATATGTAGAAAAACTGCTAGGCTTATCTTGATTTCAAAACAAAGAAAAGAATAATAACAGTTCACATTTTTTAAGCTAAAACAAAAAGATTCATGAAGACATTTTATGCCAAGTAAAATATCTAATAATAACTAAAACAACATTGAGTAGTGATTGCTTACAGCTGGTCAGGGCAGTAGTTTGGATGAGGCATGCGTCTCCCAGCCTTTAGGTATCTGATTATATCCCAGTTGTCCACTTCAGGATAGGGCATGAGACCTCTAGTCATCAGTTCCCACAAGACAACACCATATGACCACTGTTCAATTTGAAAGAAATGTTAATACATACAATCAAATACTTAAAGTAAAGCATTCTAAAAATGTAAAAAAAAAGATAAATCAATTGATACATTTAACCATACCTAAAAGCTGTTGAAAAGGTCATCTATATCAATATAACTAAACTCTTAAATTGGTAAACAAGAGGCATGACCAATGATTAGTTAGAAAAAAATAAGTGTAAATAAAGTAGGACATATACTTTAAAAAAAAAAATTACTCAAAATTACTCATACTATACATTAAATGATCTTACAAATATAAATTAAGAGGTTAATAACCTTACCACATCTGATTTTGGGCTGTATGTCCCCTTCTCCAAGCTTTCAATGGCCATCCATTTCACTGGAAGCTTAGCCTTCTTGTTGGCAGAGCTGTAATATTCTTTCTCATAGATGTCCCTGGCTAGACCAAAATCTGCCACTCGGACATGGAACTCTTCATCCAACCTGAATGGAACATTTGCTTGTTTTTTAAAAAATATTTAAAAAAAAATTTTTCTACATTTAACATTTATCTAGTTGCTAGACAAATGTAAAATGCATCGACTAGGGTCAGAAATTTTTAAAATTTAAGACCTAAAGCTTAAGTCTAGTTTTTTGCTTATGATGTTATTATGTATGATTTAGAAAAAATATTTCGGTCGTTTGAAAACTCTATTTTAGCTAAATATTTTGGCATTCTTTTATTCAGTGTCTCTAATCAGGTGGACATAGATATATGCTAATTAAAAAAGACTAGTCGATAAATAATGCAAATATGTTAATATATATTATGATTAAGGTTATCTTTCCTCATTATTCATGCAAAATGCATTTTACTTAGCTTAAGAGTTTTTAGAGAAAATCCATTTCATACATGTGTAATTGGGAAGTATGCAGTTAACACAAGATGAGTAAATATTTTTTTGTTATTATTGTTATAATATAAAATAAAAAGTAATAAGACATAAATTTTAGCCCTGATTATAAAACCAATGCCAGTCTTATTTTTAATGTTAAAGAACTTACATGCAGTTTCTAGCTGCTAAATCCCTGTGTACAAACTTGAGACTGGACAGATAATCCATGCCTTTGGCAATGTCAATGCCAAACATAATTAAATCTTTTATAGTAGGTAGCTGAAATCAGAGCCACACAGTTTCACATGCTGGTTACATGCCAAAAATAAAAAAAAAACTATTTTTTTTTTAGATTTGTTTTTCTGTACCAACAAAGCAGAGATGGTTAATTTATGAAATAAATTGGTTAATCAATAAATAAATGAAGCTAATTTTTTAAAAAGGTTGGACAGATCAGCAAAGTTTTTAACTGCTACTATGTAAATATCAAGTCAAGATTGGGTTATCTAGTTAAGTTGCTAAACTGCTTTACTAGCTAGGGAATAGGAGGAGTATAATAGAAGAGTTTCTAGTCAAATTCCTAAAAAAAAACTTAAATTAAAACAAAAAATAATAGGTAGGGTTAAATTACGAATGAATCAGACAGAAAGATTAAGACTAGTTTTTTTTTTTAATGCAAGTATTATGAACATATGAATACTACAAATTCAGTGTGTCACTGAAGTTGCCATTCAGTAAATATAGCCATTCAGTAACTATGAAGTTGATGTTTTGGATGGCAACATGGTGGGTATATTACTGCAGATGCATAAATCATAAAAAAAAAGATGGGTATATAAAACTACAATGGATATTCTGCCACTATCCATTATGCCAGATCATCTTGGGAGTACAATGAGATAAAGAGTTCCAATAAAATAAAGTTATTTATGGTTCATTAGAATAAAAATCTAAGGTTGTAAACCCTTTTGTTTATTTAAGATTCCTTTTTTTTTTGGGGTTTTTTCACCAGTACAATATTCTTATTTTCTTTTTCTAAGGTAACTGAACCAAAAAAACATGCCTTCAAAAAATAAAACTTAAACTAAACTGTTATAGAACATTAGGTTAGGATAATGTGTGACTACAATAATAGGGGATGAAAACAAAAAATAAAATTGTTTACAACAGAACTAAGGCTTAAACAGTCAAAGGAAGTCAGTCTTTTTTTTTTAAAGCACTGAGTAGTACCATCATCAAATGATTCATTTCAACACTTAAGAATTAATCATTCGCTGATAGAAATATAAATTGTGTTTTTCTAGTGGGCTCATCAAGTCAAACCATAACATGAGTAATAAGGAAGTTTTAATTACATTTTCACTTTAAGTGATTTCACAAAATATAAAAGAAAACTTGTGTTAGGAAGTAATAATTAAAATATATGTGCAAACAAGAGAAACTCATCTCCATTATAGTAGGAGTGAATTATAACTGATTATTTTTGTAACATGCTTGTGATGGGTACCACTTTTAAAAATTGTTGCTCCTATTTAAAAACGTGCTAACCACTTACATTTTTCTCATCTCGTATGTATGTAAGTAAATCTCCATGTTTCATAAAGGGCAGGACCACAAGAGGCATCTCATCCAGGTCTAGACAGACTCCAATCAGAGCCAACACATTCGGGTGGTTGAAGTCTTTCATCCTGAGGGCCTCCTGGAGGAAACCTTGCAGCTCTATATCTCTTGGGTTGTTGTCTGTAAACCACCAGATAGGAAACACACGTTTTTTTAACATTTCAATAAAAATATAATTAAAAATTAATGGATTTATTTTTATGACAGAAAAATACTAAATTTGGGATAAAATTTTTATTGAAAATATCTATAGTTAAAATAATAAGCTAAGTTATAATATGCTGGCTCTAAGTCCCAGCTGTATCCATAGTTCTATTACCTAGAGACATTTTAAGGACAAATTTAAGTTTAGATTTTTTTAACAAAGGCAATAAATTCTTAAATGTTTCTTCAACTTAGATAATTTGTTTCATTAAAACAGAAGGCAACTAATTCTTCAACTGAACCTATGTTACCATACCATGTAAAGTTTTCACAGCTACTAGTATGTCTCCTTTCTGCTCAGGTAAGGTTAAAAATCCTCTTTTCACACATCCAAAATTGCCTATAAATAAAAGAAAAACTGAATAGTGTTCTAACAAATTCTATATAAATTATGTTAATTTTAAGAAAATATGTTACTCCAACTGAAGGACTTTTAGAAATACAACAGAAATTATAAAAAAATGGTATAACTCATGCACAAAAGCATACTTTAAAAAAATGTGACAATCTATAACATTTGTATAATTTATTCAAGCAATCCATAGAATGGAATTCTAATAAAATTTACCACCTTCACAGAAAAACAAATTCTAAAAGTACATAATTTACTAGCTTTTGAGAGAAATAGAGCTACACAAGCTGACCAACGCACCTTTTCCTATTTCATCAGCCAGGACTAGACAATCCCTGTCCACTAGAAGATGTTCTGATTCAATTAACCTCAGGGTCTCTTCATCAATGTGGGCGTGGGCTTCAGCTCCTACACTCACTGCACCACCATCACTGTACTCTGTGAGGTGACATGGACAAATGCGATATAGGATAAGTTGACAGAAAAAAGTGACAAGGAAAAAGGCAACAAAAAAACAACACATCTCTAAAAATATATAAAGCTATACAATTCACTTTTCTGATAATGAAATTAATTTAATTTGAAAAAAAACAGTATTTCTTAGATACTTGAAACCTAAAAATGAGGAGACTTATTTAAAGAAAATTTAACTGATTTAATTTAATTTCTGTTGTCAACATTCAAATATAGCAAGTAGGATACTATAATTTATAAATGAGGACATACGATTATTTGTGTGAAATGACTCCGCCCTCAATGGTGTATTCTCTTGGGTGAACTGGACTTGATTGTTGACTGTATACTTTGGTGGTCTACATTTTATAATAAAATACAGATGCATGTATTATTGTTGTAGATATATTAATACTATTTAGTTTGTTACATGACAATTTAGCAATGCTTTTTAGCTGGTTAAAAAACAAAACCTTTTTTAAAATCATTAATCAAATTAAATTCTTTATAGTAAAATTTTTTATGCTATATGACATGGTCAAGAGAATGAGCATTAGTCTTTTTTATTTGGAATTCTTAACTAAAGCTCTGAATGGTATATAAATCTTGTCAAGGGACATAACTGTATCTGATTCTAGTTAGGGGACATAATGGGATCTGATTCTAGTCAGGGTATGTAATAGTGGCTATGTACTGTGTGAAATAACTTGTACTGCTGACCACTCAATCATAAGGATTTTAAAAATTCAAGAACTCTACTTCACCTGGTTAATGGATGATGTGATGGATGATATGAGGGAATTTTACTTTTTTTAAATCTATCCTACACCTTAAACAAAGAGTTGCTTGCACCCTTCTCGAACACACACACAAAAGAAAACAACCTAAATGCAATACGTACTTGAAGAATCCACACCGTTGGCGCCTCATGACTATAAGCAGTATAATAACAGCCATAAAAAGAAGATTGAGGATGATGATGAGTGCAATGATGCCACCTGAGATAGCAGTTGCCGCTGCTTGTAGGTATTCAATGAGACCAATCTCTGTTGTGTTGAAGGCCAAGTTTCCTATTTTAATCTGTTTCAATTAAAGACAAACTTCAATGAGGTACATCATAAAATTCTGTATAATTTTAATATATTTTTTATATAAGTTAGGGTTAGCTAGTCACATAAAGTAAAGGTAAAGATTCTTCTTTAGACCTAGCAATCCATTGGACAGATGAATTAGAGTTTCTTGTTTCTTGACCTCGGCATATGAAGAGATAATGTAGCTAGTCACATGGGTAGACATAAAATTGCTAACTTAAAAGTAATAAGTTCTCTTCCTGGGTTTGAGCCCGTAATATCTCGCTGAGTTGACTATGTGGAGTTCCTTATGTGAATCTGCTAAAGTATAGCATTGTGCTGACCATATACGAGAGCTGCAGTAACTTTAAGTAAAACTTGACTGAAGACTTAACTCCCACTTTGGGGTCAATAAATGAGACTATATTAGGGTAGTGAAAACTGTGAAATGTCAAGGTAAAAAAAAAAGAAAACTCTGCTCAATATGCCTTATGGTCAATGGAACTGGACTTAATTTAAAAATCCAATTACTTATCAGACAAGATAACTGTTTATCTAGAGGGGATTTTTAAAAATGTGATTTTCACAAAGCAAAGACCAACTTAAATGAATTTGAACAAGGCTGTTTAACTGAAAGGTGGTTAAAATTAAGAAAGAACTTTTTTAGAGTAAAAAACAACAACAACGTGTAATACATTACTTAGCACATGAGGTAAATAATTGACAATAGAAGTTAGTGTTATACAAAGACAAAAGGCTTTTTGAATCTCACAACATAACAGGTAAAATGTGCCAACCCAGAATGACAAGCCTGTGCAGTAAAAATATTTAGAAAATCCCCACCTGAACAGCATACTTTGGTCCGCCATCAACTTTTAATCCAGACACATTTGGCTTGCATTTAAATTCACTTGCATCAATATATGTCACATTACACAATTTGCCTCCAATTGTCACAATTATGTCTCTTTTGTTGACTGACAACAGGTCCTTGCCCTGAAATGAAAGTTTAAATTAAGTTTTTAATTATATTTAATCACATGAACAGATGACGAGTATATCTTGTTATGATTATAATGTAATCGTGTTGTATTATTTTTCATTAAATAGAAGAAAACAATATGAATATCAGTTTGGCATAGATTCCCTTAAAATTTTGAATAGAATGCTCATTGATAGTGACAAGTTAAAGAGTTGATATGATGTTGAAAAAAACATACAGAGCTATGTAGGAGATATAAGGGTAATGATTAACAAAGGATAAAATGACATATATATATATATATATCCTGATAAAAATAATAATTGCTGTATTTGAAATATGAAAAAAAAAGACTAAATATTAAAAGGTAAAGTGGCTCAGATATACAATTTTAAAACCACTTAATAATTACACATTTCAAAAAAGTTAGAAATAGAATAGAAAAAAAGAACAACTCCAACTGCCTAACCTGTTATTTTGCTTGAAACGACAAGAAATTGCCTAAACGCATTATACAATATTTGAAAAGAAGTATATAATTGCCAAAAACCAAATCTCAAACAAACAAAATGTTCTTACCAAAAAAATAATTTCTTTATCCACTTCACTTTGTATGACAGTTTTTTTGAATTTTAGAATAACTGGATCTGGATAATAATGTATGTCCGATATAACTGTTGAAAAGAAATAAGATGAAAAACATTAGAAAAATGAACACACGCACAATTTTATTATGAGTTACAAGGGTGGCAAAAGAGATTTTATTGAAATTTAATGTAAAAAAAAACAACAAAACAACTTCAATAATTGAAAGCTTCATTTGATATAAATATTGACAAATATTTGACAAATATTTGATTGTTCAAGCATCAAAAATAGGAAATGGGATACAAGAACATTCTTTTATGTCAATTTAGTGATAACATATAGTTATTACACAGGGTTCGTACTACTTTTTCAAAATGAAATTCCAGACTTTTTCCAGACATTTTCCAGACTTTTTTGGAAAAATTCCAGACTTTATACAGATAATGTGTTCGCGAATAATTTATAAAATGATGCACCATTTGTACTCTCATAATTACTTGTACTAAATTGACATTTATTTTAGGCAGTTGAGATATATTTATATTGAACTTTCTTTAGCCAAATTGACAGAAAATCACTTTTCTAGATTGCCTACTCAACTCCACCTAAAGTTTTAACAATTAAAATAATTGATTAAAATGATGCAGCTATTTTGTTTTAAACATTAGACTTATGTAATCTGTTCATGATCAAATTGCTTATGTTTTCAATTAAACTATCATTAAAATGGTATTGCATAATAGTGAGAGTTAATTACTTTAAAGAATACTAACGTAATGTATTAATTTAGGCCTGCTCTTGTTAAGTAGCCTAATATAGGCTACTTGTAAGGAAAAAAATTGGAGCAAAAAAAAAAACATTCTGCAGGTTGTAACCACATCACTCACTGTTTATGCTTATACACTTATACTACTTATAGCTGAGGAACGGTTCTGCAATAAAAAAAAAATTGCCGGTATCCTCCCCCCCCCCTCCCCCCACAACCACAAGACACGGTGAAGGGGTCATTGTGAGGTCATAGTGGTCTAGGCTTCAGTATGCCTGTTTAATACGTCATACCATGAACTGAGATGTGACTTATACCCCCACCCTCCTTACCCAGCAGTACCAACTACAAACTTGGGGTCATGGTGAGTTCACACAAGTGACCGTAGTTACAAGAAGGGGCGGGGTAGTCTAGCTTTAATCGTCAGCATTGAAATCTATGCTTGTGTTTTAAAAACCATCCCAGCGTGTAAAGAAAACACGGTATTTATATCTACCCTAACATTATTGCAAGAGCGTGTCGTCAAACTTTCTGAAACCCTCCTTCCGACTTTTCCCGAGTGTGACGTCATTTATGGACGACTGAAGCAAACAGAAATACGGGTATGAACCCAAGGAGGCCTCGCGACTTATTAATCTTATAAATGTTAATATTAACCCAAAGTAAGTGAACGCGTGTGGAAGGGGGAGGGGGGGGGGGGGTTAAAATCCGAAATTTCTTTGGATGTCATAAACGGATGACCCTCAGAGACAAATAAATTATATCTAAACTACCATTCATACACCTCCCACATAATTTTTTTGTTATGACTGTCTGCGTGCAAACTTAAACAATGAAAAATAGCGGGTAAAATCGAGAGCCTAACAATTCTGAAGGCGATCATTCTTTCATTAAATTTAAATGACAATTTTAAATACTTGTAACACATTCACACGGTCAGTCGCAACACAAAATATCTCTTCCCTCCCTTCCCCTCCTCTTCCAATGACGTAGTATCTGAGCATTTTTTTTTTCTGCGAACCAGCGAAAAAAGTCACAACAGTGTAAACCCGCGCGATAGCGCGGGGAAAAAAATTGGAGTAATTTCACCTAAAAATAGCAATTTTTTAACTTGGAAAATATGGACTTCGGAGTTTTGTTTCTAAAACTGGATTCCAGACTTTTTCCAGACTTTTAAAAAATCCAGCCCAAAAACTAGCGATTTTCCAGACTTTTTTAAGTCTTAAATTCACTTTTCTAAATTCAAGACTTTTTCCAGACTGCGTACGAACCCTGATTACAGGTATTTACCTTTTATAGTGCAAGTTAAAAATAAAATAGTTTTGTACTTTGTTAAGTGAGTAAACTTACATGACTGCAACTCCACTTTATTTCCATCAAACAAAAAATAGGCTTGAACATTTTCTGGTTTCGGAATATTTATCGAAGGACAGATCATTGTAGTTCCACCACTATCAACCTTGCATGTCTGTGTTTAGATATGAGATAATGAAACTGTTCTCAAAACTTAAAAAAAAAACAACTAATGTTATTACTTTTACAAAAGAAGACTGGTCATTTCATTATTTACAGAATAATTTTTTATTATATAAGTTTTACTGTCAAATGAGAAAAATCTGGATAGTTTCCTTGCCTTAACTACCAAAAGTTCTACAACTTACTGTGGTGGAATCAAATTCTTGATTATTAGAAGTTGCACCCATAACTGGTGCAACAGAAGCATCTAAGTTATTGCCAGTGACTGTTATTGGAATTCCTCCACTGAAATCGTAAACAAAATTTAAGAAAGCAGATACTTCTACTGTGGTTGAATTTAATATAAAAAAAAAACTTAATAAAAACCAGTTTAATTAGCAAGTTTGAGGATAGTGCTTGGATATTATATAACTCATGGATTCCCTAATCTATGGGTCACAACCCCCCTTTTTTGTTTTCTAGAGGGGGTGGGGGGGGAGCATTAGCTTGTATACTAAACAAAACAAAATACTCTTTTTAAATTGTACAGGGTTCATGATTTGCTTGGATTTTATAAACAAAAATTAGGAATTTTTAAAATATATATATAAGATATTTAATTGAGGCTTACTGATACAGAAACAAATCAATGATTAGTTTTAAGTTTAATTTTAGAAGCAAGGGATGTGGAGAAAATAAAAAGGTTACCTCAGTATTGACTTTTTAGGGCTGATTAATGTTATTTGTGGATCAGGCATGTAGAAGAAATTAATGTCTTCTCCGTTACTCTGTGCAGTCAACTTTTCATTGTCAATATTCACTTGCAGTGAACCATATTCCTTAGCCCTGTTGGCATAGCGACGGCGTCTTTTACCAAGAGATTCTGACCACTTTCTGGTGGTGCAGTATAACTCATTTGGAGACGTTCTAAAAAAAACAGGTAAAGAATTTTAGGCAAACTTTAATTTAAAAATATATGTGCTTATAAATTATTTATAGTTTATATTAAGTAAATCGTATTGCATTTTAAAATTGTAAAGAATTTTTAAAAAATGTAAAATGAAATCAGGAAAAATTAGTTATAATTTTTTTTTTTTAAAAGAACAATATCAAACTACAGACCTGTCTGTGTCAACAATGCAGGCAGGTTTATTGGCAATAGTCACATTGATACTTGAACCAATATCCAAATTCTGTCCAAAAATGGTTATTTTTGTACCTCCCCTCTGTGGACCTCTTTGTGGTGAAAAGGTAGAAACAGTGGGAACCTTTGATGAGGAATAATAACATTGAAATTAATATTAAAAAGCTCCATAGACATTTTTCTAAAAAGTTAAGCAGTTCTAATGTCTACAATACCTTATAAAAGAACAAATCATTAGAGTTATTCGCTCCGTAGATATGAAATGGGCGTTCTAGTGGGGTGGTCAAATCATGTACATAAATGTTAACAACATTGTAGAATTCAGTATCGGATGATCTAGTAATGCAGTACACCCTATATGTTGAAGCAAAAATGTTATTACAATGGAGTATAAAACAAGTTACAATGTTATTAGCTAATATCAATTAGTATACCAACTCATAGAAATTAATTAGTATGTATGTTATTATGTAAAATCAAAGTAAATTAGTTTTAGATTTAATATTGACAACATAGCATTTGATAACACTCTAGTACAGTTTATAAAAAAAAGTAAATTTCTGTTTAGAAACTAATGGTCCATGAAGCAAGTGAAATAGAGTTCACCAGTTTCTGTGACCTCGGCATATGAAGGGACACTGTGGTCAGCTGTCTTTACTTTCCCAGGTAGGCTACACATCAGAGCTGGGTGGGCTCAGGGACGTTCAAAGAACTTGAAACCGAATTCAAACTTGATACTTTGGGTCAGCATTCATTTATTCTACCACTCGACCACACCACCCCATAGTACAAAGCTGTACTTTTATGTACCCAGACAAAAAGTGGAAAAGTTAATTTCTTCTTGCCGTACCATCAACACTTGTAGAGGAAATAATCTCAATAAACAAGCAAGGCAAAAATAGAGGTACCAACAATAATATAAAGCTTCCTATTTTTCTAACAGTTTATATACTTGCATAGGAAAACATAGGGGTACCAACAATAAAATAAAGCTTCCAAATTTTCTACCAGTTTATATACTTGCACAGGAAAACATAGAGGTACCAACAATGAAATAAACACCAGTATTTCTCTCTCCAGCTTATAAACTTACACAGTAGAGTTTGACTCAATTGCATTGATGTCACACTCAAATTTTCCTATGGTCCCTTTTTTTTCAGCTTTTTCATTCCCGAAAAGTTTACCGGTGATTGTTAATTTTGTTCCGCCCTTTGTTGGGCCAGATTTTGGGCTGATCTGTGACAAAAAAAAGAGTACAGGAAGTAGAGAATGATAAATCTGGAAATATAATGAATATTTTAAAAATCTAACTTGTAAACACATTGAGACAGAAACAATATATCAAATTTAAAACACAAAAATGTGAAAGAAATGATGAAATTTTGATATCTTTCAGGCATATATTTAAAATCAGATTTTTTATTTCCTTAAACCAGGGGTCGGCAACCTTTTGATACGCAAGAGCCAAAAGTTACAATTTACAAACTTTCCCAGTTTTTAAAGAGCCACAACATTTTTAGTTCAATATTCAGTATTTTAATTAGGATGAGGTAAATAAAGTTGATTTGTTATTTAAAATAAATAGCTTTAAATATGAAATAATATTTATTCATATAAAAACATAGACATGTTTCGCCAGAATAGTAAAATTAGTAATCAAATAATATTATTCTAGGACTATCTCAATCCACTTTAGAAGCTGTTGTTTTATTTTATTTTTTTCTTTACGGATATCACCAGCTCAGGAGGTGTCTCCCATTAGCCAGTCAGGCCTCAACACGGCAAACGCCGACTAACTGGCTTGGATATCGGTTTGAATAACTTGCATCGTTCGATTCTATCCTTTGGTTCTCACCAGACTTATCTTTCATACCACTGAACGCAGGGTAAAATCGTACCCCACCGTCCAGTAAAAATGAAATTATATAACCATTGATATTTGTGCAAGGAGCTGTAGAACCGCATCTGGACGTCAATGCACCATAGACAGAGTTATAAAAAAAAATGAGCTAGTGTACTTACAGAGTAAATGATTGGTGGGCATGACAAATTCTCAGTGGCTTTCCAAGACTCGCCTTTCTCTGCACACTCAGACTGGTTAGTGCAGGAGTCCCCACACCACCCACACCCCAGTGGATCCCTGCTGGTTATACAAGCCTCACAGTCTAAGTAAAGACCACAGGAGGACGCAGGAAATTTCACTACCTAGAGAAGTTTGCAATCAAACATTGATTTGTTGCTGTTTCTTAAGTGTTTTTTTTTTTTTAAATTTACAATGTGGTTTGTAATAAATTTGTTCAAAATAAAAAATTATTCAAACATGTGAAACTCTTGCAGTGGTTTCAACAATTATTTCATGAGTAAGTTGAAGGAATAAAAAATGTGTAAGAAAAAATTGCTTAAGTTCCAAAAAGAATCACAATGAGATTAATTTGAATTTTTATGAAGCACTCGATAAGATTTCCTGTGCTTCAGAATGCAAGTTTCCATAAGGTGTCATCTATAAGGGACCTCACACTTTTTGACAATTTTTTCCACTGCTCGACATCAACTAGATCCCTCTGATCTGTCCCAATAACTGAAGTAATGCTTCACTGTTAACCCTCTACGAAAAGCAGTTTTAACTGTTTATTTTTCCTAAAAATATTAATTGAACTGGTTCTAAATTAGGTAAGTTGCTCAGTATTTATTACAATTTACAAAAATTATTTTGAATTAAATTACAATGCGACCGCTAAAATTCAGAATAAAATTTTTTTTTTTTAAATTGCAAAAAGTGTGACAACGCACCTTCTGTATTCCCCTCCCCCTTATCATACATGATAACAACAGTCTGAACACTTCCCCTCACCTACCCCACAATATATGGACCAACCCTTAAAAAACCAGTCTTAGGAATTTGTAATGAAATAAAATAGTTTACATTTTAAAACTTATGAATGATTGCCATTTTAACACTTATGAATGATTGCCTTTGGTTTTAAAATAAGTTCTTAGAAAATTGTATTTTCAAACAGAAAAAAACAAGTAACAAAAACAACTAAGCATCAAAATAACCCAATTTATATATTAAAAAAATTTAACTTACTGAATCACCAGTAAGAATGAACATATTGTTGTTTTGTTCCGACTCTGCTTCTATGCTACTAATAGGATTTGGACCAAGGTTGACTTTTAAAAATTCTTTATATTGGTTGTCATATTTTCTGATCTGTAGTATAATACATGTTTTCAATACAATCAATACAGCTTTGACAGGAATAACAGTGAATAACAGGAACATGTTCAAACAAAACTTTAAAAAAGAAGAATAACAGAATACACCACCTTTCTAATAGTTCCATTTGTATCTCCAACCAGGAACACCATCTTAGTTGTGTCTGCCGCAACATAGTAAGGTTTTATGGATGTCACTATTGTTGACAGTTTGATTATAGGAGGTGTACTCTTGGTGGGAGTGCTTGCCCTTACTCCAAGATTGCTTTTATATGAAGGACTACAATCTTGATGAGTTGCAGCAATCAGTTTACTGTAACTAATCTTGATCAAAATGAGCATATAAATTATATCACTATTTCTTTAGTTATTTTTAAGATTGAAGACATAAACATAATGGGTACTAACAAAAACATCCACATTATGTAGTCAATACTGACAAATTTACTGACCATGAGCTGAAAAATTCATAAGTGCTACTAAAATGTTTAAACATTTTACTTCTGTCCTTCTTAAAATAGAGAGGATTACAAAATCAGGAGACTAAATTTCCTAAAATAAAATTAATATAGAAAACTGTCTTCTGGAAGAGAAATGTGAAGGGAAAAGTATTATTTTTTTTCACTGACATTCTCTGGTATTTTTATTTTTTTTAACAACCCATAAATGATAACAAGGAAAGAATTTAAACAAATACATTCATATAAAAATTGTTGTTAAAAGCAAAATGTAATCCACTTACACCATCTTGAACACATGCTAATTCCTCACCCTTGGGCCATTCTAGTTGAGAACCTTTGGAACCACTATAACAAAGCAGTATACCTTGCCTGAAGCCATCGTTAATCTTTGCTATAGGGAATTCACATATGGCGGACCCTTTGCTGAAATCAATGTCATCACGGTTGGATGGCTGAAGTCGGACAGTTGAAATGTACAAGGTGTTTTCAAAAAACACTGCATCTGTAGCTTTGTTAAATTCTAAATCACCCTCAAGACAGGAGAGTTCCAATTCAACATAAGACTCTAGTTTAATGTCCAACTGAGAACAAATTCGTCCAATTCTAACACGGACCTCATTTTCATATTTCAAACTCTTCTGTTGGTTCATCACAAAATATATAAAACCTTCAAATTTGAATGTGTATATAAAAGACATATAATAATTATTTTTTATTGTCCGATTGATATCTAACCATGAGATTTGATGCAAAACTGGGTCGTATAATGCATAATTTAACACTGGGTCAGCATTTGCAGATTCTAGCTTTCTTATAGAGACAGCAACGGGTGAATTGTTAAAGTCCCTACCATCATACTCATGAAAAACAAAAATTAAGTCTAAAGTGCTACTCTCATCTTTCGTTGTCAGGACAACTTTTGAAGATTTTTTACTGCCAACATATGGACCAGTGTTTGCTCCACCTACATCACGAAACACTGACATGTTTTTAAGTGAATGCAGACTGCAAGAACCAAAACTAGCTGTCCCACAGACCAGCAGTAAATCTTTCCTTTCATTGTACTGGACAATTTTTATATCATTGAAACAACCGGCTTCGTTTTCACAATTCTCTGTGGGACTCTTGTCCACTTCTGATATTTTTTCCAGGTCTGTGCTCAGTTGAAATAGGGCGTTTCTTCCTCCCGCGTAAACTGAATTACTTTTTACCAGCAGAGTTTGGAGGGGAGAATTTGTGGGACTGGCTGTGAACCTCTTCATCTCCACAGCTAGACTGCAAGCAAAAAAGAAAAGACAGAGGATGGCAGTCTGTGACAGTAAAAAATGAGGCATGTTCTCAATGTGACCCATCCGTTACCGATTTGTTATGTTCTCTGTGCCCTGTCTTCTGTTTGCCTTGCATCTGTAAATAAGAATGGAGACTAGTGATTGTAATTTTTTAACAATTAATGACTGCTAAAGTAACCAAAGTTACTTATTAGTTGTAAAAAAAAGTTTTAAGACAAAATATAACTGAGTATTATAAAAACATAAGTCCATTGCAATTGGGAAGTCTATTCACTATTCAGTATTCATTAGTTCAAAATCAGTAGTAATTTTTTAAAAGGTAAGACAAATACCTACAGAACAGAGTGTTGATAAAAGTTTATGGTTTACAAAATACAAATATTGCATGCTTATCCTGACAGGTGACCTAGCTCACAGAATTAATGTTAAAATAATACTCAGTTGCCATCAAAGAAACATTTAAATATTCTTTTAATAAAGGGAAAAAGCTGTTTCTATAATAGGCCTAAAACCAGCTCAATTGTAAAACAAGCATGGTTTACCATGGACTAGCTACTGACAACATAAATGTTGCATACGTACATCATAATTATTGCAAATATATATAAGGTCACATATTGTATACATAGAAGGCAAATGCTTAGATTATTAGAAGCTTAAGGTATAAAGCAATCAATTATAGTAAAGAGAAAGTGTGTGTATGTGGTTCACTACCAGCATTTATCATGAAGTACTTATTTAAACAAATTGACACTTGCAAAAAAATTTAAACTAATTTAACCAGAAAGAAACTAAGACAAAATATAAACTTTTTATAGGCTACACAATAAACTGCATTCAAAAATACAAACATGTTTATAAAGAATTAAAATGTATGTATACAAAACATAAAAAAAAAAATAGTTTTTGAATAATTTACTACTACAACGACAAGAGAAATAAAGTTTCATTGAAAAAAAAATTCTTTAATTCAACTACTGTTAAAATTGAAAATATATGTTTAATGGGTTAAAAAACCCATCAAACTAACCAAAGTCTGATGCAATAAATAAATAAAAGTAAAATAACTCAAACTGATCTTTACCTTTAAAAAAAAACTAAAATTAAAAAAAAAAACCACGCTTTCAAATTGTAGCTACACAAGCTGACATTGGTTAGAAAATGAGCAATGTGATTCATACCACAATACATTAAACCCACTTGAAACTGAAGTACAGCGACATACTTAATGACTTGATGATCTTACTCTTTGGGTTCATAAATATGTTTCATTTAACACTACCAGGATCAGCATTGCTGGGGCTATTACAAATAATTAGTCACCCAGCCATAGTAATTAGCTGGCTCTCCATTCTCCTCTTAATAGCGACAATTGTCAATTAGCAGCACCAGGCCAGACCAGCTTAGTGCTAGATTTTATAAAGGAAAGTTGAACTACAACAAAAGCTTTTAGGTTTTTTTTTTGCAATGTATTAAATGATTTTAAAATAACTGTTTTAAAAAAAAATAAGAATAAAAGAAATAGATCTTTATGAAAAATAAATAAACCATAGAAAGTTAGGAGTTCCTGAAATTTTTTGATAGACACAATTATGACATACAGGAAGACATGACTTATTTTATTTTATGGGACATTAGGACTCCACCTATGCTTGAAAAACGAGGTTAAAAATGTATTGCTTATACTTAGTTTAACAAAAAATGTAAGTACGTTAAATAATCTAAATTTTGTCTACACTGCATCATACAATGTTTATAGGGTTAGTCTGGGACAAGGAAGTAACTTTGTGACAATAACACTGGGTTACATTTTTAAGCACAAAAGAAAAATTTATTTTCTACTTTTTAGTCCACAAGAAAAACGTGGTTTTTTAAAAAGTTTTTTATATAGTTTATTTTCTACTTTATCTAATGACTTAATTAAGTATGACTTGACTAAGTGTTTATAAATACACGGACTAAAAATCTTGAGCGACCAGGATTCGAACCTGGGTTGTCCAGTGTTTCTTCCAGACTTTTTTCTCCGGGGGGGCACTTGAAATCTTCGGGGGGGCGGTAAACTTTCTTCGGGGGGGGGGGGGGGCGGACACTGTTAAAAGTATATATTTTCTATATAAATTATATAAATTTCATTTCGTTCGGGGGGGGGGGGGGGGCGGTAAAAAATTTTCGGGGGGGGCTTAGCCCCCCCCCGAAGAGATGCCTGGAAGAAACTCTGGGGTTGTCGCGGCCACAACGCGAAGTACTAACCACTATTATACGATCACGGCCAGCGCGCTCACATCGATTGGGGTCGAAGTAACTGTGTCAATAGGCCTCCAGTCTTGTCGGTATCTTTAGAAATCATGTCCTCAATTTTATGGTCCTTGGGGCGTAATTAAATTAAGCTAATTACGGTCTCTAATTGCTAGTTTTTATGATTGCATCTGAAATTGTTAGGCGAAAGTAGCCTGCATGCCAAATTTCAGATCTCTAGAGCAATCAGAAGTGGGCTAATTTTCGATGTCAATTTTAACAACAAACAAACGCGAAGCAGAGTTAAGAAAAACGTGTTAAAAACGTGTTAAAAAGGCGCCGAATTTGAAATATCTTCGATATACGTATATATATATATATATATATATATATATATATATATATATATATATATATATATATATATATATATATATATATATATATATATATTTATATTTATATTTATATGACGGTCAAAGCCCGAAGTCGGCCAATGCGCGGATTGGCCGGCCAATGCGCGGATTGGCCGGCCAATGCGCGCATTGGCCAATATCTCCTCCAATTGACCGGTCAAAGTCCGAAACTTTGCTTGATTTCGGCCTTTGGCCGGCCAGTCCGCTGGCCATGGTGGACCGGCCAAAATCTTAATTAGAAGATCATCTGGCTAGGGACCACCGGCCAAAGTCCGAATTAGAAGATCATGAGCAGATTTTGTTTTTTTTATGCCATAAGGATCATGAAATTAAGTTTGTATTGATTATTAATTAAAGTAAATGACAGAAACATTCACATTTTTTATTGTACTATAGTCTCAATCTTTCAATATCATCATTTGTTACAGCAAGTTGAACTTTTATGGCATTTAGAATTACATAGCAGCTTGTTATTTTTACACTTGCAACGATTTGTTGTGCACTTGGTTGTTCAATTGCAGTGAGAGTAGCCTTGGCCCCCAGTCAATGATTGTGAAGATGCGATGGTTCGTAGTGATTTTTCCTCAGTGCCAACTGACGACAATAAGAGCAGTTTTTCGTGAAGAATTGAAAACTCACTTCTAGAATATAGTTTTAGAACACAATGTTCCGTTCCTAATTTGTAGAAACCGCCCTCGACGCTCATGACAACTGCAATCACGCTTCGGGGATCACCGCGACCTTTGTCAACATCTGGAACACGGATGCGTACATTGTGACCCACATCAGCATCTTTAAATTTTGTATTTGATGTTTCAAGCATCTTAGCACCTTGAGTTTGCAAGCTAGTATGAGCTGCTGACCTGTGTTCCATGATGTCTTGTTTGTTGTGACATAATCTGCAGGTAATATTTCCTCCAAAACCTTCGTCTGCTTCATTGGGTATTCCACACATAGCATGGACATCGTTGCCACAGGATCCACAAGAATGAGCTGCAGTACAATATTTTTCACAAACTATACAGAATCTGTTGGCCACATTATTGTCACGCAACTGGTCTGGACGTTCCGCCACGGCAGCAGATGTGTTAGCTGAGGAAGTCGTTGCATTTATGGCAACCTCAATTTCTTGTTCAATGTTCTCAAGATCTGGTTTATGACGCCCACGCCATCTCAAGTCGCTTGGACACTATTGTTCAACTTACAAGGAACGCAGCAAAGTCTTTTGAACGTTCCGTCTTGTTGCACGTGGTCGGTGACGCCGACTGTCTTTGATTTTGTTCTTTGATTATTGTCATCATGGAGGAGGCTGTCACATACAGTTGTAGCCCATATATGGAAACTAACATGGATTTACATTTTTTTCTTTTGACAGCCATCTGGTATGTCTGTCTGTTGATATGACGGTCCTTTTGGTCCATGTCGCATTGCATATAGAATGCTATACAAACAAAAGCCGAACAATAAGTTACTCACAATGAAACCGCACCCAGAATAATGAAAACGCGATCACAACTTAGCCTAGATAGAACATTGGCCAGGACATCCCGGCCAGTGCGCGCATAGGCCGGCCAATGTGCGAAATACTATCTTAGTGCTAAGTTCTTCGGGCTTTGGCCAAGAGAGCCGGCCAATGCGCCTAAACTGATTGCGTATTTTTGTTGGCTCTTTATTGTTTTCATGTAGATCTGTGTCTTTTTTTTAATCGAGCTGTCAAATTGGTCATTTTCTGGGTCATCTCAAGCTATGATCTTTAGCCAGTCCAGCTGGTAAAGGGTTAAGATTAGAGTGTTCTCTCATCCATATTGCATGGTGCTAGACACAAGGGTTTCTGACAAGCTCATGCTTCTTTCCCTAGTGGATCGCACCACCTGGTTTGGACAAGGACATTTTAGTCAGGGGACACAACCTGCAGGCACCAGACAAGTTTCTGAACTTGTGACTGTTGAGTTAGTTCCACTGTGAGACCACACCATCTCCATGTTTTTATTAACTACATAGAGAAATAGTAACAACTTCAATAACAAAACAAACCTTCCAGGACAACAGATTGCTTTCTTAACATTTTAAAACACAAGCTATTGTTAATTACTAATAAGTTCAAATCAACAATGTTTACTTTTCAGGATGGATTTAAATTTATTACTAATAACACCACAAAGAAATAACGATTAATTAATCCTTATGTGTAAGGTGGCCTACAAAGAGAAAAGTACAGTTGAAGTATTAATAAAAAATAGTATTTTTAAAATCAATTGACAATTCTGACTTTGTTTAGCTAGGACTAAATGCGTGCTATGAAAAAATAAAAGCAGCTAATATATAAATGCTTATACTATTTGAACAAATAATATCTCTTTTACAAAGAATAGTCATAGTTGCTGAACATTGTCAGATCAAAAGGTCAAAAAATAATGTAAAACACTTAATTTTTAGGGGGAGGGGGGTGGGGCATAATTGAATTATTTATTGGACTATTTACAAACAAATTTTAGTAGGGAGCAATGATTATACTAATATAAGGTTATGTATTATGCAAGTAAATTAGCAACATAAAATATATACTTCAATGATGGTAAGGAACTTTTAAATGAACACAAAGAAATGATAGCAGTAATTATTACTCTGTTAAAAACAATGATAAATTTTTCAAAAAGAAATTGAATAAAAAAAAGAACTAAAAACTGAACCTCGCAGAAACAAGTTTCATAATTACCAAAACATAAAAATAAAACCATAAAAAATAAAAATGTACCAATTCCTAATGAGTATAAAAATTAAAGAAAGTTGATATGTAATGCATTTTAAATACATTAAGAAGTATGCACTATACTAAATTATTATTATCTTTGTGTTTAAGGAATTTTAAAACAGAATGAATACTTAAAATAAAACTTAACTTAAATGCTTTCTAAAAATAATAAAAAAATCCTTTTATTGAAAAACTCATAGAAAAATGATCAGCATTTTCTGATTAAAATCAACTTTTATGTAGAAATTTAAGCTTTACAAAAATGCTCATGCAGCATTTTTTAACAATGCATTTTCAATAGGAAGTTGTTATGCATCAAAAATATATGACAGAAACACATTAAAAAAAAAGAACTACTTTACAAATTCTAAAGATTGAAAAACATCTGGTATGGCTAAATATAACAGCATCAGCTGATATAAATTATATGTTGACTGCACTAAGAGCTTGAATGTGAATTTGAGGAAAAGCAAAAAATAATCCAGAAAACAAGCAATATTTATGCCCAGCAATTCTGATATTAAAAATAGGTCATTTTTAGTTTTAAGATAATCATCAAACAGAAAATTACAAATGCTATAGTTTTCCAAAACCATTTACATACAATTGTACAAAAATTGCTGCGAGTTATTTTTAATATTTTTGTCAATTAGGGGCAAGAAATAATTAAAACATTTTTCTGTCTTAATACATAAAACAAAAAAATATACCGATAAAAGTAGTCTATGTCAAGTCTATTTTGTAAATTAAAATAAAAAATGTATGATATATCTGTATATAATATACATTTTATAAAGTTTCATGAAAGTTATAAAGTTATCAAACTTTTTCCCATAAACTGTGAAAGAAATAATTTAAAAATTCAAATATAGAAGAAGATACCATTTACTTTAGCCACCTTTAAACAAAACAAATTACACAGAGAATTAGTAAAATAAATTGAGCAACTGGATAACACTAGATTTTGGCAATTATGGTAAATGAGAAAAATGAAAAACAAAACAACCAAGGATTGAAAGACAATATGACAAGAAATGGCACTTGTTTAGTATTAGACTGAAGCTACTGAACTATCGCTATAATAACTTTGAAACTTTTTTGTAGTTGGATTAGATTAGGAACACAAGCAGACTGAGACAAATTACACTAAGGATCTGTATAAACATAAATAATTACAAAGATGATATAAAAAAAATAATGTATATCATCAACTATTTTAAACAATTAATTCAAAACAGTGAAAGTTCAGATAAAATAAATAGAATTTGCTGCTGCTTTTAAGGCAGAAAGAATTTGAAAGATTGCATGAGGTTTATGATTTTTTCATACATTTTTACAAGACATGCATTAAACAAGGTAGGCAATTTTTAATTTATGAATGTGTACTGGACAAGGAGTAAAGAGAACAAAGTTAAAGTCAATGTATATTAAATAAATTAAGCCATGAATTAAGCAATATTTTATCAGTTCATATATACATAACATGGCTTTAACTATTCTGAACAATTTTGATGCATATTGTGTAAGGAGTTGAAATGTATTTTAAATATAATAAGGGATAGTTTTACTAGAAACTATAATTTGATTTACTTTTTAAAAAATAGTTCAAATCAATTTTAAGAATTGTTACATAAAGTAGTTTTATATTTTGATAAGAAATGTTAAGATAAAAATAATAGTATAATGCTCTAGAAAAAAAAGTAATTTCTGCAATTTCTGTACATTCAAAATATATCCATGAAATATGCAACCCATATTTGCTTTTAAGCATATGAAAAGTATCCTAAAATAACATTAATTACTACAAGTAATGAGGGATAGGTAAAAATAAATTAAATTATTAAAAAAATTCAATAACTGATTAAAGTCTTTATTTATTTTTATGATGTAATTTATGTTTTATCAGATAATTTGCAAGACCTTGAGGAACTTTTAAAGCAAACTGATAAGATATTCAGCTGAACATATTGTTAAAGACATATTTCAGCAGTTTTCTTCCTGAGTTAACCCATCAGGATATAATAAAATTGAAATCTGGATTGAACAATTCTCCATAATATCAAATATACTTACATGTGATTGACTTACAAAACATGATTTAAATGAGAGAAAAATAATTTAATATGTATAAACTGAATTAGCATTTTAGGGTTAAAAGTAAATGTAAACTTTAAAAAAAAAATTAAAAACATTTTGTTGCAAAATGCTGAAGAGTAATTCTGTATTAGCACATGGTATGTGAACATTTTTCAGTATAAAATTTTTGTATAAGGTTGTGGGTCTAAATAAATCTCTAACACATTGCCAATTAATATAATCATTTTCATCGAATAACACAAATAAAACGCTTATAAAGTTAGTGTATATTAAATATTTGTACCTACGTTTGTAGAAAAAAACTTTAATTTTCCTGTTTCACTTTACGAAATAAGAGTAAGTTAAGTAACATTGAAAATTTAAAAACTATCAACATGTTATTACATTTCTATAATTTTCATGTAGACTTATTTTAAGGCAGATTTTAAAAATGTAAAAACATGAATTTAAAAAATGAATTATTCAATAGAATACATTATGTACAAACTTTTTTTTTTTACAAATTTAAAGGCTGTTATTTAAAATGTTTTAAGTTTATTAAATTAAATACTAACAAAGTATGTACACCCTTTTTATAACTTCCCTTTGCATCAATTTTTAAAAACTTTTATACATTGCCCTCTGGTAAAAACAATTATCAGCACTTTTATTAAAATTTTATATAAATTTATTTCGGTTAAGGCAGTTAACACAATTTAATGAAATGTGTAGAATGCTGCAGATTAAAAAAAGATTTTCATATATTACACATAGGCACTGTCAAGTTAAAATATTAGCACTTGGTTGTAAAATGTTTTAAAATTTATTTAAAAATTGTGAAAACAAGTACAATATTGCTTTTATATGCTGGGACAATACTTTATTATAAGTTTATGTGATTTTGGGACAATATGAAAGATAAATAATAGAGAAAAAAACCAATTTATTCTTTGTAGTTAAACGTTTGCAACAAATCGAGTATATATTTATAATTATTTTTAATTGGATACAACTTTTGAAAATATATCTTTTTTAATTAAAAAAGTGACATTGTCATACTAACTAATGTAGTTGAAAATTTAAACATTTTGAGGCTTATGATATATGTGAAACATGACAAAAAAAAATAAAAAATTATATTGATATACAGGTGAAAGAAAATTCAAGGTTCTTTACTTGTGTATAGCTGAGTGATTATCACATGATACAAGAAGTGACTGTACATTAATTCGTTAACAGATATTGACTATCTTAGTTAAGTATTTTGTTTTCCTTTATTTCATGTTACTGTTCATAGCTTGTACAGCATACTGTAGTTTTTTTTTTAAAGCCTAAACATGGTCATACTATTTACAATGAATTAAAGATAGCTGAATAGGCCTATTTGAAATGCAAAAACTATTTGATAAAATTACAAATGAAAGTGTAATACTTGAAATTTTTCCCCAAAAAATAATATTTACATAAACTGAATCTGTAATACAACTCATTTAAAAAAAAATTACAAAGAAAATACTGTAAATACAATTATGTTGTAGTGAGGTAAATGGGACTTACATAAAAATAAAATATACTATTAAATATGCTAGCCTAACTTAAATGTTTTTACGAAATTTTTATATACAATATTTAAAAGTAGTCTGTGTACCAACTGAATACACTTTCATGTTTACACATGAGCAAGGGGTTAAACTTTTAATGACGTGTGCTCTGTTACTTGCTGATCATCAAAAACATCATCCTCTTCCTCAACTTTGTGATTGTTGTTTGAGGGGTCTTTCTTGGACCTGGCGTTCCCCATCCCATCCACAGCGTCCCTGTAGTGGTAATGGCTGCACTCTGCCACATTGACGTATGTGGATTCAATGTTGCGCTTCATCATGCCTGTCTTCATCTCAATCTGCTTCACCATGTCCGTGATGTCGTCCACCAGCTCGGCAAAGGTTGGTCTGTCAGAAGGGTTCTCGGCCCAGCAGTTTTGCATGATTTCATATCTGAGAAATTGTTATGTAAATATATATATTTGTAATATTTCTAGTTATTGCCCTTAAACAGGCAAAGATAATGAGTGAAAAATAAAATTAATGTACTATTCACTGCTAAATCAGAAAATTTTAAGCTTAAATTCAATAAACATTTAGAGAAGTCTAATGATCTAAGAGAATTTAATATTTTTCTATGGTATAAACAGAAGCATTGCTACATTTCCCTAATTTATCCAAGATTTTCAAGGTCGTAGTAGAAAATTTGAGGTAATGTTTTATTATTAGAAGAAATAAAAAAATTGAACAAACTTTTAGAAAATGTTATTCTTATCAAGTTCAAATTTTCTGTTGGTAAATTTTTCTCATTGAGGGAAAAATAGGATAAGGTCATAGGTCTAAATTTTAAAAAAAAATGTGCAGAAATACTGCTTGGCTTATCTAAAACCATTTAGATTATAAAGCAAAGGAAAGAATAATAACAGTTCACAATTTTTAGCTAAAACAAAAAGATTCACTTTGACATAGTATGCCAATCAAAATATCCAATAATAACTAAAATAACATTGAGTAGTCATTGCTTACAGCTGATCAGGGCAGTAGTTTGGATGAGGCATGCGTCTCCCAGCCTTTAGGTATCTGATGATATCCCAGTTGTCCACTTCAGGATAGGGCATGAGACCTCTGGTCATCAGTTCCCACAAGACAACACCATATGACCACTGTTCAATTGAAGTGTTAATACATACAATCAAATACTTCAAGTAAAGCATTCTAAAAATGTAAAAAAAAACATCAATTGATACATTGTCAAATAGATCGTCCCTGAGTCCATCCAACTCTGATGGGTACCTAACTCACATTAGGGAAATTAAAGGTGGCTGGGTATAGTGCTGACCACACGATCTCTTCATATGCCGAGGTCACAGAAACAAGTGAACTCTACTTCACTTGCCCTATAGACCGTCAAGTTTGAAAGGGAACTTTACTTTACTTTTACATTTAACAAAACTAAAAGAGCTTGAAAATCTCATATATATCAACATAACATAACTCTTAATGCTTAAATAAGAAGCATGATAAAGGATTGGTTTGAAAAAAATATGAGTAGATCCAGTAGGACATATACTTTAAAAGAAAATGACTCAAAAGAAACAGTCACAAACAACTGATCATAGGGTAATACTACATATTAAATAATTTTACAAATATAAATTAGCAGGTAATAACCTTACCACATCTGATTTTGGGCTGTATGTCCCCTTCTCCAAGCTTTCAATGGCCATCCATTTCACTGGAAGCTTAGCCTTCTTGTTAGCAGAGCTGTAATATTCTTTCTCATAGATGTCCCTGGCTAGACCAAAATCTGCCACCCGGACGTGGAACTCTTCATCCAACCTGAATGGAACATTTGCTTGTTTTTTTTTTAAATATTTAAAAAAAAATGTCTACATTTAACATTTATCTAGTTGCTAGACAAATGTAAAATGCATCGACTAGGGTCAGAAATTTTTAAAACTTATGACCTAAAGCTTAAGTCTAGTTTTTTGCTTATGATGTTATTATGTATGATTTAGAATTTTTTTTTTCGGTCGTTTGAAAACTGTATTTTAGCTAAATATTTTGGCATTCTTTTATTCAGTGTCTCTAATCAGGTGGACATAGATATATGCTAATTAAAAAAGACTAGTCAATAAATAAAGCAAAGTATGTTAATATATATATTATGATTAAGGTTATCTTTCCTCATTATTCGTGCAAAATGCATTATTATGATTATACTAAGCTTAACAGCTTTTAGAGAAAATCCGTTTCATACATTTGTAACATATTAAAATATGAGGAAGTATGCAGTTAACACAAGATGAGTAAATATTTTTTTGTTATTATTGTTATAATATTAAATAAAAAGTTATAAGACATAGATTTTAGCCCTCATTATAAAACCAATGCCAGTCTTATTTTTAATGTTAAAGAACTTACATGCAGTTTCTAGCTGCTAAATCCCTGTGTACAAACTTGAGACTGGACAGATAATCCATGCCTTTGGCTATGTCAATGCCAAACATAATTAAATCTTTTATAGTAGGTAGCTGAAATCAGAGCCACACAGTTTCACATGCTGGTTACATGCCAAAAATAAAAAAAAAAAAACTATTTTTTTATTAGATTTGTTTTTCTGTACCGACAAAGCAGAGATGGTTAATTTATGAAATAAATTGGTTAATCAATAAATAAATGAAGCTAATTTTTTAAAAAGGTTGGACAGATCAGCAAAGTTTTTAACTGCTACAATGTAAATATCAAGTCAAGATTGGGTTATCTAGTTAAGTTGCTAAACTGCTTTACTAGCTAGGGAATAGAAGGAGTATAACAGAAGAGTTTCTAGTCAAATTCCTAAAAAAATCTTAAATTAAAACAAAAAATAATAGGTAGGGTTAAATTAAGAGTGAATCAGACAGAAAGATTAAGACTAGTTTTTTTTTTTAATGCAAGTATTATGAATATATGAATACTACAAATTCAGCATCTAAATATTACTTTTTAAAAGATAAGTGTGTCACTGAAGTTGCCATTAGTAAATATGATGTTGACATTTTGGATGGCAACATGGTAGGTATATTACTGCAGATGCATAAATCACAACAAAAAAAGATGGGTATATAAAACTACAATGGATATTCTGCCACTATCCATTATGCCAGATCATCTTGGGAGTACAATGAGATAAGAGTTCCAATAAAATAAAGTTATTTATGGTTCATTAGAATAAAAATCTAAGGTTGTAAACCCTTTTGTTTATTTAAGATTCCTTTTTTTTTTTGGGTTTTTTCACCAGTACAATATTTTTATTTTCTTTTTCTAAGGTAACTGAACCAAAAAAACATGCCTTCAAAAAATAAAACTTAAACTAAACTGTTATAGAACATTAGGTTAGGATAATGTGTGACTACAATAATAGGGGATGAAAACAAAAAATAAAATTGTTTACAACAGAACTAAGGCTTAAACAGTCAAAGGAAGTGAGTCTTTTTTTTTTTAAAGCACTGAGTAGTACAATCATCAAATGATTCATTTCAACACTTAAGAATTAATCATTCGCTGATAGAAATATAAATTGTGTTTTTCTAGTGGGCTCATCAAGTCAAACCATAACATGAGTAATAAGGAAGTTTTAATTACATTTTCACTTTAAGTGATTTCATAAAATATAAAAGAAAACTTGTATTACCTCAAAAAGATTTTTGTGTTAGGAAGTAATAATTAAAATATATGTGCAAACAAGAGAAACTCATCTCCATTATAGTAGGAGTGAATTATAACTGATTATTTTTGTAACATGCTTGTGATGGGTACCACTTTTAAAAATTGTTGCTCCTATTTAAAAACCTGCTAACCACTTACATTTTTCTCATCTCGTATGTATGTAAGTAAATCTCCATGTTTCATAAAGGGCAGGACCACAAGAGGCATCTCATCCAGGTCTAGACAGACTCCAATCAGAGCCAACACATTCGGGTGGTTGAAGTCTTTCATCCTGAGGGCCTCCTGGAGGAAACCTTGCAGCTCTATATCTCTTGGGTTGTTGTCTGTAAACCACACCACAAGATAGGAAACACACGTTTTTTTAACATTTCAATAAAAATATAATAAAAAATCAATGGATTTGTTTTTATGACAGAAAAATACTACATTTGAGATAAAAATAAATTGAAAATATCTGTATTTAAAATAATAAGCTAAGTAATAATATGCTGGCTCTAAGTCCCAGCTGTATCCATAATACTGTTACCTAGAGACATTTTAAAGGCCATTTAGTTTACATGTTTTTAACAAAGGCAATAAATTCCTAAATATTTCTTCAACTTAAATAATTTATTTCATTAAAACAAAAGGCAACAAATTTTTCAACGGAACCTATATCCCATACCGTGTAAAGTTTTCACAGCAACTAGTATGTCTCCTTTCTGCTCAGGTAAGGTTAAAAATCCTCTTTTCACACATCCAAAATTGCCTATAAATAAAAGAAAAACTAAATAGTGTTGTAACAAATTCTATATAAATTATGTTAATTTTAAGAAAATATGTTACTCCAACTGAAGGACTTTTAGAAATACAACAGAAATTATAAAAAATTGTGTAACTGATGCACAAAAACATACTTTGAAAAAAATGTGACAATCTATAACATTTGTATAATTTATTCAAGCAATCCATAGAATGGAATTCTAATAAAATTTACCACCTTCACAGAAAAAACAAATTCTAAAAGTACATAATTTACTAGCTTTTGAGAGAAAAGAGTTCTACACAAGCTGACCAACGCACCTTTTCCTATTTCATCAGCCAGGACTAGACAATCCCTGTCCACTAGAAGATGTTCTGATTCAATTAACCTCAGGGTCTCTTCATCAATGTGGGCATGGGCTTCAGCTCCTACACTCACTGCACCACCATCACTGTACTCTGTGAGGTGACATGGACAAATGTGATATAGGATATGGTGACAGAAAAAAGTGACAAAAAAAACAACACATCTTTAAAAATATATAAAGCTATACACTTCAGTTTTCTGATAATTGAAATTAATTTAATTTGACAAAAACAGTATTTCTTAGATACTTGAAACCTAAAAATAAGGAGACTTATTTAAAGAAAATTTATCTGGCTTTTCTGTTGTTAACATTCAAATATAGCAAGTAGGATATTATATTTTATAAATGAAGACATACGATTATTTGTGTGAAAAGATTCCGCCCTCAATGGTGTATTCTCTTGAGTGAACTGGACTTGATTGTTGACTGTATACTTTGGTGGTCTAACAAAATATAGATGCATGTTGTTGAAGAGATATTAATATTGTTAAGGTTGTTACATGAAAATTTAGCAATGCTTTTTAGCTGGTTAAAAAACAAAATCTTTTTTAAAACCATTAATCAAATATAATTTTTTATAGTAAATTTTTTTATGCTACGTGACATGGTCAAGGGAATGAGCATTACACTTTTTTAGTTCAAATTCTTAATTAACTAAAGCTCTGAATGGCATCTAAATCTAGTCAAGGGACATAACTGTATCTGATTCTAGCCAGGGGACATAATGGGATCTGATTCTAGTCAGGGGACATAATGGTACCTGTTTCTAGTCAGGGGATGTAATCATGGCTGTGTAAGGTGTGAAATAATGTGTAATGCTGACCACTCAATCCTATCATAAAGATTTTAAAAATTCAGGAACTCTACTTCACCTGGTTAATGGATGATGTCAGGGAATTTTACTTTTTTTAAATCTATACTACCAACAGCCAACAAGTTGTGAATATCAAACACCTTAAACAAAGAGTTGCTTGCACCCTTCTCAAAGAAACACGAAAGAAAACAACCTAAATGCAATACGTACTTGAAGAATCCACACCGTTGGCGCCTCATGACTATAAGCAGTATAATGACAGCAATAAAAAGAAGATTGAGGATGATGATGAGTGCAATGATGCCACCTGAGATAGCAGTTGCCGCTGCTTGTAGATATTCAATGAGACCAATCTCTGTTGTGTTGAAGGCCAAGTTTCCTATTTTAATCTGTTTAAATTAAAGACAAACTTCAATGAGGTAAATCATACAATTCTGTATAATTTTAATATTTTTTTATATAAGTTAGGGTTAGCTAGTCACATAAAGTAAAGGTAAAGATTCTTCTTTAGACCTAGCGATCCATTGGGCAGATGAATTAGAGTTTCTTGTTTCTTGACCTCAGCATATGAAGAGATAATGTAGCTAGTCACATGGGTAGACATAAAATTGCTAACTTAAAAGTAATAAGTTCTCTTCCTGGGTTTGAGCCCGTAATATATCACTGTTGACTATGTCAAGTTCCTTATGTGAATCTGCTAAAGCAGGGGTCTCCAAACTACGGCCCGCAGGCCGGATGCGGCCCGCGAAGTCCTTTCATGCGGCCCGCGGAGATCTTTTTGTCCAAGGAAAAATCGTTTGTTGGTGATGGCTGAGGAACTTTGCCCAAAAAATCAAAGACATGCCTGGAAGAAACTGGCCCCCGAACTGAAATTTGATAGTTAATGCGACCCTCGGACTGAAAAGTCTGGAGACCCCTGTGCTAAAGTAGGCCTATAGCATTGTGCTGACCATATACGAGAGCTGCAGTAACTTAAAATAAAACTTGACTGAAGACTTAACTCCCACTTTGGGGTCAAAAATGAGACTCTATTAGGGGAATGTTGACCACATAATCTTGTGAAATGTCAAGGTCAAAAATAGAGAAAACTCTGCTCAATATGCCTTATGGTCAATGAAACTGGACTTAATTTAAGTATCCTATTAATTATCAGACAAGATAACTAGTTTATCTAGAGGGGATTTTAAAAAATGTGATTTTCATGATGCATAGACCAGCTTGAATGAATTTGATCAAGTCTGTTGCTTTTTTAGAGTAAAAAACAACAACAACGTGTAATACATTACTTAGCACATGAGGTAAATAATTGACAATAGAAGTTAGTGTTATACAAAGACAAAAGGCTTTTTGAATCTCACAACATAACAGGTAAAATGTGCCAACCCAGAATGACAAGCCTGTGCAGTAAAAATATTTAGAAAATCCCCACCTGGACTGCATACTTTGGTCCGCCATCAACTTTTAATCCAGACACATCTGGCTTGCATTTAAATTCACTTGCATCAATATATGTCACATTACACAATTTGCCTCCAATTGTCACAATTATGTCCCTTTTGTTGACTGACAGCAGGTCCTTGCCCTGAAATGAAAGTTTGAATTAAATGTTTTTAATTATATTTAAACACAAGAACAGATGACAGTATGTCTTGTTATGATTATAATGTAATAGTGTTGTTATTTTTTCATGAAATAGAAGAAAACATTAATATGAATATCAGTTTGGCATAGATTCCCTTAAAATTTTGAATAGAATACTCATTGATAGTGACAAGTTAGAGAGTTGATATGATGTTGAAAAAACATGCAGAGCTTTTTAGGAGATATAAGGGCAATGATTAACAAAGGATCAAATGACATATATATATATCCTGATAAAAGTAATAATTGCTGTATTTGAAATATGAAAAAAAAAAGACTAAATATTAAAAGGTAAAGTGGCTCAGATATACAATTTTAAAACCATTTAATAATTACACATTTAAAAAAAGTTAGAAATAGAATAGAAAAAAAGTACAACTCCAACTGCCTAACCTGTTACTTTGCTTGAAACAAGACAAGAAATTGCCTAAAACGCATTATACAATATTTGAAAAAAAGTATATAATTGCCAAAAACCAAATCTCAAACAAACAAAATGTTCTTACCAAAAAAATAATTTCTTTATCCACTTCACTTTGCATGACAGTTTTTTTGAATTTGAGAATAACTGGATCTGGATAATAATGTATGTCCGATATAACTGTCGAAAAGAAATAAGATGAAAAACATTAGAAAAATGAACACACGCACAATTTTATTTTGAGTTACAAGGGTGGCAAAAGAGATTTTATTGAAATTTAATGTAAAAAAAAAAAAAAACAACTTCAATAATTGAAAGCTTCATTTGTTTGCCAATAATTTGACAAATATTTGATTGTTCAAGCATCAAAAATAGGAAATGGGTACAAGAACATTCTTTTATGTCATTTTAGTGATAACATATAGTTATTACAGGTATTTACCTTTTATAGTGCAAGTTAAAAATAAAATAGTTTTGTACTTTGTTAAGTGAGTAAACTTACATGACTGCAACTCCACTTTATTTCCATCAAACAAAAAGTAGGCTTGAACATTTTCTGGTTTCGGAATATTTATCGAAGGGCAGATCATTGTAGTTCCACCACTATCAACCTTGCATGTCTGTGTTTAGATATAAGATAATGAAACTGTTCTCAAAACTTAAAAAAAACAACTAATGTTATTACTTTTACAAAAGAAGACTGGTTTTTTCATTTATTCAGAATAATTTTTTATTATATAAGTTTTACTGTCAAATGAGAAAAATCTGGATAGTTTCCTTGCCTTAACTACCAAAAGTTTAACAACTTACAGTGGTGGAATCAAATTCTTGATTATTAGAAGTTGCACCCATAACCGGTGCAACAGAAGCATCTAAGTTATTGCCAGTGACTGTTATTGGAATTCCTCCACTGAAATCATAAAAAAAATTTAAGAAAGCAGATACTTCTACTGTGGTTGAATTTAATATAAAAAAAAACTGAATAAAAACCAGTTTAATTAGCAAGTTTGAGGATAGTGCTTGGATATTATATAACTCATGGATTCCCAAATATATGGGTCACAACCCCCCTTTTTTGTTTTCTAGATGGGGTGGGGGGAGCATTAGCTTGTATACTAAACAAAACAAAATACTCTTTTTAAATTGTACAGGGTTCATGATTTGCTTGGATTTTATAAAAAAAATTTGGGATTTAAAAAAAATATATATAAGATATTTAATTGAGGCTTACTGATACAGAAACAAATCAATGATTAGTTTTAAGTTTAATTTTGAAGCAAGGGATGTGGAGAAAATAAAAAGGTTACCTCAGTATTGACTTTTTAGGGCTGATTGATGTTATTTGTGGATCAGGCATGTAGAAGAAATTAATGTCTTCTCCGTTACTCTGTGCAGTCAACTTTTCATTGTCAATATTCACTTGCAGTGAACCATATTCCTTAGCCCTGCTGGCATAGCGACGGCGTCTTTTACCAAGAGATTCTGACCACTTTCTGGTGGTGCAGTATAACTCATTTGGAGATGTTCTAAAAAAAAAAACAGGTACAGAATTTTAGGCAAACTTTATTTTAAAAATATATGTGCTTATAAATTATTTATAGTTTATATTAAGTAAATGGTATTGCGTTTTAAAATTGTAAAGAATTTTTTAAAAATGTAAAATAAAATTAGGAAAAATTAGTTATAATTAATTTTTTAAAAAGAACAATATAAAACTACAGACCTGTCTGTGTCAACAATGCAGGCAGGTTTATTGGCAATAGTCACATTGATACTTGAACCAATATCCAAATTCTGTCCAAAAATGGTTATTTTTGTACCTCCCCTCTGTGGACCTCTTTGTGGTGAAAAGGTAGAAACAGTGGGAACCTTTGATGAGGAATAATAACATTGAAATTAATATTAAAAAGCTCCATAGACATTTTTCTAAAAAGTTAAGCAGTTCTAATGTCTACAATACCTTATAAAAGAACAAATCATTAGAGTTATTCGTTCCATAGATATGAAATGGACGTTCTAGTGGGGTGGTCAAATCATGTACATAAATGTTAACAACATTGTAGAATTCAGTATCGGATGATCTAGTAATGCAGTACACCCTATAATGTTGAAGCAAAAATGTTATTACAATGGAGTATAAAACAAGTTACAATGTTATTAGCTAATATCAATTAGTATACCAACTCATAGAAATTAATTAGTAGGTATGTTATTATGTAAAATCAAAGTAAATTAGTTTCAGATTGAATATTGACAACATAGCATTTGATAACAATCTAGTACAGTTTATAAAAAAAAGTAAATTTCTGTTTAGAAAGGAATGGTCCACGGAGCAAGTGAAATAGAGTTCACCAGTTTCTGTGACCCCGGCATATGAAGGGACACTGTGGTCAGCTGTCTTTACTTTCCCAGGTAGGCTACACATCAGTGTAGGCTCAGGGACGTTCAAAGAACTTGAAACCGGATACAAACTTGATACTTTCGGGTCAGCATTCATATATTCTACCATTCAACCACACCACCCCATAGTACAAAGCTGTACTTTTATGTATCCAGACAAAAAGTGGAAAAGTTAATTTTTTGTTGCCGTACCATCAACACTTGTAGAGGAAATTTCTCAATAAACAAGCAAAGCAAAATAACAATAAATACCAACAATAATGTAAAGCTTCCTATTTTTCTACCAGTTTCTATACTTGCACAAGAAAACATAGAGGATCCAACAATGAAATAAAGCTTCCTATTTTTCTACCAGTTTATATACTTGAACAGGAAAACATAGAGGAACCAACAATGAAATAAACATCTGTATTTCTCTACCCAGTTTTTACACTTACACAGTAGAGTTTGACTCAATTGCATTGATGTCACACTCAAATTTTCCTATGGTAACTTTTTTTTCAGCTTTTTCATTCCCGAAAAGTTTACCGGTGATTGTTAATTTTGTTCCGCCCTTTGTTGGGCCAGATTTTGGGCTGATCTGTAACAAAAAAAAACAAGAGTACAGGAAGCAGAGAATGACAAATCTGGGAAAACAGAGCACAGGAAGTAGAAAAGATAACTCTGGAAAAATAGATTATAGAAAATAGAGAATGATATATCTGGAAATATAATGAATATTTTAAAAATCTAACTTGTAAACACATTGAGACAGAAACAACATAACAAATTTAAAACACAACAATGTGAAGAAATGATGAAATTTTGGTATCTTTCAGGCATATATTTAAAATCAGATTTTCTATTTCCGTAAACATATTTTTGACGGAGATGTGTATACTTGGTAAAACAAAAATTAATAGTAAAGCAAGAAAAGTTAAATTGCTTTTACTTAGCTAAGTCTAATGCATAAAAAATTTAATATTTTGGTATTTTTAATTTAAAAATTAATTTTTTATACTTCCTTGAAAAATAAGAAATGTTAAAAAGCAGAAAATAAGAATATTTGCCATAGTGATAATTTTGTATATAAAATCTTGTCAATACACCATAGACAGAGATATAAACAAAATGAGTTAGTGTACTTACAGAGTAAATGATTGGGGGGCATGACAAATTGTCAGTGGCTTTCCAAGACTCGCCTTTCTCGGCACACTCAGACTGGTTAGTGCAGGAGTCCCCACACCACCCACACCCCAGTGGATCCCTGCTGGTTATACAAGCCTCACAGTCTAAGTAAAGACCACATGAGGACGCAGGAAATTTCACTACCTAGAGAAGTTTGCAATCAAACATTGATTTGTTGCTGGGTCTTAAGCCTAAGGTTGTTTTTTTTTTAATTTACAATGTGATTTGTAATAAATGTATTCAAATATAAAACATTATTCGAACAAGTGAAACTCTTGCAGTGGTTTCAACAATTATTTCATGAGTAAGTTGAAGGAATAAAAAATGTGTAAGAAAAAATTGCTTAAGTTCCAAAAAGAATCACAATGAGATTAATTTGAATTTTTATGAAGCACTCAATAAGATTTCCTGTGCTTCAGAATGCAAGGTTCCATAAGGTGTCATCTATAAGGGACCTCACACTTTTTGACAATTTTTACCACTGCTCGACATCAACTAGTTCCCTCTGATCCGTCCCAATAACTTAAGTAATGCTTCACTGTTCACCCTCTATGTAAAGCAGGTTTAACTGTTATTAACGGTTTAAATATTAATTGAACTGGTTCTGGATTAGGTACATTGCTCAGTTTTTATTACAATTTACAAAAAGTCTTTTGAATTAAATTACAATGTGACCACTGAAATTCAGTATAAATTTTTTTTTTTAAATTGCAAAAAGTGTGACATCATGCCTTCTGTATTCCCCTCATAATAACAGTCTGAACACTTCCCCCACAAGATATGGACCAACCCTTAAAAACCAGTCTTAGAAATTTGTAATGAAATAAAATAGTTTACATTTTAAAATTATGAATAATTGCCTTTGGTTTTAAAATAAGTTCTTAGAAAATTGTGTTTTCAAACAGAAAAAAATCAAGCAACAAAAACAACTAAGCATCAAAATAACCAAATTTATAAAAAAAAATTTGACTTACTGAATCACCAGTTAGAATAAACATATTGTTGTTTTGTTCCGACTCTGCTTCTATGCTACTAATAGGATTTGGACCAAGGTTGACTTTTAGAAATTCTTTATATTGGGTGTCATATTTTCTGATCTGTAGTATAATACATATTTTCAATACAATCAATACAGCTTTGACAGGAATAACAGTGAATAACAGGAACAAAACTTTAAAAAAGAAGAATAACAGAATACAGCACCTTTCTAATAGTTCCATTAGTATCTCCAACCAGGAACACCATCTTAGTTGTGTCTGCCGCAACATAGTAAGGTTTTATGGATGTCACTATTGTGGGCAGTTTGATTATAGGAGGTGTACTCTTGGTGGGAGTGCTTGCCCTTACTCCAAGATTGCTTTTATATGAAGGATTACAATTTTGATGAGTTGCAGCCAACAGTTTCTGGTAACTCTCCTTGATGAAAATGAGCATTTAAAATTATTAATCCACTATTTCTTTACTTATTTTTAAGAATGATGTAATAAACATGATGCTTACAAACATCCATATTAGAGATCAGCTGTCAGTATTATCAAATGTACTTACTAAACATTTTAATTATGTCCATCTTAAAATAGAGAGAGGGTTACAAAATCAGGAGACTAAATTTCCAAAAATAAAAAAAAAAAATAAGATAGAAAACTTTAAAAATTGTTGATAAAATGATAAAAAACTAAATGTGATCCACTTACAGAATCTTGAACACACACGTCTTCAACGGCCTTGGGCCATTCTAGTTGAGAACCTTTGGAACTACCATAACAATAAAGTAAGCCTTGCCTGAAGCCATTGTTAATCTTTGCTATAGGGAATTCACATACTGCGGACCCTTTGCTGAAATCAATGTCATCACGGTTGGATGGCTGAAGTCGGACAGTTGAAATGTACAAGGTGTTTTCAAAAAACACTGCATCAGTAGCTTTGTTAAATTCTAAATCACCCTCAAGACAGGAGAGTTCCAATTCAACATAAGACTCTAGTTTAATGTCCAACTGAGAACAAATTCGTCCAATTCTAACACGGACCTCATTTTCATATTTCAAACTCTTCTGTTGGTTCATCACAAAATATATAAAACCTTCAAATTTAAATGTGTATATAAAAGACATATAATAATTATTTTTTATAGTCCGATTGATATCTAACCCTGAGATTTGATGCAAAACTGGGTCGTATAATGCATAATTTAACACTGGGTCAGCATTTGCAGATTCTAGCTTTCTTATAGAGACAGCAAAGGGTGAATTGTTAAAGTCCCTACCATCATACTCATGAAAAACAAAAATTAAGTCTAAAGTGCTACTCTCATCTTTTGTTGTCAGGACAACTTTTGAAGATTTTTTACTGCCAACATACGGACCAGTGTTTTCTCCACCTACATCCCGAAACACCAACATGTTTTTAAGTGAATGCAGACTGCAAGAACCATTTCTAGATGTCCCACAGACCAGCAGCAAATCTTTCCTTTCATTGTACTGGACAATTTTTATATCATTGAAACAGCCGGCTTCGTTTTCACAATTCTCTGTTGGACTCTTGTCCACTTCTGATATTTTTTCCAGGTCTGAGCTCAGTTGAAATAGGGCGTTTCTTCCTCCCACGTAAACTGAATTGCTTTTTACCAACAGAGTTTGGAGGGGAGAATTTGTGGGACTGGCTGTGAACCTCTTCATCTCCACAGCTAGACTGCAAGCCAAATAGAAAAGACAGAGGATGGCAGTCTGTGACAGTATAAAATGAGACATGTTCTCAATGTGACTCATCATTTACTGATTTATCTTCTCTGTGCCTGTTTCCTGTTTTCTCTTAGCTTTGCATCTGTAAATAAGAATGGAGATTAGCGATTATAATTTTTTAACAATTAATGACTGCTGAAGTAACCAAAGTTACATTTTAGTTGTAAAAAAAGTTTTAAGTTAAAATATAAATGAGTATCATAAAAACACTAGCCATCGGTACCCGTTTCACGTGAATTATAGGCCTGTATATTATAAAATGTTGTACTTGTTTGAGAAAAATAATTTATGAAATAGTTATTGGTCAAAACGCAATGTGCTTTACAACACGCTGAATGATATTAGTGACAAAGCAAAGAAAAACTAATTAGCTAAAAATCCTACACATTTAACATAACACAGGCACACACTGATTTAGTGTTTCTTCCAGACTTTTTTCTACATTCGAATACGCCTTTATTTTTTATTTTTCTTCTTTAAATAAAATTGTGGTTATACATTTAAAACATCTACCATATTATTTTCAACAAAAGTCCGTATCAAGTTCTCCATATATCGCTGAAGATTCTGATGTGATATCCGGTGAAAATATTTTGCGAATAGAGAGAGAGAGAGAGAGAGAGAGAGAAGTGCGCACATGGTCTTTTATATATTAGGATAAGTCCATTGCAATTGGGAAGTCTATTCATTAGTTCAAAATCAGTAGTAATTTTTAAAAAGGTAAGACAAATACCTACAGAATTTTGATAAAAGTTTATGGTTTACAAAATACAAATATTGCATGCTTATCCTGACAGATGATCACAGGCTCACAGAATTACTGTTAAATACCAAGTTGCCATCAAAGAAAAATTTAAATCCAATATTCTTTTAAAAAAGGGAAAAAGCTGTTTTTATAGTAGGATTACAAACCAGTTTAATTATAAACCGTGGACTAGTTATTGAAAACATGTTGCATATGTACATCATAATTAATGCAAATATAAGGTCACATATTGTTTACACAGAAGGCAAATGCTTAGATTATTAGAGGCTTAAGGTATAGAATAAAGCAATCCAATATAGTAAAGAGAAAGTGTGTGTATGTGGTTCACTACCAGCATTTATTATGAAGTACTTATTTAAACAAATTGACACTTGCAAAAAATTTTAAACTAATTTAACCAGAAAGAAACTAAGACAAAATATAAACTTTTTATAGGCTACACAATAAACTGCATTAAAAAATACAAACATGTTTATAAAGAGTTAAAATGTATGTATACAAAACATTAAAAAAAATTAGTCTTTGAATAATTTACTAACTTCAATGACAAGAGAAATAAAGTTTCATTGAAAAAAAAAAACCTTCTTTAATTCAACTACTGTTGAAATTAAAAATATATCACATATGTTTAAATGGTTAAAAAACCCATCAAACTAACCACAGTCTGATGCCATAAATAAATAAAAGTAAAATAACTCAAAATGATCTTTACCTTATAAAAAAAAACTAAAATTTAAAAAAAAACCACGCTTTCAAATTGTAGCTACACAAGCTGACATTGGTTAGAAAATGAGCAATGTGATTCAGACCACAATACATTAAACCCACTTGAAACTGAAGTAGAGCGACATACTTAATGACTTGATGATCTTACTCTTTGGGTTCATAAATATGTTTCATTTAACACTACCAGGATCAGCAATGCTGGGGCTATTACAAATAATTAGTCACCCAGCTATAGTAATTAGCTGGCTCTCCATTCTCCTCTTAATAGCGACAATTAGCAGCACCAGGCCAGACCAGCTTAGTGCTAGATTTTTATAAAGGAAAGTTGAACTACAACAAAAGCTTTTAGTTTTCTACAGCAACCATATTTAAATTATGCCATTTTTTTTTGCAATGTATTAAATGATTTTAAAATAACTCTTTTAAAAAAAAAAAAAAAAAAAAGAAATAGATCTTTATGAAAAATAAATAAACTATAAAAAGTTAGGAGTTCCTGAAATTTTTTGATAGACACAATTATGACATACAGGAAGACATGACTAGTTTTATTTTAATAGGACATTAGGACTCCACCTATACTTGAAAAACAAGGTTAAAAATGTATTGCTTATACTTAGTTTAACAAAAAATGTAAGTATGTTAAATAATCTAAATTTTGTCCACACTGCATCATACTATGTTTATAGGGTTAGTCTGGGACAGGGTAGTAACTTTGTGACAATAACACTGGGTTACATTTTTACATGACTAAGATGAGAAGATGAATTGTGTTCTTTTACCAAGGGGTCGTCCATAAATGACGTCACACTCGTAGGGGGAGGGTCCGTAATTTTGTGACGGTGTGATGGGGGGGGGGGGGGGAGTTCAGATGGTGTGACGTCACTTTTTTGCATTATAAAAAAGCAATGTTAGAAAACGAGTTTTAGCCGTTATTTTGCGTTTTAGAAAACAGTATTAATAAATTGTAATAGGAATTGATCAAAATACTCTATGTTGACAGAGTTCTGACAGCAATTTTGAGGGGGGGGGTTGTAAAATGTGAAATCATTTTAGGGGGGGGGGGGGGTCTGGCTTTTTGTGACGATGTGTGACGGAGGGGAGGTAAAAATCGTCTAAAAAAGCGTGACGTCATTTATGGATGACCCCCAAGCCAAAAAATCTTATGCCTTGCAATGACTTGTTCTTTTTTAAAATAACTCAAAAATATTTATAATTCTGAAAAAGGATGTGATGGGTTTTAAAGGATGCATTTTTAAAATGTTGGCCTTTTATGTATGTTAGCAAGGTCAGGCCTTTGTGTAATATTTTCTTTGTAGTGTTAATTCGCCATAGCTAAATCAACCACATGTATAGTAGTGTAGTGGTGACATCTTAGCTTAGCGTGTCTTTTCTAAGGGGATGTCCATAAATCACGGTTCATTCCTGAGGGATGGACTATGTTGTGAGATAATCATGTTACTTTCTTGGGGGTATGGACTAATGTGACAATGTGCGATATGGGAGAGAATGGAATGAAGAGAGGCCTAATTAATACTTTTTTTTACAACCATTACTGGTCAAGATGCTCACACAAACCACCACAAAATGAGAGTTGCAACTAGATTATGAGTCCCATTAACTCTAAAGCTAATTGTTGGAAGATTGAATACAAAGTCACCACTCCTTCATGACTGATGCCAGTTAAGTGGATATTTTTTGGCCATGGCAGGAATATTCTTCCAACCTGGTTATTGCACCAAGCTTCACAGGGATTGTCTTTCATTTATGGTGAGAGCTCTATAGAGCTTGGCTTTATGACCATTTAAATTTAGTTGGGAAGTGATTGAACATAATTTTTCCCAACACTGATCATGCTTGTCCCCACACCGAACCTAGATAGTCTTAGTTTGTTGGGGGTCGTTCACCTAGTGACTCCCAGAAGTAATTGAAAGTGTTATTTTTTGGGAAAACTAGCATTTAGGCAGCTCTACTGGCAAAAAGGCGAATTAGTTTTTTTCCAGATCAACTACTCAACTCTCAGCCATCTTAAGAGGTCAGAGCTTTGAGTTTTATGACCCTAGCCTTAAATTCTTGTGGGCTAAAAAAAGTAAAATCTTACATAAAAAAAAGCGGAAAAATTTGCAGGTAATTAAAGGTCTTTCTAAACACTTTGCATGCATTAAGTGAAAGATTGCTGGTGATGATGGTGCCATAGCACGTGAAATGATCAACAGCATTCAGTTGATTACTGGTTATAGTAAAGTTAGGTGAAACTGCTCCTAGAAACATGTTTGTCTTCTTCATACTGATTGTTAGACCAAATTCATGGCAGAGCTTGCTGAAGAGGATCAAATGGGATTGGAATTTCATTTCAGTTTGAGTTACAGAGAGGAAAACATGGTTGAGTGGTTGAGTGCTAGCTCAAAGTCTCGAGTTCCGATCTCGGTCTGGACTCAAGACTGCAGAACTTCCCTGAGTCCACTTAGCTCTGATGAGTACCTGACTGAGGGAAAATGAAGGCAGCAGGGCATAGTGATGACCACACCATCTTGAGGTCATATACTGAAGTCAAGAAACATATGAGCTCTACTTCATCCTCCCTATAAAATGCTGGGTTTGCAAGTGTCAGCAAAAAGTAGGTCTTTGTTTTTTTTTATATGCACACCTGATTCTTAGCTATCAGCCTAGATAGTTTGGAATTGCTACTGAAGGTAAAACTGTTTTGTTAAATCTTTGTTTAACATTTGTGCTGAGATAAAAGAGAGTTGGGAAGAGTACACAGCTGTGTTTTACACCTGTATACACTTGCTGTCTCCCCATCATTACAAAACAGTGTCATTCATGTCATCAGAAAATGATTTAATCTCTGTTGCCAATGTCAAATGCCTTGGTCAGTTCAATGAGTACAAAGAAAAAAGCCTTCTGCTACTCTCTACACGTTAAAGGGATTCAACTACCATCTTCAATGTGGGAGTGATTTTTAAAGCTGTCAGATATTGCTTTGAGTGATATTTCCTTAGCTGCAGAGTTATATGCCAGTGTTCGAGTGTAAAGGTGAAGACAGTAATCATTTGCTCAGTCGTGCTAATATATGCAACTTTATTTTGTTTTCTGGAATATGATAGGACCCCACTATTCCATGGCAAAGAGACATTCCATTGGTCCTAATATTTAAAAACTCTTCTACCTTGTCTAGAAAATAGATTTATGCAGACCAGCATGCCATAAAAAAGTAGGCTGTTAGTACTAGTCAGTAAGCCTACTACTACCGTACTAACACTGACTAACAGTAACTAACCTTTTGCATAATATGGGCCTAAATAATATTAAATAAAAAATAGTTGTGTTAAAAAATAATTTTAAATGTGTAGGGCAGCAGGCTCTATCTGATATTTTGGCGTCGTATAAGTGCTTTGCTGTTAGGTTAGCCCAGAGGCCTTATAAAAATATATAAATTGGAATGATTTCGCGGAGTAAACTGCAAACCGCCTCCCCTTGGCCCTATGCTAGGCGAAGCAAATATGTATGTGCATGCACAAGCATTCTTTGTGTGCATATAGCTAAGGTGAATGGGAAAAAAGTCACAGGAAAAGAGTCACAGTTTTTGCTAGAAAAAAAAGTCACAAATGATAATTTTTTTTGGGAAAAGTCACAAAAAAAAGAAGTCAAAATAATGTTTTAATAAATATTTAGATTTTAATTGTTGGAGAATTGTAAAATTTTGGGTCTTTATTGATGTGGGTTGTTGTTTTTTTTTAGCATTTTTATAAACGATAAAAGCATCATGGTTTATAACACTGATAAGTAAAAATACTGTAACCTAATTTACACCGCAACCACAACTTTTGAAATGAATTTAGTTAAATACGCTCTAGTAATGTTAATTATAAACGAATTTTAGGTACATCATTGTGTTTTGCATGTCTGTTTTTTGCCATTCCTTGGTCGGCTTCTCCTTAGTCGGCCTTGTCCGTCCATATTGTGTGTTGTTGATGTTATGCGTCAATGACAGCCTTTGTACCGTTTCGGGTTTCTGCTTTGATCCTTTCCTTTGTTATGTAATGAGTGTGATAAATGTGGGCAGTACAGGTGGTTGACCTATTGTTGCAATGAGTTGAGGGCATCAAGTCACATTAACTATGACTTAATGCCCTTCCAGGCTTATTTACAGTTAGTATTTAACAAATACATTGAGAAGGAGAAGGTTGGAACAATTTATTATATTCTATTAAATATTATGTTTAAAGGAATTAAAACGTAAATACTTCACACTAAATATTTACATGTTATAAATTTCAATATACGCATACAACCTACGCACATTTCATTATATTTAATTAATCTAAGTTGATTTGCACTTTCTGAATATTTAATACATAAAAGTATTATCAAATTCCATGCAAATATATATTTGTGACTTTTTTTCCTGTGACTTTTTTCCTGTGACTTTTTTTCCTGTGACTTTTTTTCTGTTTTTTACTTTCTCGTATAGAGAAAGTCTTGTAATCGTGCAAAAAAAAAAAAATTGAGATTTTTACAAATCTCGACGTTTTACACCTCACTGATATGGAAAAACATAATTTTGCAATCTTGTCCGTATGTCTGTGTGTGTGTCTTTCTGTGTGTAAACACGATAACTTGAGTACCGTTACAGCTAGGTTGATGAAATTTCATATATAAGTATTTTATCAAAATCGTACAACCGTATCAACTTTTGAGCGATTTCCGATAACCGGAAGTGGTACTTTTTCTACTTTGAATTTTTTGAAAGCCTATAACTTGAGTACTATTCCAGATAGATAAATGAAATTTCACATGTAAGTAAAAGATCTAATTCTCTGCCTTCTGTCAAATTTTGAGTAATTTCCGTTGACCGGAAGAACTAATTTACGCTATTTTCGATGTAAATTTATAAAGTACTAATAATATTGCGCACTATTATGCACATTTTGTTTTGGCGTTCGCTTGGTGCGCAATTCTTTTTTCTATGAGATTCTATTCTATTTTTAAAAGTTAAAGTAATTAAAAATCATGTCTATATTTCAAGTTATATAAGAATATTTGAGAAAGTTTAGGGGAGATCACTCCCGGTTTATTTTTTTCCTGTGTTTTTTTTTCCTGTGACTTTTTTTCCTACAATCACTGCATATGACATTCAATTTTTCAACATTGTGGTCGAAGCTGTTACGCATCAGTCAGCTTGATTTCGTGGCATGGATTCCATTCCTGTTTTTTTTTTTTTCATATTTGTCTTAGTAACTAAAAGCTGTTATGGAACTTTTGAAGGGTTACAGGTTTAGGCTTTAGGGATACCATTGATTAAATGGTTAACATTAAGAAGTCATAAGCGTTTCTTTCAGACCGGGGGTGGGGGCACTTGAATATTTTGGGAGGGGGGGAGTTGGATGTCATCTCTCCCCCCTCCCCCCCCCCCCCCCCCCCCCCCAAAGAGATGTCCAAAAGAAACTCTGGTTATGAAAGATTAGGGTTTGGCATTAGGGTAAATATTAATATACCCAATGAAAAGAGGTAATTGGTTTTCCCATTACACATGCATAGATTGTGGCTAGATCTGGTTTTAAGTTGGAACAGTTTAAAATATTAAAGTATATAGGCCTAGTAATAAAACAATCACCTGATTCTGCCTAATTTTAATAGTAAATAAATACAAAGCTAGTGGCTGAATTAAAATTTTTATTTAGAATTTGTTGGCCTATGTTTAAAAAAAAAAGGTAAAATTATAAAATTTAAACACCTAGGTCTACCTTATTAAAATTAATTTAAAATTTTAGTTTTTAGTTAGGGGGTCATCCATAAATGACGTCACGCTTTTTTGATGATTTTTACCTCCCCATTCCCTCCGTCACACATCGTCACAAAAAGCCAGACCCCCCCCCCCCCCTAAAATGACTTCACACCTCAGCCTACTACCCCCCTCAAAATTGCAGTTGAATTTTTCTTGTCTGGACTCTCTCAAAATAGAGTATTTTAATCAATTCCTATTACAATTTATTACTTTTAACATTACTTTTTGTTAATGCAAAAATGTGAGTCCCACCATCTGAACTCCCCCCCTCCCCCTCATCACACACCGTCACAAAATTACGGACCCCCCCCCCCCATCCCCCCTACGAGTGTGACATAATTTATGGACGACCCCTAGCCTAGGCCTAGTTACTTAGATCTAGTAGTAGTTACTTACTCATACTCTTATTTTGTTACTGTTACTAGACTAGTAACTTACTAGTTATACTTACTTTTATAGGTATATTATAAGATCTAGTGGTAATCTATCGTTTTGGGTACGTAAAATCGCCCGCGATTTGTAATGTGAAAAACAGGTGACTCCTTAAATTTTAATAATTATTTCACATTTTGAGGAGGATTTATGTTTTAAAAAATTCAAAAATGTTTCCTTGATTCATTTATGTACCTGTTTTTAAACAATTGAATTAAAACTTTTCCGTAATAAATGAAGACTAGCGATGTTTCCAACAGATGCAACCATGCTCATTTACTATAGCAGCCATCTTGTCTAAGTTTTATTTTTATAAGCTTTTAGCGCCAGATTCAGGGGGAAGCCACTCTAGGGGAGACTGCTCTAACTTCGACCGGGTTCTAACTTCGACCGATTTCTTAGTATGGTCAGAAAAAAAAATTATTAAAAATTTAATAATTGCCATTGGACAAAATAAATTATATATTTAGTAACATATTTGAATTGTGGGGGATTTTCTTTTTTTAAGGTCATGTCTATTTTTAACCGTTTCTGCGCTTCTGATCGGCAAATATAAGGCACAACTCGTCAGTGAATTTTATCACGTGAAAATCACGAATTGAGATTTTGCTGTCTTAGGAGTGTCGTGCTTCACAATGCTCAAATTACAATTAATTCATACAATAAAATTTTAAAAATTAAAAAAGCGTTTGTAAAAAAGGCAGTCCTATATGCGTGTATTTTTATTTTTTAAATTTAAACAAAAATGTAAAAAATAAATTTGAAAAACAAATCGGTCGAAGTTAAAACCACTTGAAATTGGCATAGTTCTAACTTCGACCGACTGAAAAACTTGACCCTAAAACATAACCTTGCATGTACTATCACGTTTATCTATAGTTTTATTAAATAATTTAATCAGCTGAGCATTTCTTTTTCATTATACTTAAATATAACTGAAAACAACACAAGATGACATAATTATTGAAGGACCTAACGATCTATGTCCCCATCCTGCCCTTTCTGTCCCATCTCCAGCTGGTTTAAATATCATTATTGCGTCTCTATTTTCTACAAATTAAATATCATTTGTACCATAACATAGATCTGCATATTGTTTATTATAATGCCCTAATCTATTTACAATTTTAAGCCTTTTCCCATATGAATAAAACAATAATGTATATATAGGCTTATAGCGGTCGAAGTTAGAGCAAGCCGCTGGTCGAAGTTAGAGCAACCCGGTCGAAGTTAAAACCAAACAGAACGAAGTGGGGTCAGTGTCTAGCCTTGCATATAGCATTTATATTCTCCCTTGTGATTGGTTAACTATTTATACTGAACCAATCAGCAAATGATAACGTTTTTAATAGTGAAAAAATGAAACCGCTATGTTGATTAGCTTACGAGTTATAACGAAGAGAAGCGAACCTACTGACCGGACGAAAACGAATCGGTCGAAGTTTGAGCAGTCTCCCCTATTTTACAAATGGCTGCTGTTTATATAGCAAATCTTGCTCTCAGACACTGCTGTTTAAAGTTAATTTCTGGCCTATATCGATATAACTAGCCATTGATTTAGGTTTATTATTCATTTATCTATAATATTTGACACAAAAGTATGACAATATACTTCTATTAAAGCCTTGACAATGAGGTAACGTTTTCGTACATAAATAGCCGCGGGCGATTTTACGTACCCAAAACGATAGATTACCGATCTAGTTAGTAGTTAGCCTATTAATTATGATATTGATATGATTATAAAATCAATTAAATAACACTAAGCAATTAAGTAGGCCCTAAGTCCTAAACAAACAGTGCAAATTGCTATTATCCAAATAAATACACAGTAATCTAGATCTGGGTCTACCTTAAAAGTTATGAGTTCAATTCGAAAATAGTCAAATCTTCCTTGAAATTTATAGAGGAAATTCGATCAGGAAGTACTTCTTAGACGTATAAAATTCGCTTACAATACACTTAAATGGATGTTTGGTCAGGGATAACCCGTTTTAGCCATGGCTCGTGCTAAAAATAGAAAATGTCACCCCTAAATTAACTTTAAGCGTTTCTCAGCAAGTAGATCTAGGTAATTTTTTTTTTTTAGTTTTTTATTAACGAACATCGTAAACCCGAGAGTTTTAGAGAAAGTATTACATCGTGCACAAAAATTAAATGAGACTGAGATTTCCTGCTCCTCACCCTCCCTACTTTATCGCGGAATATAAAGGATGTATTGTAATGGTGCAAAAAAAAATTTAAAATGAGATTTTGGCCCATTTTGATGTTTTACAACCTTCCGGAGCAGCGTTTCTTTCAGACATTTTTCTCCGGGGCGGGAAGGGGGAAGGAGGAAGGAGGAGCACTTAAGATTTTCAGGGGCGAGGGAGGGGAATAGGACAACATTTTCCGTGGGGTGCGCACTGGCAAAATTCCATTTATTGGGGGGGGGGGGGAGGTTACCCCCCCCCCCCCCCCCAAGAGATACATGGAAAAAACTGTTCCGGAGCCAGAAAGAACTTTGTTTTGCAATCAATATTGCGTCTGTGTTTGTGTGTGTGTGTGTGTGTGTGTGTGTGCTTAGGCTGTATGTAAACAAGATTACTTGAGTATTGTTTCAGTTAGGTTGACAAAATTTCATAAATAAATATTATATTACATTAGTAGTTTTCTATAAACTTTTGGGCGATTTCCGGGTAACTGGTCAAGTAACTGGTCAATACTAATATATTTTAACAGCATCGCGCGTGTGTAGGCCTATGTGTGTGAAAAGGGGGTCCTAGGTGCTTTGACACAGGTGCTTTGACCATAGGGGGTTTGACCATAGGGGGTTTAACCATAGGGGCTTTGTCAGTGGCGTAGCGAGGTCGGGTGTCACCCGGTGCGGAACTTAATGGTGTCACCCCCCCCCCCCCCCCAGAGGCGTAGCAACCCTTCACGGGGACAAACTTTCAAATTTTCGATTTGCACCCCCCCCTCAAGTTTTTCTCTATATATTTTGCTATTTTTTTTGCCTTGGTGGTGTCACCCGGTGCGGTCCGCACCCCCCTCGCTACGCCTCTGGGCATTGTCCACAGATGGGGTTTGACCAGGGGGTTAGACCACAGTGGGGCTTTAACCACAACGGGGCTTTGACCACAGAGGGGGTTAACCATAATATAAATATTTTAAAATAGAAATTATAAACTGTTATTTGATTGAAATTTAGTATACACTTAATACGATTTTATACGTTTCCTGAGAGTCCATTAATAGAAATTAACAAGTACTAAGGGGTCATCCATAATGACGTCACTCTGTTTTTGACGATTTTTACCTCCCCCTCCCTCCTCTCCGTCACACGTCGTCACAAAAGCCAGACCCCCCCCCCCCCCCCCCCTAAAATGACGCCACACCTCAACCTATAACCTCCCTCAAAATTGCAGTTGAATTTTTAAAACATCGATATTTTCCAAAAATCTTGTCTAAACTATTACAATTTATTAAAACAGTTATCTAAAACGCGAAATAACGTCTAAAATTCGTTTTCTAACATTGCGTTTTTATAATGCAAAAATGTGACGTCGCGAAGCATACGCCGCTATTTAGTTGTTTATTTTTTACTTTCAGTAATTCTTAATTTGAATGCTGCCACTGAAAATATTTGCTTTAAAACACTAAAACCCTCCTTTCCCCCAACCCCCCCCCCCGTGCCCCGTGACAGTAGTCCCTCTTAGTTACCTCCCCTAAGTTTAAAATCATTTCAAACTAAATTATATGCCCCTAATAGCCGTTATTAAACCCGGCTCTACGATTGTAAACATTTAGCGTGAACCACAGTTCACCAGACCATGTGGGGGTGGGGGTGGGTAGCGATATGCCTAGAGAGGAAGAGGGGGGCTGCTAGGAGGCGCGCTTACAGCTTGGTGTTTTCTATCGTCTCCAAGAGGATTATATATATATATAGATGAACGTGCGGCATCAAAACGGCAATGACAAACTCGCCCCGTCAAAACGACCTCGACAAATCGGCCAGCGACATATGGACCCCGTCATATAGGCTCCCGACAAATAGGCTCCCGTCATTTAGGCTACCGACAAATAGGCTCCCGTTATATAGGCTTCCGACAAAGGGCTCCGGCCAATAAGGCTCCCGACAAAAAGGCTCCCGTCTGTTAGGCTCCCGATATATAGGCTCCCTTCATTTAGTTTCTCGACCAAATGGCCACCGTCATTACGACTCCCGGCATATAGGCTCCCGCCATTTAGTTTCTCCACAAAGCGGCCCCGTCATTACGTCTCCCGACAAATAGGCTCCCGTCATTTTGGCTCACGACAAATAGGCTCCTGTCAATTTTTAATCAATTTTAAATATTTAAACTTTGAAATAGAATAACATCTTATAGAAAAAAGAATTGCACACCAGTGAACGCCAAATAAAATGTGCATAATAGAGCGGAATATTATTAGTACTTTATAAATTCACATGCGTTTTTCGAGAAATCGGACATAGCGAAATTTACTACTTCCGCTCGACAGAAATTACTCAAAATTTGATAGAAGGCAGAGAATTAGACGTTTTACTTACATGTGAAATTTCATTTATCTATCTGAAATAGTACTCAAGTTATAGGCTTTTGAAAAATTCAAAGTAGAAAAAGTTCCACTTCCGGTTTTCGGAATCGCTGAAAAGTTGATACGGGTCTACAAATTTGATATAATTCTTATATATGAAATTCATCAACCTAACTGTAACGGTACTCCAAGTTATCGTGTTTACACACACACACACACACACACACACACACATATATACACCACACACACAGACATACGGACAAGATTACAAAACTATGTTTTTCCGACTCAGGGAGCTGTAAAACGTCAAGATTTGCAAAAATCTCTATTTTTTTTTGCACGATTGCAAGACTTTCTCTATACTTCGTATATACGAGAAAGTAAAAAGTAATACTTGTATGTTTAACCAAATGACCGATTTGCTATAGCACGCAATTATGTCAGTACATCTCTTTGACCATATGTCTAAACAGCGCTTGTGATCAAACACCCGTTGACAAACCACGCTGTGATCAAAGACCCTCTGCTGAGAAACGCCTGTGTCAAACCCCCTATGGTCAAAGGCCCTATGGTCAAAGCCCCGTTATGGTCAAAGCCCCGCTGTGGTCAAAACCCCTATGGTCAAAGCTCCTATGGTCAAAGCCCCTCTGTGGTCAAACCACCTATGGTCAAACCCCTATGGTCAAAGCACATGGATCAAAGGCAGAGGCGTAGCGACCCTTCGCGGCGCCCGGGGACAAACTTTCGATGTGCACCCCCCCAAGCTTTCAATTTATTTTTCCAACCCATTATTGGCGCCCCCTAAGGTCGGCGCCCGGGGACATATGTCCCCCCCCCTCGCTACGCCTCTGGTCAAAAGTCCGCGCACCGAAAACGGAAGTAGAGGTGATATTTGATTTAAACTACATTTTCTACGTTCCTAATGAACACTGCACATTTTTGTGAATCATTTCTTGTTTTGGTTTGTTGTGCTATATTGTGATAACATACAAGTGGTTTTGTTGTGCTATATTTGTGATAACATACAAGTGGTTAATTATTGTTCTTTTTTAAATGTTGAGATTGGCTGCTTTTATTTTTTTCATTCGAATTCTTGATTTCGAGATTTATAGCCACCTAGCAGTATTTCTTCCAGACTTTTTTCCGGGGGGGGGGGGGGGGGGGACTTGAAATTCTCGGGGGGGGGGGGGGGGGGGGGGGCGGACACTGTTAAAAGTATATATTCCCTATATAAATTTCATTTCGTTCGGGGGGGGGGGGGGGGGCGGTAGATTTTTTCGGGTGGGGGGGGGGGGGGGGGGTCGGAGACCCACCGAACAGATGCCAGGAAGAAACTCTGCTGCCTAGTTTGTGAAATATCATGAGACAATTGAAACCAAATCCAATAAATGGAGTCTACTTTAAAAAAAATTATTAGGTTAAAAATTTGAGTTTATGCTTCCCTTAAAGCCTGCATATCGTATACGTTGATATTTCTAGCCTACTATTACACTTCCATGTACCATTGCTAAACAAACCAGTGTAGCATTGATTAAACTTTTTTTTATTAGCAATTATGAAATAAATGCTAAATAAAGATCATCTAAATAATGGTTGTGATGTAAAAACGTATTCTATAAATAAAAAGAGACAGACACCCTAGGCTGCAATATATTGCCTTTATAAAACATGACATGACATTTTCGCAAACAAAAAAGAAAATTTGCATCTAGTCCTTTGTTTAACCTCCCCTCCCCCCCCCCCCCCCCCCCCATTTTCTCATTAAATTTATTTTTTTATAATTTTATATATTTTAATTTGTTTAAAAACATAAATAAGTTTATAAGCCAGACTCTTTTAAAAATAAACTTTAAATGCTCCGTGCTAATTATAGAATTTAGCATAAGGTTACTTAACATAATGCAATCACCGACACACAATTTCATTAAAGACCTCAATACAAAAAGCAGGGTTAAAAACATTATAGAATATTTTCGTTCCAGGATGTAAGCCTGTTCATCTCAAGAATACAGTTACTGATCCTCCATCATCACTCCATCTGCATCTATTGAAAAACCAGTTTCAATTGAATCAATTTTTCATTTACAATTGTATGAGTTTAAATTAATTGTATTTTAATTACAATAACGCATTTTTCCCTAACTGTAAATGATACGAAAATGTACTATAATGTTCGAAAAATTGATAGATAACTGAACTTAGCCTAACTAACGGTAGCTTACCTATAGCCTGAGTTGTTCAAGTACTGCATAACCGCTGGTTTAATGACTGGTCCATATGATGGGCTATGTAGGCCTTGTCCAGTTACGACATGAATCATGGAACCGTTTTCTGCGGGTAAAACAAAAAAAACAACAACTGACTGACAGCCTAGGTTTTTGTGTGAGCCAGCTCTATAGTAGAAAAGAAATTGGATTTCCATTTAAAAAAATATATTTATAAAATATAAATATTAAAATGCCAATGTTATAGTTTTAATTTTCTCAAAAAAAAAAAAAAAAAAAAAAAAAAAAAAAAAAAAAGATAGAAAGAAAAAGGGCCCACATTTTCTTTGGACTTTGGACACTATGCCTTTATTACGCTAACTTTACGCCACTGTTATTACATCTTGTGAATTCTAGGAAATGCACATTTGGAGGACACTATGACAGTATGTCGTGTATGCTGTGATGCTTGGTCTGTTTTACAAGAGCTAGTGTATATTACCAAAACACTCTGAGCCAAAATCAACATTTACATATTAATTTTAATAGATTATGAACACTAAATAAATACATAAACCTTAGCACAGGTTTATTTAACACTAAAATATGAACACTTATTCCCGCGATTTCTCTATGTTGAATTTTGCTTTAGGCGGAATAAATTGTACCCCCCCCCCCCCCCCATGCAGTCCCAAAACAACGTGCGACGAGACCTGGAGGTCAACGACACCGTAATAGTTTTTACACAATAATCGAACTGGAATAAATAATCAACCATGTAGACAGTGGCGTCGTTAGGTCGGGTGTCACCCGGTGAGGCACCTGATGCTGTCACCCTCCCCCACACCAAATAAAAAAAGTTGTAGGATATATATATATATATTATATATATATATATATATATATAATATATATATATATATATATATATATATATATATATATATATATATATATACAATTGGTGTCACCCCCCCTCCCATTTTGCCAAACCGCGTGAATTTGTGAATTTGTGAACACATTATTTTAATTCAAGTTGAACAAAGCAACGTTCATGTTTTTCTCTATAGTTAGCAGGTTTACTTCATTGTGTCACCCCCCCCCCCCCCCCCCAACCCCTCCCCCTTGTCGGGATCGTCTATTTAAAACTTAAAAGACATTTTAACTAATTAATCATTAATTTAACTAGCAAAAAAGCAATTTTTGTTCTTGGTGTCACCCCTCCCCCCTCAATTGGTGTCACCCGGTGCTGTCCGCACCTCAGCTCCCGCCTTGTGACGCCTATGGATGTAGAGCTGTAGTTGTTTTGCCCTTGCCACAGCAGCAATTGCGGAAACGGATGAGGATATTTAATGATATTGATACAATGATAGTGATGCGAGAGAGAAAAACAGCGTTTATATTGCACGATCTTCACACCCACCTCTTTGTTTTCTGTTGATAAAATCTTCAAGGATCCGTATAGCACTGTGTACTGAGTAGCCATGTAAGTCTAGCCAGTCTGAACTACTTGGAAATATGTTAATACTATTATATATTAATATATATATAT